CACACGGTGTAGATTGAAAGTGATTCAAAAGAAGTTATCTTGCTTATTACTAATCTTCAAATGTATTTCTATCCTCTGTTTGGCTTGATTAATAGCATTAGACATATGTTGAAATCTATTCGTTCTGTTAAGTTTACTCATGTTTGTAGAGAAAACTAACTTTTGTACTGACAAATTAGTTAAATTAGGTTTAGAAGAGCTTGTTCCTTTTATTTCGTTAGAGATAGCTCCTTTGGCCTTACAATCTTTCTTTGGCCTTGATGCCATTGGTATTTAGACTCTTAGAGGAGCTCCTTAACTTTTGTTTGTTTGTTGGGCTTTTTGCCCCTTTGATTAGCAAAATAAATAAATAAATTATAGTTTAAGAATCATAAAAAAATGTTTAATTTCTGTTTTAAAATTACTTATATCATATTATATTTTTAAAAATAGAAAATTGTTTTTAAAATAAAAATCAAACATGTTATTAGTTATCATTATTTACTTTATTTTTTTAAAAAGATTAAACGTATTTAGGGAGTTAATTCTTAAATTACTAATAACTAATAAAAGAATGTTTAAATTATTATATGTTATATGGACTTAAATTGTTGTTCTTTTAATGCTAATAAAACAAGCAGCTTGATTGAAAATTAGTTTTTGTTTCGCCGAAGCATGAATGTAAAATTTAAAAATTACCAACCCCTTTATATTTTGCTTACATAAAAATGTAGAGTTTTGTTATATTCTTAATTTTTATAAATAAAATAAAAAATAAAAATTTTATATATTTATTATCTTAAAAATATTTAATACTTTTATTTAATAATTAAGAAGATTGTAAGCATAAAAAAAATCATTCTATAATATATGACATTCTCTTTTTGGGAATAACTAAGTGCATTTTCATTAATAATATTAATGAATTTAAACATTTTCTTTATTAATAATTAAGTTTAACATATTAATTTAAGTTTTCATTTTTATATGTTTCTTCAACAAATTTTTCTAACTCCTCCCTCAATGGAACATCGAGGTACGATAGTAAATATAAGATTTGGATTCTCAGTAGTTTTAGCAAGAAATGGAGTCCAAATCCGTTTGTGCAAAAAAAATTTACTTAAATTGATAAAAAAAGTAATTTTTTAAATTAAAAAAATTCAATAAAACTAACTTACTGAAAAGTAACTTTTGATTAAGTACAAAAAAATTGTTTAAGCTAAAATTAAAAAAAAAATTATTTTCTTCCTCTCTAGACTATGAAAAAATTTAGAAAATTTTATACAAGATTATGTGATCATACTTTAGGTCATACTACAAAAATCTAAAGATTTTAGATCACGTAATACTGAGTTTATCAAAGTCATCATTTCTATTATCCTTATTATTATTCTTAACAATTTAATTAAATTTCAAATGATTCTATCTCATTAATACTTTTTATAAGTAGCACGTTAAAGACAATATATTTAAAATGTGTGGTGAGATGATATATATATATATATATATATATATATATATATATATATATATATATAAGTATTTTTAGTAATTAAGTAGTTTTTAATAATAAAAATCATCAAATTTTATGTAATTTAAAAAAGAAAAAACTAAAATTTTAAAATTTAGATTAAACAAATTTTTTTAGTTTTAATAAAAATTATTTTTTATCATATTAGCTTAAGCAAATTTAGATGATTGCAGATTTTGCCAAAACTTTAAAGGATCTAAATCCATAAATATAAGTTTTGCATCCAAATCAATATATGAGCGAGTACTATTTTTTTAAGACATATCCACGAATGTTTACGAGTTTTTATAATTTTTATTAAAAATATAAAATTAAAAAAAAATTAAACATAGGTAAAAGGATGTTTCAAGTAATAATATATGGGAAACAATTGCATACTTTGATTCCTCAAAATTTTTTATTAATTTTTCAAATTTTGTGCAAATATTTGACTTGCATTCTCCCACTCTTATTTTTCAAAAAATCTTAATGCAAACTCATCTTTTTAGATCTTAAATTTTAACAAAAGAGCAGTGCACTTAAACACGTTAAGCTGAGTCCCTTTCTTCACCATTTGATTGTTTTAGTTCCAAAGCTTTGTTCAATAAATCACCCCTAGTTTATACCAATATCAACGAATTGTAAGTTACAAGTGTAACAAATCACCTCAAATAAACCAGCATGCATATGAATAAAAAAGGGTTTGGAAGCGCAATCTAACAAATGACATCAAACAAACTCCCCCTTTTGCTAAATAAGGGAACACAATCCTCTTTGAACCCCATAAAATATGGTTAAGGAAATGTTGCATTCATTGTTAATCATAAACCCTTGATTAAATATTTATTTTCTTCATATTCATGAATTGGAGTTGTATATAAAAAATATGTGGGATAACATAAATTAAATTTTTAACATGTTTTATACTAGTATTCTTTAGAAAGATTTATGCTATTGAGTGCCTAGTCTGACACCATATCCTTACTAGTTAAGGTTGGATATAATTGATTTTTTTTTTTCAATTATCTTTTCTTAGAATTGGTTTAGGAAATTTTAAATACATAGAAAATTTTAAAATTTATCCTCAGGTTATTAGTATAGGATTTGATTTCTTGTAATTTCCTTCACCAAATTTTAAATCTTTTCAACTGCTTTGTTTTTGGAGATGTCATAAAGATTAAAATGATGCTTTGCATCGTCTTCATAATTGTAGTATTGGTAGGTAATGATAACTTCTTTCAAAATTGATTATCATAATTATGGTTTTAGTATTTTTTGAGATCTTTTCATTTCTCATGTTATTTGTTACTTTAATTATTTTCATGCCATTCAACTCATTGATGATAGTTTTTTTACCTACCATCTATGTGCTTCAATTATTAAAATAACTCAGAATTTTTTTTCTTGTAATTAATCATGATGTTTATCTTATTCATGTGCTCATAGAAACAAATTTTTGTATGAATAGTATTGACAATATAGGTATTGATTAGAATACTCAATTTTATTTTTCAAATGATCCTCCTCTTAGAATATCTCATTATTATTTAGTGATTCATCTATTGTTGCTCATTTGAGAATTTAGTTTTTTCTTAATTTTCTTTTTATACAAAATAAATAAATAAACCTCTTATTATCCTTAAAATATCAAAAGACAAAGAAGTAGGGTATGGTTGATTGAAAAAAGGGATGAAAAATATCACAAAAAGGTGGATGGAATTGGAATAAGAATGAGTTAAGAAATGGAAAATTTGCTAACCTTGAAGGGAAAAGGTGAATAGAAGATTATGAAATTGCTAACCCGATCTTGAGGTAAAAGGTCAAAAGAAGGTCATGGCTCTAAATCAATTTTTTACTTTTTTTTCTCAAATTTTTTCCTATTATTAACTTTAGCTGTCACACTAAGTTTTGATAAACGAAGATTTAGAGCATATTGTTTGCATTTTTTTTAAAAAAATTCTCTTTTTAAAATAAAAAAATTATTTTAAAAAAATTTCTAAAAAGATATAAACAAACATACTCTTAATTTTAAAAATTAAATTTGCAAAACCAATATAATCAAAAACATTTATTGATTTAGAAAATCGTTTCACTTTAATTGAGGATTGGATATTCATAATAAGATTTTTTGCCTAGTTCCCTACTAACACCTTTATATAAGGACTAAAAATAAAATAATTTTTTTACAAGGACAAATGAACCTACTTTTTCAAGCAAGTATCAAATTAAAAAAATAGTATCACGTATAGGGACAAAAAATTATATTTAAACTTTAAAATAAATTTAATTAATAAATAAGTAATAACATCATAATTCATTTAATATTTTTTGTAATTTAAATAAATAATATATATAGGAGTAAATTTGTTAGTTAATTCTCAAAATTTATAAATTATGTATTTTAGTTTTTAAAATGTTAAAAATTATTTATTCATTCTTAATTTTATAAAAATATTTATTTTATAATTTATGATTGTCATGTATTTTGAAGAAAATTAAAGTGAGATAATTAAAATAAATCAAAAATAAAATTAAGTAATGTAATATAATATTTATTAATTTTTAAATAAAATTTTATTAAATTAATCTACTTAATAAGAAATTTCAAATAAATAATTAAATTGAGTGTTTAAAATTTAAGTAATATAAATGTCTAAATTTAATATTCAGTGTGAAAAATTATATACATATATATATATATATATAATGTTATATACAGTCTAATAATTAAATTATTCGATCTATACATTATAACAAAATTACATATTATTAAAACAAGCGTGATTACTTTGGGTCAAAAAAAGAGAAAATCATAGGACAATAATGATGTGAAAGACGGATTGTTTGACATGCTTCCTAAGCATGACCAGTTCTACTTGTCCCCACTAAAGAAAAATAAAGATATTTGGCTACATGCGCACACACATTCATACACAGTATACGCTCTTGAAAATTACTTCCGTTAATTAAAAGATTAAAAAAGTAAAAAGAAAAGAAAAGAAAAGAAAAGTTCTTATAACAATTTTTTAAGAGTATGGATTAAAAAATTAATAAATTTTTAACTAAAACATAAATTTAAATTATATTTGTAATTATTTTTTTAATTTTAACCTCTAAAGAAAGTTACTTTTTTAAAAGTCATTGAAAATAAATAACATAAAAAAATAACGGTTAGATGTATTTACAACATTAAATATTACATTTTAAATTTATTATTTTCTCAATAATTTAAGAAAAACCGTTTCAAAATTGACATAAAAGTAAATAAAAGCGGGTAAAATATACCATAGTTAAATTGGTATGGAGAAAAAGCAGGACGTTAAATGAGTTAGAATGAGAAGTTAACTGAGGCAGCGAATGTGGTTCTAGTGTTGAACATGTGTATACAACTCCGTCAATAACGGAGAGCGATGAATCTGAGTAGGTGTGCGGCTTGCGGAGCAATGGCATGAGGATGTAAATAAAGAAAAAATAAAGGTGAAAAAGGATAGGGAAGGAACCAATTGTGCATCAGTTGCAAAGCTCACGAGGTCTGCATTTACTTTGGGGGTTAATGAAAAGGACAAAACTACCTCGCAGAACAACCTTTGGTTTGCTTTGGTAAGTGTTCGCTTCTTCCTTCAAAATCAATATATATTAACATATGCACGTAAGGCTCTTCCCTTAACTAAACCCTCTCTCTCTCTCATCTTTTGCATAGAGAGCAGAGGGGCTATTGGATCTTTGGAACCGCTAACTGAGATGGCAACGAATGTGGGGATTCTCGCTATTGACATCTACTTCCCTTCCACCTGTGTTCAACAGGTCACCACTTCTCTCTCTAAATCCACTTTCGTTTCCTTCTTAATTTGACTTTTCTCTTCTTGTTCGGAAAATCCCACGAATTGCAGAGCAGCGACAACAAACGAGTTTGTTTTTGCTAATTAATGCTGTTTTTTTAAAACGACCGAACAAACAAATGAGAAAACTGCTGCGGAAACTTGAGTTCGGCACATGAAAGAGCTCGGCGGGGATTTAGTTTTCGGGTTTTTTTTTTTTTTTTTTTTTTTTTTTTTTGCGTGATTGAAGATCGGAAACATAAAGTTTGCGTTTACAATATTTAAAGTGTTTAAGTGTGTTTAGAATTTAGAAGTCAAATACATTAAAAGTAAAAATCTATGCTATTTTGTTTAAAAAATATCACTACTGAAACGGACTATGGCCATAATCAAAAGCATGATCTCCAGCTTTCGAATATTGTGTTTTATGACATAACTCAATTTTTCTATGGGAAAATTATGAGATCCACCTTAAACTGCATCCAAATTATGGCGTGTACCGTTCCTCCTCCATTTACAGACACGAGGAGGAAAGTGGAAAGGAGTGAACAGAGCTTATTATTGTGGATTAGTATTATGGCTTAAAATTATCCGAGCTCTCTCTCATGTCATTGTTATATTATGGCTTATACTTTAATCTTTTCCATTTTTTAGTAATGTTTTATCTTTTTTCACTTATGCATACATGCAGGAAGCACTGGAGGAGCATGATGGTGCCAGTAAAGGCAAGTATACTATTGGACTTGGACAAGAATGCATGGCATTTTGTACTGATTTGGAAGATGTCATCTCAATGAGGTTTCTACTTTGGATTTGATAATCTTTGTAGTTATATTCATGCAATTGTAGATAGTAGAAACCAATATGTTTGGACTTGCCACTGAATATATTCATTGTTGCTGCACGCTAAGCCTGAAATTTAGTTTGATGAGATACAGAGAACATGTATAAAGTGAAGAAACGAGCCTCTTTCTTTTCCTTGTTTTACTTTTTCTTTTTTGCTATGGGTAAAAGATTTATAAATTGGAAAAGATTATTTGCACCAATTTTTCTGATAACTCTGAAGGGTTTAAAATTTTAATTCATATAATGGGGTCCATCTACTGAATACATAAAGGAGTACATAATACAAGAAGAAAAAAAAAAGAAGTTGGGGAACCATGGCTACCCGTGTCCTTCCTCTCCCTCTGCCTGCTTCTGAGTGATGTTTATATTTCTTCGGGTATGATAACTCTGTAAATGCTGAAGTAACTTTTAATGGTTTGTGGAGTCAGTTAAAGAAATGTGAGAATTAGAGCATGTTTGTTTACATTTTTAAAAAAGAGTTTTAATTATGCAGAGTTTTAATAATTGATGAAATATGAGAAATACCATCCATGATACCTACCAAATGTCTTCGGGGAAATGTAACACCTGAGCCCATGTTCATTTCATCATTAATCATTTTAAACTATAGGGAAGAGATGGGTTTATTGCATTATACTCAACAAATATTTCAATGTCAGATTATTATTTTAATCATGCAGAGTCTTGTGTTCTTGATGTTTTCACCCTATACTGCTTGCATGACACTAGACATCACCAAGGCCAGCTTGATATATTACACTGTTTGCTTCTTTCGTGTTAAATGTTCCGTAGGAGTTTGATGTGGAAAACTAACTCATGCATTTTCAGTTTGACAGTGGTTACTTCCCTTCTTGAGAAGTATGGGATTGATCCTAAACAAATTGGTCGTCTAGAAGTGGGAAGTGAGACTGTGATAGACAAAAGCAAGTCCATCAAGACTTTCCTGATGCAGATCTTTGAGGTATAGATGATTCTTCGTCATAGTAGGTTGACTTTCTTCACTATGTGATGGTAGTTTAAAAACTCAACTGATATAAATACCTAACTATGTATATGGGTGATTCAACCTTAGTTTCAAGTATATAATGTTGGATTGGAGCTCTTCAGCAGTCAATGTTGTGTATATCAAACAGAGAGCACAGCTAAAGTGTTAAACATCTAGTTCGGCTATTCTCATCTTGATTATCTACCCAGATCAGATACTAGTCTTCTTCACTGTAATGTCATTAAGTAATGTTTCACGGCCTTAGATATCATAAGTATGTCTCTATTGTTAATCATCAGAATGCTTTGGTTCTGTTGATAACTTTGTTGATCAAATTATCTATTTCTGTAGCTTCTGAATACAGTATTCATTTGTTTGTCTGAAACAAGCAGAAGCATGGAAATACTGATATCGAGGGTGTTGATTCAACTAATGCATGCTATGGAGGCACGGCTGCTTTGTTCAATTGTGTCAATTGGGTGGAGAGCAGCTCCTGGGATGGACGCTATGGACTTGTTGTCTGCACTGACAGTGCTGTAAGATCATTTCCATATTATTGCCTTTGGACTATATTCAGTAACAAAAAATGTTTTGCACACCCTTTTAAAGGTGCAATTATGCAAACAACTACAAGTAATGAACTCAAAGATGCATATCCTAGATTCCGTCATACATTTGGAGTCAGTCTCAACCAGAGCTTGTGTCACTTATGAGTTCCTTTCTCAGGTCTATGCTGAAGGTCCTGCTAGGCCTACTGGCGGAGCTGCTGCTATTGCCATGCTAATTGGTCCTGATGCTCCCATTGCTTTTGAAAGCAAACTGAGAGCAAGTCATATGTCTCATGCCTATGATTTTTACAAGCCTAATCTTGCCAGTGAATATCCAGTAAGCTGTTCAGTCTCGTTACATTTCTGTTCAGAGAATAGGAATCTTATATTTGAAAACTAGCTTCCATTTTTGTCCCTCACTGATGCGTTGATCAAAGCAATCCTTTCAACTCTCAGTTTGAGATAGAGATATGTAGGATAGCATTTGACTGTTTCCATTCTTTACTTTCGAGTTTTGACTCATAACCCATGAGATCATTTCAAATTGTCAATTAAAAAAAATCCACATGGTTTATGTGTTATAGGTTGTTGATGGGAAGCTTTCTCAAACTTGTTACCTTATGGCCCTTGATTCTTGCTATAAACATCTCAGTCACAAGTAAGCTTGTACTGTTAGTATAGCTTTTCTGAAATTTTTATAAATATCAACCAAGCCCTATTCACATTGCCTTTTACAGATATGAGAAACTCAATGGAAAGCAGTTTTCTCTTTCTGATGCTGAATACTTTGTATTTCACTCTCCTTATAACAAGGTAGTTTACGTTATAAGGATCTCATTTAATATCTGCACTCCTATTGTATCTACCTTAATTGATGTCTACGCATGTACTTTTTGTCTGTTTGTTATCTCTTTAATACTTTGAGTTTTTGCAGCTTGTGCAGAAAAGTTTTGCTCGTTTGGTGTTCAATGACTTCTTGAATAATCCCAGGTTCTTTCTATTTTTCCATTCTCTGTAATCTTTTTTTAATTTTAATTGTTTCATGTATTGGTGTTTAAAATTTTATGATTACAGTTCTGTGGATGAGGTTGCCAAAGAAAAGTTGGAACCTTTTGCGCAATTATCTGGTGATGAGAGCTATCAAAGCCGGGATCTGGAAAAGGTCTGAGAGCAGAGCTCTTAAGTATAGTTTGCAGAGTAAAATCAATAGTATCTTGTTTCTTTTAGTACTTCTTTCTTTTCCTTTTTTCCTCCAGGTTGAAGAGCAATGATGTAATTTCACATTTATGTAATTCTATGAAAGAAATAGACAAATTGAAACTTTTGCTGATGGTATGAAGTATTATTGATTCACAGGCATCCCAGCAAGTAGCAAAAGCTCAATATGATGAAAAGGTGCAACCAACCACTTTGGTACCAAAACAAGTTGGCAACATGTACACTGCATCACTTTATGCAGCTTTTATTTCACTTATTCACAACAAATATAACACATTGGTGAATGTTCTGAACACTATCTTTGTCAAATATAAGCAGCTTCTCAAAAAAGTTTCATGCTTTTGGATAAATATTAGTATTTTACAATTTTCAGGCAGGTAAAAGGGTGATGTTATTCTCTTATGGAAGTGGCTTAACTTCCACAATGTTCTCTTTGCAATTACGTGATGGTCAACATCCATTTAGCTTGTCTAACATTTCTGAAGTGATGGATGTTGCTGGAAAATTGAAGTCCAGGCATGAGGTATTTATCTTTAAGAGTCTTTAAAACAAACAGTCCACGTTTGTTGTCGGACATAAGAATTATTTTGAATGTAGCTGCATGCTCCAACAATATGTGAATGCATCTTCTTTAAGAGTCTTCTCTATAAATATTTGATTAGTTACACAATAAGGATTTATATATATAAGCTTCTATTGAAAACAGGTCCAGTGCATTAGTAATTTTAAATACTATAATTTTCAATTAAAATTTACTTTATTTTTTATTGAATGAGTCCTTGGATACACATTAAAAATTTTGATATTTTATTGACAAGTTTCTCAATTGACGGGGATACAAATTTTATTTTTTTTCGGAAAAATTCTGTTTTCTTTTTTTCCTCTCCCCATTAGTGTATCTCAAGAAATTTTGACGACTTGCTATGTTTATCTCTTTAAATGCCCTAAATCTTGGCTTGAGGATTGATACTTATAAAATAATTATGTGTAAGCGATTAAAGTTCAGCAGCCTTTTGAATTACTATATTGTTTTAATGTTCCAACAAGATGCTGAAAACAGAAACCTTTTCGGGGTATTTACAATTGAATAGACTTTGATGGGCGCAATTTTTATGCAGTTTCCTCCAGAGAAATTTGTTGAAATCATGAAGTTAATGGAACATAGGTATGGTGCAAAGGAGTTTGTAACAAGCAAGGAGACTAGCCTTTTACCTCCAGGCACATTCTATCTCACTGAAGTTGACTCCATGTATAGGAGATTCTATGCAAAGAAAGCTAGTGAAAGTGGTTTGACTCATGCAGAAAACGGTTCAATATCCAATGGTCACTGATGTTAAATTAGATAAAGTGTAATGGGTAGAAGTCTGGACGTCAACTGTGCTTTAGCATTTAGAAAGCTGTTCTTGTTTGCATTAGTTTATTCTTAAGGGAAGATTACTTAAATTCATCCTGTTCGTTCAAATATTTTTGGATGTAGTGACTCTTAAGTCTAAATAATTTATCTATATTTTTTCTAGCAATTATGCTTTGAATATGATAACTCTTCAAGTATAAATAATTTATCAGAGCCGGTTTGCAGTTTACACATACATTTACGACACTAATAGTTGGGTATTTTTTTTCACTCGAACCAGGGAAGCCAATAGCCAATTTATTTTTGTTAGCCTAAAAGTTCAATACAGTAATTTGGAGTATCGAAGTCAGGATATTGGGGTTCAGATTATCACAGTAAAAGACATTAGTTACTGCCAGAGAATTTGGAAGCTATGCAAAATTTGACCAAATAAAAGGGTAGAGAGCAGCTAAGTAACTGTTTTCCTATAGTCTTATGAACAAGGATTAGAACCAAATCAGGCGGTTTCAATTTGAGGGTGGAAGGTGCAGAATTGAAGTAATGAGCATGTCCAAGGTAAGATAAAGATTCACTTTAGACGTGCTTGGTAAGTTGGCATTGTTAGCCAATTAATTGTTTTTTCTGAACACAATTTAACTGATGAGGTAACATAACAGATAAATTTAGTGGGATTAACGAATACTTTTGACCCATAAATATCAAATTAATAGTACATTATAAGGATCTTGGACGCATTTATAGAAAACATAAGTACTCACTTTCCTCTCTATTCTTTATTTTTAGCACTTTATGGCTCTTTCTACAGCTTTGTACATTGTTTTCCTTACTGCATTTTTATTTATAGCTTATTGTTTATTATTATGTCTGGTTCAAAGAATAGAGAGCGAGGAAAACGATTTTATCGGAGAAGGGAGGGAAGGGAAACAAGACTCTTATTAGTTCAAGAGGAGAGGGACAAAGTTTTTCAAAGGAAGAAAAGAATAAAATGTAAGTGATTTATAATTTTACCTATAAATATGTATTAATTGAAGGGATAAGAGTTAAAATAACCGTATGCTTTGATAGGTGTTAATTTTATCAAATATGCGCCTCTAATATCAAAAATCCACTATCAATAACGCTAACATAATACATTTATTAAGTAATTTAACTAATATAGTCCCAAGTTGTAGACTACTTTATTTTCTCCAAATTTTTAAGTACTGGAGAGGGGAGACAAAAATATGAAGAGGAATTTTAGTACCATCTTTTTTTCTTCTTCCGTTTACTCTAAATTTATGTCCTCTCTCTTTTAGCATTAATTTTATTCTAAGTAAATTTAGATGTGTATTTGTTTAATTTATTCTGAAAAAATAATTATTTATTTTTATTGTTTTTTTAGGAATGTTTTGAATAATAAAGGACTATTCTTCAAATTTAAGCATTTGCAAACACGTAGCTAAATTTGGATTATAATATGTATGCCTAAACTAAATTTCATTTACTAGAAATATGCTTGAAAAATCTGATAAGAATAGCATGTTTAAATATAATAAATATATATAAATTGAATTTTATGAACCATTTTAAATCTAACATTATAACTTGGTAGAGTTGGAAATTAAGTTACTTCTTTAATAATTCAAATTCCAGTGGTGATCTAAATCTCTAGTTATCATCCAACAACAAAGTGGGGAAATAAAAAAAATAAAATAGTGAAATATAACATCTTTTTATAAAATTTTTGACTTTTTTCGTAGTGGACTTTTTGGCCTAAATTGGGTTAATGTAAAAAGTAATTCTCTATTAAAAAAAGATATTCTCTTAGATGAGAATAATAAAATGTATTTAATTTTTATTTTTTTATTATTAGTGTTGGCTTAATAATTGGCTACACAAATAATTAATTATTAAAGTGTTGGATGGGTAAAAATCATCAGTTACTTAATTCGTTGCTATGTATTAATTACGTCAATAAATAATTTTTTAAACACTTAGATGTTGGCTGAGAAGAGTGTAACTTATGTGTTAGTTTATTAATTTTTGACACCTGTGTATTGGCCAATAAACTCGTGCTCCATGCAGTTAAACACTCTTTTACTTTGTAGTTTAAAAAACTAATATACTTCTTTAATTATAGGTTTTTATCTAATACGAAGTCTATATATCTGAATTGAGTGTGTACTTTCTGCAGAATGGGAGAAATTTAATTTATAAAAGCAACTAAGAGATTTCAGGTTAGAAATATTAAAATTTAAATTATATTATTATTATTAATATGAATATTTATAGTGTTGTGGATAAAATTTATTAAATATAAGTGTAATATTTAATATATAAATATAGATGTCTTTTAATTTAATTTATTTTTAATTTTTTTTATTAGTGTTTGTTTAAGTAGTTAATTTATTTTTATTATTTTTTTATTAAAATTTTAATATATAAAATGATTGAAATTATGATTATTTTATATTAAAATGAAATAGTGTACGAAATAAATGAGAATATAATGTTAAAAAAATAAAAATTTTATTAAGATAGAATGTGAAATTATTTTTAAGATATTTAAAAAAAAAGTACATATAAAATTAAAATTATCTAGTAGTAATATAATTTTTAAATTAATTTTATAAATTTTAGTTCATACAAAAAAAATAAAATAAAAACTACACAGTTGATGAAGATATTATTCTGCATGTTAAGTACATGTCATCAACAACGTAAAAAAAAAAAAGTTTGAAAAGAGAGGCGAAACAGGTAACAGTTCAGAAGTCAAGCCACGTGAACCAATTACGATGTGAGTGGGGCCTGGCAGTGCTAACACACATTGTCGGCTAGAACAATACTAACACAAAAATCAAATCTGAGTCATCTAATACTTTAGGGTGCTTCACATGTTTCGATCTCAACTGTTGATAAATTTTCAAATTTTGTTCTATTAACCATCGCAATACATATAGTTAGTATTAATATTTATTTTGATAACACTTGTAATTGAAAAAATTAAAATAATGTCAACATAATATTTTACGACACTTGTTCCACGTATTATTCTTTATCCTAAACAAAATTTGTTTTTAGATAGTTCTAAATTGAGAATTATGTTTTTCATTAACCCTATTTAAGAAAAAAAAAAAGCCTCTGATGGTGTATGGACCACCATAAATTGGTGGTGCCTACCAATAAAAACCATTTATTGAGGCAGAAAGGCGAACTTTTGCAGGTGTCCCTGACATCATCGTCTGTGCTGATTGGTCAAGAAATGAGAGCAGCTGCCGGAGTGGTCCAGGAATAAGATGAAGAATGACAAATGGTGGAGCCCAGGAAGGCAGTCTGGACACGTGGCACGAGCGTATAGCTGGAGGTGCTTCACCCATTTGATGAAATCACAATCGTCCGATGATAAGGATAAGTTTCCCACTTGCAGATTTATACCCGTCCCCACCTCACAACCTCCAAAATTCCTATTATTAAAAAAGGTTAATGGTACAAATAGTGAACTACTTCCGTTTTAAAAATTGATAAATACATCGAGTCATCAAAGTTACACGTAACAGGGATTCTGGATCACATAATTTCATCTTTTATTATCACATTATTTATATATCATCACATTAACATTCCTTTGCTGTGATGCACTTTGGTGTTCACCCAACACACCTCCTTCAATTTCACTCAGCCCAAACACATTTACTATTTTATTATATTTATTTTTAATTTTAATAAAAGAAATCAGCTCCGATTCCAAATCAAAATAGAACTGTTTCCGTTGGGTGGGGGCCATCTTCCATAGCATTATCTTGCAATTGAGAATGACCAAAATGGCGTCGTATGAGGAACAACATGAGATGGATCATCAAGACGACGACGGAGTAACAACGGATCTCAGCACCAGCGACGCAGACCCTTCCGATACCAACAACAACATCAATGGAGTTCAACTCTTCCCACTGAAGGAGGAACCAACCGATTCAGACCCAATGGGGATCGTTCCCGCGCCCATGCAGCTTCCAGTTACCGTGCCGGGCAAACCCCCCAGGCGTTCCTCCACCAAGGACCGCCACACAAAAGTTGAAGGCCGTGGCCGCAGGATCCGAATACCCGCCACATGCGCTGCTCGGATCTTTCAGCTGACTCGAGAGTTAGGCCACAAATCCGACGGTGAAACCGTCCGGTGGCTTCTCGAACACTCCGAACAGGCAATCATCGAGGCCACCGGAACCGGCACAGTTCCGGCGATCGCGGTCTCAGTCGGAGGCGCTCTGAAAATCCCAACGACCTCGTCTACCGCGAACCAGAACCAAACCGAGGAAGCGTCGAACAAGAAGCGGAAACGGCCTTCCAGCAGCGAGTTCGTGGATGTAAGCGACGCCGTTTCGCAGTCGTCGGGTCTGGCCCCGGTTCAAGTTCCGCAAGGTCTGGTGCCAGTTTGGGCGGTGGGTAACCCGAGTATGGTGGTCCCCGCTAATAGTCTGTGGATGATCCCACAGGGCGGTGTTACGGGCCCGTCGAACCAGCAACCTCAGATATGGGCCTTGTCTCCGTCGGTATTGAACGTGGCGGGGCGGCCCATATTACCTCTGGTGGGAACGAGGAATGTTGGAGAAACTTGGGCGAGTTGCAGTGGCACGTCGAGCAGCGTGGGGGCTAAGGTGGGAACTGAGTGTAGCAATAGCATGGCACCGAGTGTTAAGAGTGGGGATTGTGGCGTTCCTAACGATGGTAGTAAGGTTAAAATGTTGAGGGATTTTTCTTTGCAAATTTACGATAAGCAAGAGTTGCAGTTGATGGGTCGCTCCGGGACTGGGACTTAATAGTCAACATGCTCAAACTTCCAATCGATGAGAAAGATGACAATCCACGACTTGGAGTTGTTTTTTTCATTTGTCTTGAATTGAATAAATGTAAAGATGTGCAAATAATCACAATCCATGTTTGTTTGCGTTGTAATTTAAATTACATTGAGCTCCTCTCTGATTGTTAATGGAAAGTTTAGGAATGAGTTAAGTGTTTGGATTTATTGATCCACGTGTGGTGAGGGTGTGTGTCCATAACGTCCCATCCCATTTTGATCGAAATTCGGAACTAACACGCTTGTTTCCCTAGTGGGGCCCATTCCCATTCCCTTTCCCCCATCTTCTCCTTCTACGCTTTCTTTTCTTTCACAGCATGCTTCCTTTAAATTAGCTTTTTATTTTCACACTTTTTCTTATATTTTTCCCTTTTTAATCGTTTATGAAAGTTAAACAAACATGGTCATTCACATTAATGATCGTTTATGAAATTTAAAAAGTAAACAATTAAACTAAACATTTTTTTTTCTCTCATGCGACTCTTGCAAGACTCCGTTTAGTAGACTGTTACTGGTAAATAAAGTTTCTATTCTTCTAAAAGCTTTCAACACTCCAATCTTTAAATGCATTTTTAAAATATTTTACTTTTAAGTATATTGTGATAATTGGTATGTGGTCGCCATCACAACTATTGGTACTCTAGAGTTTGTATAGTATTTGCAACTTTGAACTTTGCTCTTCAATTCTATATTCAGCGTCGACAATGAAAAGTACTGTTGAAGTTGCAGACCTTCGAGGTTAGTTCTTATGCAGAATCTTTCGCCTAACTCAAATTGAACATAGTCAACGGAAGATTTAGTATGTTATGGCTACTAAAAACATGAGAAGAGATAGACTGTTATTTGACGGAAGATAAACTACGATGTTTTTTTTTCTATTAGAGTTCAATTTTTTAACAGAAATTTCAATGGATTTTATTTGAATAAAAATTTACAAAGATTAAAACTGTAAGTTTAAATAAGTTTAATTTTTAATCTTTTTGCTAAATGAAACAACTTAAATAATAATTTAAACTTCAATAAATCTAATTGTATATTGATATAATTTCAAACAAAATGCATGTATTTAAAACTTACATACGTGTCTATACGTTTTATAAGTTATTTGCTCACATACAAAGGATATTAAATGCCCTCTTAAACACAAAGAAACCATATAAAATATCATAAAATAATAGTCTTTTAAAAATGATAAATTGTGTATTATAATAATTAATTGGGATAAATTATAGTACTAACCAGTTGATTTGGCAAATAATTGTAAGGTTATTTTTTTATGTTTTCTATTCTACACAAAGTAATAAATAACCCTTAAACGTGAGATAATTTTTGTATTAAAATACGAAAAATACTGAACAATATTTTCGAAAGAATTTTTTTTACCAGAACCCTTTTATGGTTCATTTGTTTTGTAACAGCAGCATATCGTATATACTAAATGGACTAATAACAGTCACACTAAAAAATCATGATGAAAACGCAGAGGATATAAAACAAATGAAAATCCAGAACTCCAAAGTATACATTGTACATAATTTGTATTAGCATGAGCTCTTCCACTCCACAAAACAATGTCAAGATTTTCACTAACATTGTACAGATAATATCAATTCACTTTGTCACTCACAAAATATATGTTTTTACTGATTGTGTTATAAAATATATTATTAAGTTAAAATAACGTCCATAAGTTGATCCACAGAGTCGATAATAATAAATAATAATATATTAATTTTAGTAAAAGAAAATATCTTCAACTTAATTTTAATTGAGCTTTATATTTTAATTAGTATAATTATTAATTTAAAATTTAAGACAAAACGGTGATAATAGACCATTAGTTTAGCATGACTTTATAATTGAGGATATTTCAAAAACTAAAACTAAAAGGGATAACAATATATAATAAGGTGTGATAATAGACATTTTCATTCTTAATTGAAGATTAAAACACTCTTACATTAAAAAAAATGTCTTAAAGATTTAAGAATGTAGTGACAAATCTATGTATATATTTTTATAAAATATAAATTTTTTAATCCCGGGTTACAAGTTCGATTACTCATGCTTCCTATCCTCAATTATAAAAATATAAAGTTTGTTCCGGTTCTTTTTGTAAATTTTTAACTAAATTATAAATATTAAAAAAATTGAAAATAATTAATATATTGTATTTTGAAATTTTAATTGCATTATCTTATATTTTATTTAAAATCAATTGTTTATTACACTAATTGTTAATCATTTATAAAGGTATAATAATACTAATGAGTAAATGTATGACAAATAAATAAATGCTCGTGTAATAATGTATATATATTACTATTTTTTTAAATCATGTCTCTTAAATAATTAATTACTAAAAATTAAAATCATGTCCCTTAAATAAATAATGAAACAGAAAACATTGATAAAATTTAAATCATAAAATATTAGTTTGAATTATTCCATTTTAATATTATTTTAAAATCCAATCAAATAAAACTACAAGTTTTATTTATAATTAATTAAAATAGTTTTCATCGCAAAATTAATCAAATTAGAACCACAAATACTCTTAGAATCCAGTTACAATCGAAACACTTTTGTCCATGTTAGAAGAGCAAAAATAAGCAACTTCAAGACCTAAAATGAAAATCCCTCGTCATTGGAAGTTTTTGTCCGAATAAAACATAATCAGATAAATGACATGCTATAGATGGAAGAGGTTACGTGGAAGCAAATGTCCATACGTTAGAGAGCCTTTAAGCTTAAAATGAAATCTAATTAATATCATAAAAATAGATACTTCAAATATTAATTTTGTAATCGACCTACACGATACATATTTTATTCATAATAAAAATATTAGAACAATAGTGAAAAGGAAACACGATAGTTTAGTTATTTCATCATTGACTACATTAAATCAGTGTGTTTCTTTTACTATTTGTTTTATCGTAATTTAATCTTTCAAATTTTATAAATATTAAATAATTAGAAATTTTAAATATGTTTTTAATCTTCATAAGTATAATTTCATTTGATTTTATTATTTAAAAAGAATGTTAGTTTAAACTTTTAACGAGTCTTATTATTCAATGGTATTATGATGTTATGCTTTGACATGGTTAAATATATTTCATATCATTATTAAATAGTAATACATATTATTTTAAAAAATAAATTTAATAAAAATAAATTTAGAATGATTGAAATAATGTTTTATTCTAATTAATATTATTAAAAATACAAAAAATGAATATAGACGTATAACACAATAACATACAGGACAATATTGTGTCATCAAATTAAATTTAATATATACTAACTTCAACGTCAAATTTTCTGTCAAATCAATCTTATACCTGCTAGTTATGCATAAAAAAAATATTCCCAGGAATATCCAAATTCTAAACTCCAAAGTCAAGCACCCAAACATTTTTATTTTTATTCCACTGATGTAATCTCCAATATTATTGTATGACAGAAGCAATGTCAACGACTCAAAGGAAAAATGCGGTGGCAAAGGGACAAATATGATGATTTTGCAGACGCTGGAAGATATGCTACGTTAGTGTTTACTAATGGGTCTAGACGTAGCTTCATCAAAGCGGGCCAACTGATGGGCCATCTTCCATCTTGAAGCCTTATGTTGGGCTTCTCTCGTAGATAAATTACTAATAGTACTTTGATCCCCCCAAAAAATATTTACTTGCAGTACTGTTAAATATGTGTTGACTTTGACAAAAAAAAAGAAAAACAGTTTGTTTACTTAATTCTGATTTGCTTGACCCAAAAAAACAAAAGCCTTAATTCTGTTGTGGGATTAGATGTTAATTAATCAATTGCGTTCTTCATCATTTTACGTAAATAAAACACTTCTATACAATTTTATCTCAGAAATAATATTTCTCAATTTTTTTCTCATTCAATACGATATCACGAGATTCTTCCATGCTATGCCTCTGATTTCTCATATTCTTCCTCTGTTCTTTCTGCATTAGTTCATCATGGATGATGCATCTAACCCATGATTTCGTTATAATTTCAATGGACCTAGTTTGATGGTTGTTTCGCAGCTTCTCACATACTCAAACAATAACACTTAAATGTCCTCGAGGAAGTCCATGTGAATCTCCTTAAATAATTTGTCATTGACCTTCAAGTCTATGCAGATTTTGATTGAGCAGCATGCTCATATATACTCGAAAGTCAACTTTAACGCACTGTGTATTCACTGGAGAGTCACTGGTTTCATAGAAGTCTAAAGAGCAAACAACCATTAGTTGTTCCTCAGTTGATGTTGAGTATGAACCACTTTTTGCTTTCTGATTTCAAGATCTCACCTAATCTTGCAATTATCTATTTTGACAATCAGGCTACCGTTTATATTGCATTAATCCTACTTTCTATGAAAGAACCAAATATATTGAGCTTGATGTTCCATCTTGCCAGGGAAAAGATCAATAACGACAGCTTTCGATTGGTTCATGTCAAGACACAGCATTAGCTAGTTGACCTATTAACCAAGCCTTTGCTAAAGACTTCGTTTCAGCCTCTATTATTCAAGATGGCAGTGCTCAATTTGTTCCTCCCAACTTGAGGGAGAGTATTACGGTTCGAAAAATGAGTTGGGTTAACTTAATTCAGTTATGATAATCGGAAGTTAATTAGTTATATTGTCCACCATTTTATATAAACAAACAGAACACCTTTGTACAAATTTGTCTGTCTTTGAAAATAATATTTCTCAATTTTCTCTCATTAATAACTTCAAAACTACATATTGGTCTACCCAATTCTTATATTTTTAGTCTTTAATTGGTTGGGAAGAAAAATGTTCCGCAGGAAGAGCACAAAATATAATAATAATAAACGATATTTAATAAATCCATTTGGTTTATGTGCACTGCTCTGGAAAGAAAAGCGGGGAGGGGCGGGGGTTCATACTGCTACTAAAGAAAAATTACAAATAAAGATGCATGCATTCCAGCTAAAATCACCACTGAATAACTATGTTACACCTTTCTCAAACGTCTTTGTTGTCTCTTAGGCAACGAGTTGAGTCAAGTTTAATACTTGAAGCTTAAGTTAGGGTCGTAAAGAAAATACAAGGCTTGAATTTGATTATTGAAAAATAAAATAAAACTAGGATGACAGAAAATAAGAGAACAATTAACGAACGTGTTATTTCACCTGCAGTATCGTTTTTGTACTTTTAAAGGCAGTGGCATCGTTCCTCTTGGTCACCCTACTTACTCAAGTGCATGCGTGTTGCAGTCAACCAAGCAGTTAGTACCAATCCTACTAGATCATTGTTCACTCTCTTAAAATATCTTATGATTCAAGTACATGTAAAAAGACTAGTTTACTATGTTAAGTTGACAGCTTTACTATATCAATCAATACTCACTTGATGGTAAGTGAGAATGCAAAGGAGCTCAAGCCTCAACCTCAAAAGCATTTAAACATGATAAAAGAGAGACAGCATACAAAAAACTCGTCGTATCTAACGAACTTGCAACTAATTTATTCAATCACTGACTCAGTAAGATACAACATAAAAATAAAATACACGTACCCGGATACGAACTCAGAGTAACATCTACACAGCTTCATCCACACAAACTGAAAATAATGAGGAGAATGGGAATAGTAAAAATTATAACCTTTATACTTAACCTTTGACCTTCTGATTTGGCTTGAAGACATACTGAACGAGCGAGTCCTTGATAGACAACAGTTCTGGAAACTCCTCCTTCAATTTGGAGGCGTCAAGTTCATTGTTGCTTCTGGGAGCAACAATCACCTTCGCCTGTTCCTCAAGAGTGAAGTTCTTCCAAGTGAAGTTAGGGTCAACATAATCTCTATACATCTCCAATATTTCATTGTGACTAACCACTCCAGGGTTGGTGAAGTTCCAGATCCCAGTCAGATTTCTCTTCGCCATCTCAATGGAGATAGGAAGAAGTTCATCCAATATAGTCATCGAATTCGGAATATCCACAACCTTCTCATATCGAGTGATCTTTGTGATGAAATTGCGCGGGTTCGATAAATCAGACGAAATAGGCATTCTAACCCGCAACGTGCATACATTATCGTAGTTCCTTAACAGATCCTCTACCTGTCACATAAATAAGATCTAAATTAAAATTTAAATAAACAATTAAATCGGAGAACAAGATTTAAGAAATTGGCATTTGGAGATTGCAAAAGGGATTACCATGGCTTTGGTCTTGGAGTAGAAGGAACCGGTGAAATTGGGAGAGTCTTCTTCCTTGAAACCGATTCCGGATCCGAGGGGGTGAGCGGAATCGTACTCGAAGATGCAACCAGTGGCGTAGTTGATGAGGATGAGGCCCTTGTCGTGGCACACGTCGGCGAGTGTGAGGGTCCCAGCCACGTTGGTTCGGATGGTTTCAACCTTGTGGGATTCGCACCAGTCGACGTTGGGGCGGCCCGTCACTCCCGCGGCGTTGAACACGTGGGTGGGCTTTACCTCAGCTATGTCGTTTTCAAGCGAGGCACGGTTTTCGAGGCGGCCCGAGCCGTATTGGAATTGGATCCCTTGGGCTTTGCAGAGGGTGCCGAGGAGGCCCCCAATCCAGCCCGTGCGGCCGTATATGAGGAAGTTGAGAGGCTTGTCGGCCGAGGCGCCGTTGGATGGGAAGCCCATGATTGAAGGGAGTGAGAGGGAAGAGGATATGATTTTGCTATTGCTATTGCTAGATCTCTGCCTCTTCTCTTCTTTCTCACTCTTCTCTGCTTCTGCCCCTCTCAAAGCAACCACAATTACATGTACAGTTATAATGACAGTTACACGATGTCTTTTCTCCTTCGCTTTCGCTCTCTAAATATGCCACGTAATACACAATACAATACAATATTCCATTTTCATTTTACAACCCAAGTCATATTTGCAAAATTGCCCTGTAACATCTCTGACTACTGTTAGCAAATATCAAAAACTTGCAGTCAAAAGAGTCAATATCAAACTTCCAGTCCATTTTTTCTCTTTCTTTTTCTTTTTATTTGGATATGCTGCTGAGTTGAATGTTAAGTTAAGGCTTTAATAAGGTATCAGTTTTTAAAAATTCATGATTCGTTAACGTTATGTGAAAAATTTATATACTTGTATCGTTTAATTTTTTTTTATATAAAATGTAAGATTAATCTATTTAATAATAGTTGATGTGAAAATTTATTAATAAATTGTATTTCATAAAAAATTATCAAATATTCAAATGATGTATCCCTTACATTTCATTGAATCCTAAATGTTATGTAAGATAAAAATATTGTGATTTCACCAAATTTTAATTGGAAACAATTTTTTATCTTAAGCTTTGATAAATGAAAAGGTAAATAAAAGGTGGGCTAATTGGAATAGTCCATAATTTGCATAGAATCGAGTTGGGTCAAAATTTGCTAACGAAGCTATGTTTCGGCCCAATTCAACATGGTCCGCACTTAACTACCCCAAACCAAATTGATATGATGTCTTAAATATACATATTCATGCAAAATTTTAAGTGGCGTGCTCAAGCAGTTTTAGTATTTTTTTATAATTAAAACTAAATTTTTGTTTTGATGATTAACACAAAATTTTAATATCAACTTTTACTGTGAATTATTAAGTTAAAAATATAATTTTATTAAAGAACAACACCTACACTGTCATCAAATCATAAATTATATATATAAAAAATCTGTGAAGTAATATCTACAATAATTAATAAACAAATCATACTTATGATAGATTTTTTCTGATTGACAGTGTAAAAAATCTTTACACTTACATTGCACCAAAATTAAACTCTTATAAAAATTATAAATATCTTACTCTTTTATTATATATATATATATATATATATATATATATATATATATATATATATATAGACACACAAAAAAAAGAAGCATAATAATAAATGTCTTCAGAACACTCATTTATAAGGCTAACATAAACAGTTAATAAAATTTATGAATAAAAAAGTAATGGAACTCAAAATGACTTTTTATTAATTTATATATTATTTTCTTTAAAATTAATATATGTAATTAGTAAAGTACTTTAAATTTCAAAAAATACATTTTTATTGTCATTTAAAAAAATAGAAAAATGAAAGGTCAAAATGTGAGAAAATTATAAAAGAAAAATACTTTAAATATAGAAGAAAAACAAAAGTGAAGTTTCAATTAAAAAATGAAAAATATCGCAGCATAGGTTCAGTGAAAGAACTTAAAATAACTATTGTAATTTTAGTTCTAATTCTAATTTAAAACATTGATAAAATAACAACCGTGACAGTTAAAAACTCTGCATTCGATAATCGATCGTAAAGTTGAGATACGGCGGCTGAAGAACATAGCATGTATCTAACCCTGCATTTTCATGGTGTATCACCATTTTTACTTTGAAGGAGAACACCCCTCCCACAGTCCCTCTCCCCCAGTCCGTAATATAATACTTCTACAGCCAGTCAAATCATAGCAAACAATTTACATATAAATAACACTTGAAAGAAATGGAGGCAAGCACCACCAGAAGAAAAGTATGCATCCGTAATATAATCGAAGAATTTACAGGCAGCATTTTTTTTAAACCCATCATAGGTTATAGCGTCACCTATATCTCAGCACCAGACTGGAATCCTTAGTGGGAATACTCTCTGTCAGCAATCAGCATATAAAAAGTAATTAAAAGTCCATATATTTATGTATAGATATTGCTTTCTGTTCCAATCAAGTAAGAACAAAATCTTTCTACCTCTTGCGCTTGGACTTCAGAGAAGTAACCGATTGAGAGTTGCTGTGCCAGTTGCGTTTCCTTTGGTTGATGAACCAATTATTGATTTGCTTCAGCTGCAATCCTGTCTCCTCCACAAGTTTTGCCTTGTCATCTTCCTGAAAGAACAACAATTTTAGCCACAAACTAATTCAGCAAGAGGGTATTATATCATCAGATGATCAGTGTGTCACGTGCTAAAACCTTTTTGGTTTTGCACCATATCAATAATATCAAAGACGTGCAACTGTCAAGCATAAATGATATAATTTTATCTGTCTTGTTAACTAACCAGAAAGATGTTTTTCTGAATATGTATGTGAGAATATTTACAAGCTAGTTTTGTTTTCTCTTTCACACAAACACAGTAAATAAGTTGCGAGAATTTTTAATGAAACATATAGGATTTGTTTGGAAGATCTCATGAACAATTTATAGAAAATAGAATACACTCATTTTTTAGCCTTTCTCATAGGCTATATCTAGTATAACTTATTAAAATAAGTTGATTTTAACTTATTCTAATAAATTTCATCAATAATTTTACGACATCGTTTAAAAATATATTAAATAAACTGAGAAAACAAATGCACCATAAGAGTCAAAAATTTGTTGATTGGCTTGCAAAATGATTGACCAACTGTTCACGCATGCAGAAAATGATTTACTTACAGTTGGGTAGGGCCACTTGGCATGTTGCTGCCACCAGGCCTTCAAAACCGATGTTGTGTCACCTGGTAATTTCCCAGCCCTTCGTTTCCTTAATATTTCCTCCCTAACATCTTCAATTCTTGACTTAAAACCCTGCATATACTAATTCTGGTTTGTGATTCAACGCCAAGGAAGAATAAAAAGAAGTTAATGAAACACTTGCAGGAACAGCTAACATATTGATTATTGACTTGAAAGAATGACCTGCTTGAGCTCAATCTTAAGTTCCTGACGAACTCTTTCCATCAGTGACCTTTCAGATTCTGTAGGAAGTAAGGGACCGAATCCCATCATGTCATGCCCTTCAGCGCTAGACTGGTCTAAAGACACATCCATTTGCATCTCATCTTCATCATCTGACATTGTTGCACCTGTTCCTTCTCCCAAACTGACACCTGAATTACAAATAGCCAATCTCCTTAATTAGATAAATGAATTTAAATTTATGCATAAATTTTTTTTTCTTTTTTTCTTTTTATGAATACTTACATAAAAAGTTTATTTTAAGTAGAATTTCATACTTATTTATTCCTCATATTAAAATATAGAATACTTGTCTTTTTTATTTTGTATCACAGATTTTTTAAATATTAAATTAAATAAATATTTTCACCTAATTACTGATTTAAATGCGATTTGTGCTTTTTCTTACTTTCATAAATCAATATTCAAGTTGTTTCAACTTATTTTAAATATGAGATACTTATAAATCATTAATAAAATAATAGTGAATAATATAATAATAATTTATTATCTACTAGACCTCTCCTTTTTCAAATTGTTTTTAAAAAATTCCTTATATTTTACGTATATTTACAAATACGTGTGTTATGTATGTTTCCTTGCTATACACGTGCGGTTAAACCAGAAGTTGCGATGATAACCCTAGGACCAATCATAATCATTTCAATGCTTAAAAATAGTAAGCATTCTAATTATTTAAGGTGAGTTCTGTAGGAATCTAAAATCACCAAAAACTAACCGCACAAAATGACGGGGTAATAATCTAATTTTAATTACAATTCACAAAATGTCATTCATCTGGCCAACCAAAATAGTGTTGTTATCGGCTAGAATATTTTAATTCATGATTATAAAAAAGTGGCATACAGTTCTATTTTGTTTCTTACTTTTTAGAATTTTCCAAATGAAAAAAGCGAAAACAAACAAGAAGGTAAAATAATTAAAAGATAAGATATTTATAAAATTATTAAAATTTATTCACTTTTAGTCCCTAATACAAAAGGAAATTTTAGTTCCTAGTTAATGTTAGATTCCGTAAACATGGTCTCTGCAGTGAAATTCACACCAAGATGGTTCATTTTCAAGGCATTCAAGGTTAAAGGGTTGAAGAGCAGAGTGAAAATGAGGTTTAACACTTCAAGGATAGAGGTAGTGCCAACGCTAATTTGGAAATGTCTTTTGTCGGCTTCTCGCTCCAATTCGACGTCAATTCAGCATTTGACTTTGTTCCAAGCCATGAACATCCGTCCCCACATGGATTTGAGAATTCCAAACGCAACCTCGATAAAGAACTTTGTCTGGAGTTTGGTAGTGATGGTAGATGAAGAGAGTAACATGGAGTTGCAAGCAATGGTGAGACGGTCGAGGGAACCAAGGATTTTACGGAGACAAAGGTAAACAAGTTCGGTGATTTTGAAATCTTTTATGCTTAAATTAAGTAAAGATTAAAGTAAATTTTCTATAAAAATTTAAAGTAAATTTCAATAATTTATATAAATTAAAAATATATTTAAATTTTTTGAATAATATGATGATATGAAGTTCTAATAGTTAAATCAAAAAATAAAAATATTAAATAATGACAGGGACAAATTTTGAATAGTTTATATTAATTATGGAGTAAAAATAATAATTATTATAGAGACTAAAAGTGAAGTTTAGTAATTTAATAGAAACCAAAAACATATTTAAATTGAAGATATTTTTATAATTATTAATAAATATATTAATTAAAAAAAACAGACATTTTAAATTTAATATTTTTGAGTTCATATGATTTGTTAATGATTACATAAGTAAGATTTTGTACTTAAGTTTTGCAAATGAATAAAATAGGTCATGAGAAACTTTATACTCTTAAATAAGTTCACAACTTACTCAATTTAGTACAAGTCTAAATAAATGTAGTACTGAGAGTTTAAGAAGAAAAATGGAAATATTCTTGAATATTTCATAATAGCTAAAGTATCAGGTTAAATTGGAAGTTTTGTGAAGAAAAAGAGAAGGTTAAAATTCAGTTTTGTTTTATAGGAACTTTTTTTTTACACTTAAAACTAACTTGTCATGTGGCTGTGGCGTGTATGAATTAAAAAAGTAAAAGAATATTTATATATAATCTAATCCAACATTTTAAAAACAAACATGCTATAAAAAAAATGGATAATATCTATTATCACTTTCATGTATCGATTATTACTTCTATTTAAAATATTTTTATATAAAATACTCTTATTATCAATAAAATATTTTTTTAAAAACCATCTTTTTAAATTTATATATGTATTTTAAAATTCTATTAATTATTAACTGAGTCAGTAAATTACAAACGTCTAGATAAGCGACAATGATATATTACCAAAGATAAATCTAAAAGTTTTATAGTAATAAATATGAGATCGATTTTTGGAACAAAGATAACCAGTTGCGGCATATGAGGTTGGTGAGGATGGCATGGTGGGAGATACTACCACTCTTCCCCAAACTAACCAACCCTTTATATTGCCATTTACGATAAATTGTATTTATATAAATATTTTGTACAGTTTTTTGTCCTAACACGGAGTGTTATAAAATAAACAATTGATATAGCATAAAGAAATATCTGTAAATGATATCACACAGCTTCTTTCCTTTCTCCTAAATCGCTTCAGAGACAAGAAAGAAATAACTGAAAGAAAACGAACCTAATACCAGAAATAGTTCACATACCTAACGATTTTACTATTTGCTTTTTAATTAATACAGCAGTGATGTTATAAATCGAGTGATCCCTTCCCATGTTCGCATAATTAAAGCAAACAGATTGAAAAAACGAATAAATTCGAAGGAATGAAAATTAATTTACGGCCGAGAGGAATGAAAGAAAGCATTGTGGTGAAGAGTGTACCGGTTAGAGCTTGCAAGGTACTTTCAATATCACGGCAGGCCATGACAGCCTCCACGGCGTGCACTCTGACATGTTGCTGAAGCTGCTCTTTGAACGTACACAACACAATCAAATACTGTGACTGCAGAAACAATTAATCAAAACAGTAATTACAACATTTTCTATAATTAATAGTTTTTAATCCTTCTATTACATTATAGAAAAATGATAAGACGTGGAAAATGCGTACCATGAAGTTGTCAAGTTCTTGTCGGTCATGGGGTGAGAGGGAAAGGGAATGGTGAGAGGCATAAGAGCGTAGGAGATGTTGGGATTGAGATAACTGAGCGTCGATGAGTGGCAAGTGGTCAATGGGAGTGGCGACGCGGAGGCAGGACACGTGTGCAGCGAGAAGCTGGTCATAAAGAGGGTGAGTGGCTATCTCTGCCTTCACTTGACGGTGATGGTGGTGGTGGTCGCCGCCTCCTGACAATGACATTTCTCCGCTTATCATTCCCATTCCCATTCCCAACCCCGGTTCTTGCATTTCCACTCGCACACTGGGGGGTGTGAAGGAGGGGTGGGGGGGGGGGGGGGGGGGTTATTAGGGGAAAAGGTGAATGGGAATGAGGACCACTCTATGAAATGATTTGATTCTGAGAGGGTGAGCTAAGGGCAAGGCAAGGCCTAGGACTTAATTGTGTGAATCGTTTTCGGCGTGTTTATAGGGATCTGAGACTCCACTTTCTGATGGTAGAGGGAGGAAGCGAAAACATTTAAATTAGTATGCGTGTGGGAGAGACAAGAGAAGGGTATTGGAGTTCTGTTTTGTTCGGATTTGGGAGAAAGAGAGAGAGAGAGCGACAGAGCAACAGAGAAGTTTACGCTGCAGAGTTATTACTATGAAAGAGGATTGAAGCGAGGCTGTGAAAAGGACATGATAAAGCTACTTCTCAGACCTCACAACTTCTATTTTTCTTTTTCTTTTTTTTTTCCATCATACTGTTAGAGCTTTTGGATTAATAATTGTGCAGTGCCATACCCTTAGGGTAAATTCTTGCACCAGTCCTTGTTCAATAAAATATAATTACTCATTTTTTAAATTGTTTGTTTTGTTTCTAATTTTATAAAAATATATATATTTTATTCTAAAAAGGATGGGAGCCCCCCCCCCCCCCCCCCCCCCAAAAAAAGAGGAATGGATATTTGCATAGCATGCTTCAGTGTGTAAAATAAAGTTTTTAACGTAATTGAGCTTCTTCACATTGTAATTGTAGTACGAGCAGGTAATATTGTTTATGTAGGGAGCTTTCAATTTATAATTTCCTCACTTCATACTTATAGTATTTCTAGCTCGTAAATTTCATGGTTCCGTGTTTGATGATTTTTATTTTGAAAGTGCTCAATTATTCACTGATAGTTATTATTTTAATAATATATTTTTTTTAAGTGTGAATTTGTTTTATATATTGATTTTATTATACTTCAATGTTTATTTAAGTGTTACAGTATCTCTTTTTATACGTAACTATTGCACTTTCTCTTTTTAATTATTATTTTTTCTTTCATTCCCATTATAAATCATTCATTATGCAATAAATATTTATTTTCAAGCAACACTCCCGTTAAAAATAGTCTAATGTATCAACATTTTGCTTCAAAAAGTAATAAGAGCGTATCTACTTAACATTTTATAGATTAAATTCAACTTTTTTTTACGTATAAATATAGGACCTTACATGACGGTCTTTAATATAATTTTCTATTGTTGGCTTAAAGAACAGTTTTCGTTTCATTAAAAACCATCAAGAAGCTAACGATAAGTATTAACTTAGCGATCAATTTATTGATGTGGTATAGCTTTTTCGTTTTTGGTTATGTGGTACCCTATTTCTATCAAAGGAATACTTTAGAATTGTGGGTATTAATTAGGGGATTCATCTAAAAATATGTTGATTTGTTTTTGGTCACGCATTTTAAGAGATCCAAAATTGAGTATACCATAGTATTTTAATTAGTTCATAGTTATTATTACCAACTATATGAAGTCATGACGATGTAATTGTAGAGTATTGTCATTCAAAACAAATTAGTAGAGTTTATTTTTTGAAGTGCGAATAAATAGACTTTAAGATTAGGTTTAGCATGAAGCATATATTATGGGTAATCTATGAACATTGAGGACAAACTTGATAACCACTTAATTTCTTGATTATTAGTTGCACCGAAAAAGAAAATATTTACACGTTTTTCAGTTTCAACGAATGCGCTCAACAAAATGCATAAAAAGGAAAGGAAATTTCAACCAGATGGGATGCACCAGTACAGCACTAATAAAAGAAGATAATGATATGTAGTTTGATAGTTTTTCAGATAGTTGAGCTGTCAATGTTTCATCTCACTTGCTGGTGGTGTCATGGTTTTCAATTTTTTCATACTCTTCGATTATTCGATATATATATTCATTTATTTTGGTTACTAATTTCCATGCTCTGGTTATCAAATCAGTATTCGAAGCTTACTGACGTTATTACCTTGGGACGAATTTGGAATCTTTTTTAAAAGAAGAAAAATACTTATTGTTATCATTTATGTCTTATACCTCTCACATTATCATATGATCAAGTAAGAATATGTGTGTACTGTGTAAAAATGACAAAAGACTAACCATGATTTAGAAAAATGATGGACTGAAATAATATGTTAGTTAGCATATGCTAATCATTATTTTTAAAATAAATGCATGTTTTTAACCTCAGATGAATCGTAGAAACTCATGCCTTATATATATATAATGGTTTATCTATGTGTGTTTAATTAATGAAAAATGTGTTTAGGTAAATGATTTAATTAAACATTTATTTTATAAATCCTTGAATATCACGTAAGAGTTTGTGACGAAATTTATTCTGAAGCTTATTAAAAAACTATTTTTTAATCACAAATCATACTCATAAATATAAAAAAAAATCCCTAAAAAAATCTTCTAAATATATCCTAATTTTACTTAAGAGAAAATTTATTCTTTTACTCAGCATCCTATAAGAGCTTCAAGAGAATAATTATTTCTTTTAAGATTTTTTTATCAAACTATCCATTGTAATTTATGGCATGAATGCTAAAATTGGATTGAATCGACCAATTCAACTGAGAATCGGTCAGGTAACTAGTTGAATCAAACTAGAAAATCATTTGAACAAATAATCGATTAAGAATCGCTTAAAATCATTTATAATTGGATAATAATCAGTTTAAATCGGAAACTTCATAAATTTTTCGTATATTTTATAGTTTTAATATAAATTTTTAATTAAAAACTCATATATATACATATCTACATGTATGTATGTATATATATATATATATATATATATATCACTATTATATATTTAATTATTTATTATTAATTTTTGTCTTATAATATATGTAATATAACTTTTGTGTTTATTTAAAAAAAAATCAAAATCACACAACTAGGAAAGGTGTATGAAGTGGATTGGGCATTGATTTTCATTATTTTAAGAAAGATTGAAGCATTTCGGACACAAATTTAGAGGAAAGTTGAAAGAAAAGAGAACAAAATTTGCTTTTTTTGTATACATCCATAAAAATGATTTTTTTAAATTAAAAATTATAATAAGAATGTCGTTTGTCTGTCTTAAAAGTGTTACGACAAAGTAAAATAATATAATCACTTACTAAAAATAATTAATATGTAATTATTCTTTATCAATAATTTTTAAGAATGATTAGTACTTTTAAATAGTAGCTAGGTATTAATTACTTTAAGCGAGTATTATCAAGTTTTTAAAGTCACCTTTAAAAAATATTTAGATATCAATTATTTTTAAAAATTAAAAATTAAAAAAAAATTATAATATTTATTCTAATTTATAAACATACATGTGCTTCAATTCATAATAGTGTCATGAATATTTTTTTATTTTTTTACGTTAATAAGATTGATTCATTTTATAAATATTTTTCTTTTCATTATATATATATATATATATATATATATATATATTTCTATATTGATAATGAAACTTATTTTTATTTTAATATATTTTTTATTTATTAATATTTAATTTATTTAAATGTAAACTATTTAGTTAACATAATATATAAATTTTAAATTTTAACGAGATAAAAAATTAGTTTTAATTTGTAGATGAAATTTAAATTTGAAAAATATAAATTTAAGTTTAAATATAACAATAAATTAATTTTAATTTTTAATAAAGAATGTATAAAAAAGAAATTTCAAAATTTAGATTATCCGTTCATACTTTAGAAAGAGCAGTTATGCTGTTTAAATTATTTTAGTTTTCAAAATTATGTGAAATTACTTTCTAATAATTTTTTTTTACAATGTATGTTTAAAACCTAAGCCCTGGTATATTTTCGTAATGCTATCATTCAAATACAGTAAAAACATAGGGGATATGAAAGTGAGTTAGCCTGTCTATCTTGCTAAAAGTTCGTTACAAAATTGGATGGCTTAACTCATCCCATTTTTTTAAAACGGACTATATTTTCTAGTCCAATTAATTTAATAATAGGCTGGCATATAAAAAAAAATAAAAATGAATTCATATTAATGGGTTGATTTGTCAAAAATAGCATAAACTAGAAAAAAATTAAAAAATTATTTAATAAATACTTTAAATTAATAAAAATTAATATTCAATTAATAAATGATTATATTTTCTTTAAAAAATGAACTAACTTGTTGGCCTATTTCAACATGCAAATAGCTCTATTTTGAAAGTTAATACGGAGTAAGTAAAACGAGTCAACGAGTACTTTTAGCTCAACATACCATTTTAAGTGGATTATGTGGTAGACCCCTCTGTGCTTGGCCTAAATCGACCTCCCTAAATATAAAGGCGTTTTAGGTAAAAAACAAAAAGAAATGTTAAAAGTGGTGTAATAAGTAAAAGTTTAGGCGTAGAAGCTAGATAAACCCTTGGGAGAGTATCCTTGGACTTTTTTTTTTCATCTTATTCTTGGACGTGTCTAGCTAAGAACATGACGGCGGAACAGAACAATAGAATATCGTCGGTCCAGACGAACCCAAGCCACAAGAGCCAGAACTGTAGCAACCCATCCTTGTTACCCAAACACTGTGTTTTACTTGAAAGAGACGGATAATGAAGCAAATCAGCCCCAAATTCTTGAACGACAATCTCTCTTGGCCCAATTGGAGACAGAGGAAGAAGTAGTGGCAGTAAAATGAAATATTCTTGAACGACAATTGTTCACGTCGTCTTAATCATACCCAATTATCCATATAGGAACTTCAAAAGTAACAATTAGCATAAACAGAACGTTATTGTGTCCAATGTTACGAGATAACAAGAGATTTCTTCGGACATGCCAGAAAGTTTGAACCATACAAACATTATCCTTATCCTCAATAGTGGCATTTGTTCAACCCTCCAACTGGCAGGCCCATTATGAGGGAGAGAAATAGGAGTCAAATTTGGAGAAAGGAATATACATCCCATTGAGAGAGAGGATGAAGCTGAGATTTTTTTTTACTAAATTTATTTTTTATTAGAAAAAAAGACAAATGAGAGAATACCAACTCAGTCAATTTTGCCATTGATTGAATTGGTTTTTCCTGGTGTTTAAAAATTGTGCTTCCTCAATTTTACCACATACATATGCACATGGGACTGCATGCACACAGAAGATATGAACATAGAGAACCTCCTTTCCAAATATTTTTGGACTAGGAATTGTATTAATATTAAGAATATAAGTTATTTGCTCCAGTCTCATTTATTTTTTTATTTAACTATTTAACAAGTTTAGATCTTAATTTTACAAAACCCAAATAAATGTAATATATGATCCTACATATATCCTTATAAGGTTTGCGAATTGTTAGAGACCTAGGATTAATATATTTCGATTTAGATTCAAACAACTGAAAATGAACCTACGTATGTCAAAACTAGCATTTTGCAGTAACAAAAGAGAAGAAACTAACCGTGAGATATGTGAAAGAATAGTGTTGATCAAATAATTATTAAAAAAAGTTAATTTGGAGAGTGAAGGGGGAATGTGGTTCCCACTTGCAGAAAAGCAAAATCAGCATCTGGCTTGCAGATTTCAACGCCGATTTTGCGGCAGCACCGATGGAAAAGCAAACTTGGAAGTATAAAATGAGTGAATAAAGCAAATGGGAGGACTCGTCCTACTAATTGGACACTAATAAGAACGAGGCTTCTTCCTCATCCGCATGCTGGTGACACGTGACATCGCGTGGAACATGTCTGGTCCCACTTGATGTGCTGGCACTGTCTTGTTCGCCACACTCTTAATTGCTCTTTGTACGAAAATGTCTACGTGTTTCCACCCCTCGTACGGAACATCCAACACGAATATTTAAATATTTCTAATTTATTTTTTAATATATGAAAATCCACTCATATTAAATACATAATATTTTTATTACAATTAGAGTATTTAATATTATTGATATATTATATTAAAATTCTATCAGCCATTGAATATATGTTTAAAAAATGTTTTTGAATATTCAAATAATGTCAATATTTGTTTATTATTTTTTAAGTATAGACACGCTGAACATATCCAAATATTTTTCTTATTTATAAACTTTGTCAGACTTTATAGGTTAAAAAGTTTACAAAAATTTTGCAATTTCATTGTACTTGCATACTTGGAACCCATTTGTGACTATTTTGTCTGAAAATAACTGGCAACGAACAGGGTTGTTTGCTGTTTACCATTGTGCGCTTGGCCCTGTCCGAGTAAATGTCACCGGAAGCACGGGTTGTCGGTGTCCAATCCACGTGTCACGAGGCTACACAATGGCACTGAGGTTTTGTGCCTCCAACGAGTAAACAAGCCTCTTTCTTTAATCTTTAGATGGATGAGTGGCCGAATAACGTGGATTCACGTGCGTTGGGAGCATTTATTCCCAGTTTTCTCAATTTGGGAAAGGGTTAATTTCTTTTTTCTTGGGCTTTTACCCAAAAAAGAAAAAGAAAATGATTCATTTCTTTTCTATTGACTCTACCCTTTTTAGTTTATGACTTTCCATTATCATCATTTTTCAAATATTTTTGCTGGGATATATCCTCCATTTTTATCATTATAAAGTATAATAATATAGACCAAAGAAGAAGCTAGGTCATATAGGTGGAACTGGCAAGCAATCAATCAATCACTGATACCTCTGTCTCTCTCTCTCTCTCTCTCTCTCTCTCTCTCTCCTGTTTCTTTCTTGGGAAAACTGTTCTAGGGTTTCTGTGAGAGAGCAAGGCTACAATTACTTCCTTGAGAGTTGGGTCTACTCTCTGAGGGCAGAGATAAACAAAAGATTCCATTGTTTTCTTCCAGATTAAAATTTTGTCAGGTTTGGCTTCTTACTTTCTTTTGAGTATTTTTACTTTCTATTTTTGGAAACACATATAGGCTTTGCCCACTTGTGTTCTAATCCTTGGTTATCTAGATCTCGTTTTCTTTTCGGATCTTCATCCAAAGAATTTATACATCGGTGAAGATGGTGAGGGGAAAAACTCAGATGAAACGCATCGAAAACGAGACAAGCAGGCAAGTAACTTTCTCGAAGAGAAGGAATGGGTTGCTTAAGAAAGCCTTTGAGCTTTCAGTGTTGTGTGATGCTGAAGTCGCACTCATCATCTTCTCCACTAGAGGGAAGCTCTATGAGTTCTCCAGTTCAAGGTATGTTGTTCACAAGCTAAACCCCAAACTTGTTAATCTATAATCTGTACTTGATTACCTGCAATTTAATTCATGTACTATTTCAATGTTTAAAGAATCCTTTTCTGCCAACTCATGTATTAATCATATCTTGAGCAATAGAGATGAAGATTTTCCCTTGTAATTATGCCTGTACTGTGTGTGTATGTGTAAAGTTATTTAGTTTCGTAGGCTCGTACCATAAAGCTCAGCCATTGTCAGTGTTGGGATTGATCTTCTTAAGATTGCTGTCCTTTAAAAATAAATGAATCTCAATGGATCACTTACCTGGTTTGCGTGTTTACTTTGTGTTGGTATTCAAGGAATATTATAATGTAGGAGGGAAATTCGTTGTCCTATATATGTATTTATATGCGTTGAATATCAATTTTGAAGAGAAAGAGCTGTAAAAGAAATAATTATACAAGATAATCGATTGTTAGATATGGCATAAGGGCCCGTCTCCTGACTGAAGAGGAAGTGACTTGTAGCTATTACAATGTTACCAAAAAAATTTCCTACATAAATAATGGAAGAAGATAAGTTCAATGAATTGTCAAAGGATACGAGGTGAATTAAGAAAACTGAAATGAAAGTAATAGCTATAATAAACTGGGTTAAGGGTGGTGTGTGCATCTACTTTTCTATATCCATCTGTATATATTAAATTTTATTTCATTTGGATTATTTTGGTACATTTATTTTGTAAGATACTCGTCCTTGAACATAAGTTGTCCTCCAATATCGCGGATTAACGAATCACATTTTTCTACTTTAGGTGCGAATGGTTTGTTAAAACAAGAAGGATTTGGTAGTATAAAAGCATTTGTTTTATATTTAGTTTGAAAAAATGCTATTAACACAAGTATATATTTATCAGAGGCTAAATTGCGTTATAAACATCTTTTTAGTTGGCTAAAAATCTCATCAACATTAGTAAAAAATAACCCACAAACTCAATCAGATTTGTTTTCAAATATAAAAGCAAATTTATCAACACCTTGAAAAGCATTCCTCTCAGGTGAACAAAGTACAAATCAAATATAGATGACAAAATTTATCTTTAAATTCGTTTGTGGGTGTGTATTAACTACTAAATAACAAATTGAAGAAAATTATTATAATTGAAATGTATTATTTTACTTATTTGGTCTTAAGCAAGGGAACCCATTCATCTACTTTAGATTGTTCATGATTACAGACATACGCATATAACTTATTGTCAAGTATAGAACCCATTATAAATCCAACTTTATTGCCACCCTACACCTTAAGAAAAAGAAGGGGGCCGGGGTAAATATAACCTTATAGTTTGGTTGGATGCACTAATTTAGAGATGGTATAAATTGACAGCAGTGATTTTAGAGTAAAAATTGTGCTTTTTTTCAATTGTTTGGATCCTTTGTCAAATAGTAGAGGTAGAAAAAAAATAATGCTGTGTGCCCCACAAGTATAATTTCTCACTAGCTAGCTGTGATTTTGGCCATAGGCGTTCGTGATTTTTCTTTTTTTATTGAAGTTAATTTTAATGCTAAATAATTTTTAATATAATATGAAAAATTTAAAAATGTATTGAGAAATTATGTTATATTAAAAAGTTTCATTTTATTTAATTAAATTATTATTGTAAAATTTTTATATAATTTACATTTTTTTACTCATCTAAATTAGTGAATAATTTTTTATATTTATTTATTTAAATAATATATTAATTTTTTTTATCACTTTTTCTCTTTTTCTATCTATTTTATTCTTTGTCCAAACATAGCATTATCATTTCTTTTGACCATTTGTCATAGAGCCTCGGACTGCACAGTGACTAGCATTCAATATGCTTTAGTTGGAATTACCCCATGAACATGGGAATATGTTTTCACTTTTTTCATAGTTGTTTTTGTTAGAGAATATTTTTTTTATATGTGTGTGTATATATATATATACGTGTGTGTATAATAGAAAGTAAAATAGATAAAAATAATTACTTATAACATTATATATAATGACAAATATCTAATATTATATTAATTACATTGACAAAAATAATGCAATGTAGTTTCTTATTGGTAACATTACATTCCCTCTATTTCAGATTAGCGGTCTTTCTGGAAGTTTTGATTTCTTTTATAATATTTGTCATTTTAATCAGAAAGATATTTTTTTAATATTCTTATTTATACTTAAGAAGTTATTTTATTATAATAATTTGTATAAGTAATAATATTTTTAAAAATATATATTACTTCAAACGAAAATTTCTAATATAAATAAAGGGAGTATTTCTTTTCAGAACAATTGTTGTTTGACGGTAGGACGCAGTTGAGCATAGTACAACCAACTTGAAATCTCAAAATAAGTGCCGGACCTAGATTTATCAGGAATCACTACTATATTAAAACCTGTTTCTCTTTTTTCACTACATCTTAAAAGAATTGTTTCTCTTCCCCCGGCACGGGTATCTCCTATTGGTTCTTGTTAGTGGTGGTTAAATATGTCCAAATCTTGGGATTACTATGCATTGAAAACCTTTCTGCCTATACAATGGAGCTTTTCCTTTTGTATTTGTCCGTCAAATTATTGTTTAAAGTGTGAACTGTAGTTACAGAAACCCAAGGCATCATTCTCTTGTGCAATCGATGACTATATTATCTGTTTAAAAAGTCTGAACAAATGTCCCTGCTTCACTTGTGCATTGTACTGGAAACCTCTTCCAATGTTTTTATTTGTTGCAGTTTCTGTACTTGTTTTTACAAAATCTTCATTAACCTCTAGCTGCCAATGAAAATAAAAATAAAAACCAAGTACTTCTTTCGGTGGATTCAGTTTGTCAATGGACATACTTTTGAGGTATAGATCGATCCTTCGTATCTTGATGAAGTAAACAGAATTAAAATAAATTTTTTATAAAGTTAAAGACTAAATTTATTCACATTTACAGTTTTTAAAGCAGTAGAATGAGTATATACAGGTGACTAACATTTTTGGAAAGTAATAAATTAGGAAAATAAAAAGTAATAGAAGTGGATTTTTTTAAGTGACTTTAATATTGCATGAAGTGCCATTCATTTAATACATTTAACATTTTTATTTTAAATATGAAATTTATAGGAATAAAAGGGAGGCATGGACATTCGGCCGTGTCAAGTTTTTTAGTAAATGAAAGGATATATTCTTAAGAAGTGAGATGTATTATTTTTTAGTCGTGTGGAATAAATTAAGATTATGTCACTTAAGTAAAATGACTTAAAATTTAATAGTTAGAGGCGGAGGCGGATTAACTTATAATTTAACATAAATATCTAGATAGTTCGTGCAATTTATTCTAATATGTTATTTAAATTTAAATTACTTTCTTACAGAAGTTTTTTTTCCCCTCATCATAAGAGTTTGTGATAGGATATTTAACATGACATTTTCGTTTGTTTAAAGATCTGAGTCTAGAATTCATTATTAAGATTTATGATGGATTCAGAAAGGGCTAAAGTATCCCTCTTAATTTGTATCTCAAAACACAAAAAATATATGCCCAAAAAATCAGCAATTAATACTATTTTCTTGTGAAATGTGCTTCACTTCCCAGATTATTCATGCTTCAATATTCTGTCATATATTGCTTTGACAAATCAATTAAGTCGATACTTATTGAATTCAAACCTTGTCATATAAATAAGTGAAAATCACTTTGTCGTATAAAATCAGTGTTGCCTAAGAAACTGTAATGCTCTTGTCTATTGGAGATACTTCAGTATAAACAAAACAGTTGAACGCTATCAAAGGAAAATCAAGGACCTGGGTCTCAGCACTAAAGGAATCCAGGAAAATACACAGGTTAGCCCTTCACATTCATACAGACATATATCTATTTATCTATCTATCTATATATGCATAATTTGTTTTATCGAGTATCTGTCAGCGATATTGTTGGGATTATGTACTGCATTATGGTTGTACAATGGATTCTCAAGACGTTCATTTGTTGTATAAAAGGGGCACCTCCATTTAAAGTTCCAGCATTATACTCAATCCCTTTCCAAACTCCATTCTCATTTTCTGAAATATTAAACATGTTATAAACTCAATTTATCGTTTTTGACCTATCTCATGCCAAAAAAGGAATATTCCTTCCATTTCCTCCTCTTTCAACCCTAGATTTAACCAACCAACAGAAGAGAATTTGTTGCTCTCAATATTATGCAAGTCTTTCCACCATATAGATGATTCATTATGAGTTCTCTAACTATTTTATTCATGAGATCCCACTTAAATTATATATCCCATACCTAGCTAGCAATACTCTCCTCCATGCACAAGGTATATATCCTTTTCCGATCAGTCTGCATTTTCATTTGTCCAAAAGACTGAGGTTGAATAGTTCCAAGTTCCAACTTCCCAATTTTTTAATTTCAAGCTCTCCTTATTTTTTATTCTACATACTTCATCCAGCCATTTCACCCATGTTATCTTCTTTGACTCATCCTTACCTTCCCATATTTAGTAAAGATTTTCGGATTCATGTGAGAACTTTTACAACATTTTAAAGAGCTTTAAGAAAAGATAGAAAGAATACAAACAAATTATAAGAAACAGACTTGAGTAGTATTACATATCCTTCCCTTAAATAGTAGGTCGATCTTTCGTGCGTATAGGTTGCTCATCTAACCATTCGACAATAGGATTCCAGGTACTCAACTTTCTTGGTTTGGCTTCTATTGAGGGACAAATATTTAAAAAGAATATCTCCTTATTTACCTTTAAGAAAGTTATCTGTTTCTGATAATAAATCCCAATTTACATTTACCTCTTTTCCACTGCTCTTGTGAACATTATTTTCAGGCCAGAAATCAATTTATAGTACCTCATTGAACACAAGTTTTCTTGAGTTCCCTCGCCAATCCGCGAGATACCATCAGCCTAATGAAGAAGTGATATCGGAATCCTGATTAATTCGCTTAAACCTTTTTCCACGATTACGAACAGAAAGGGACTTAAATGTTCTCCTTAGCTCTATACACTTGAAATTCATTTGTTGAGCTCCCATGTACTAAAGCTGCTAGACAATGGTCTGTTTAGTTAAGAAAACATTTTATGTTTTTATTTAAAATTATAAAATAGTCACCTCATTTTTATTCTATTTTTAAATATTGATATAAAATATAATTTTATTATTATTTCTTGTACAAATTTTTTAAAGTAAGAAATTCAGTAAAAAACAAATTTACAATTTTGTTAATAAAAATAAAAGCAGAAAAAAAAATGAAACCAAACAACTTCCAAGCTTTTCATCCTATCCATCCAATTTTCTCAGAATTCAAGTCGTTCAAGCATATTTTGTGAAACTCGAATTAGTTTAATCACATGCTTTTACGAAATCAACTTTATAAATCATATGCTCCTTTCCTTCTGCATAATCTACTATCTCATTAATAATGTATATAAATAAATCTATAATTTGTCTATTTGATAGAAAAAGCTGATTGGACGATGAGATTACGAGTCCAAGATTTCTTCACTTAATTGAATTCCAAAGATTTGTATGCTCTGGTTCTCAGATATCCACACATGCACGCACACACGACTTCTAATCTATATTTGAATTTAAATTTTCTAGCTCTACTCTATATAAAGAAATTTGTGATAAAAAAAATCCTATTTTCATTATCACCGGATTAATCCTCATCTCTTGAACTCACTAAAACCAAGCCAATGGAGATTGCCGGGTATGAAGTCCTCCCTTCCTGCTACTCTATCTAAAGCGGCAATGGCATTATAGTAAGAGAGCCTTCCGCGATGTACGGACCAAAGCTACCATTCCAAATTAATAAAAGACAGGACCTCCTGTCACTTTGAGCTCTATTTTTCTGAATCAGTTGCCGATGAATGAGTCTTTTCTGACTTAATTGAAGAAAAAATCTATTTAAGCTTTCTGCATATGGCTCACATTTTTGTGTGCATAAATTCAAGTTCTTTTTCCCAAAGATTTTCTCAATTGTAAAATTTAGCTTTTTTTTTTTTTTGGTGTATTCTCATATCCATATCCTTTTGTTTTATGGAGTTCTTTTTATATTGTTGAAAACAACAATGCATGGAACAAAAAGTCCTAGGTTTTTAAGCAATATTACGCTTATTTACACTAATAATTTTGGAAGTCAAAATTTTACGTATTTATACCCCAAATTATGTACATCCTATTTCAGTTTGTTCTCGTGAAGTTTTTGTGTTTTCATCAAGACATAACTCTCAATCGTTCTGGACTGATGCACGAATATATTTATCCAACAAGACAAGAGACATCTAAGAAATTTTAGAAGCAATGGAAGAGAAGAAAAATTAACACTAGAATCACGTTTGGTTCTTCTGAACGTATAATTTAATTGATTTCTTATTGGTGAAGGAAATCAAATTTGTTTCCTTTTTTTTTCCTGTGTTTACATGCAGCATGTAAAAGACGGAGACATCAGCATGGTAAAGAAGTTAGAGCACCTAGAAGTTTCTAAAAGGTTTTCGGAACTGACTTTCACCGGTTTCATTCTGATTGATATTGAGAGAAGCACATGAATGATTATTCTCAACATTGGAGATTCTCACGTATTGTAGGAAGCTTTTGGGGGAAGAATTGGATACATGCAGTTTGGACGAATTACAGCAGCTAGAGAACCAGCTCGAACGCAGCTTAAACAAAATTAGGGCAAGAAAGGTACACTTTAATAACATAATTTTTCAGTGTTTCTGACTAAGACAAGTACCGGATTGTTTTTGAAGATTGAAATATATTTGGTTTAAATGAAGGAAAACTCAGTTAACAACACGTTAAAAAAAGAATATTTATATACAAAAGTTTAAATGTTACGAAAGATCATACTAAATTTATATTCATCAACAAATAACATGGCTTATATTGATGTTCAAAGAGACACCAATGAACTAAGTTGATGTTCATTGAAAGGTTGCAAGACTAAATTCATCTGACATTTTTTAAGAAATTGTTGTCTCATCTTTTTTAAAACAACTAATGTGAAAATTTATTTGCATATGGTACTTTTATTTATTTATCTTGATAGCCAAAATATATTGATAAGAATATAAGAGGTACTTTAACCTATCCAAAGATCTAACAATATTACAAAGCACAACACCTGTAATTGCAAATCAGCCTCAATGGAATTGATGAACCAATCTGAGAAAGAAAGGGACAAAGAATTCTCCACCCTTGTACAGAACCGCGACTAATATACGATTTCGTCTAAATCCAGTGGACTTGTTCAATTAATTGGGTCATTTTTTTTAAGATTACTCATGGTTACCTAAAAGCCGAAGTGACCAACATGCCAAAACTTTTATGTTGGATTTTTCCAAAATAATTTTTTTAAAAAAGAAATCATCTTCTATAGGACTCAGATTCTAAAATAGTGTCCAGTTTACATAGCCATATATGAATATGCCGACTAGGAGGAGAAAACTCCAGAAGGCTCAAGCTACCATATCCATTCATCTTATGACCATTCAAAGAAGCCATTTACAATTTGTGCTGAAATTCTACCATTAGATTTTTCGTCCCCCAAAAGTATTTTTCTTCTCCAATTGAAAGCCCAAACCCACCACTCTTCAAATGACCATTCAAGCTATAGTCATTCACAATTTTTTTAATATCTTCACAAACCACACAATGGGCATAAACAAACTAACAGTCATTACTAAATTCAATTCATTAGTAAATTTTTGTTTATAAGGTGAAATTTAATTACCACTCTTTTTAAGTAAGTTTCTTTGTAATAATTTAAACTTTTATGTTTATTAATATTCAATATTCCTTTGCATCGTTGCATGATATTAATTTCCCCATAAAATCATTTCTTCAATATAACGAGCAGAGCATCTAACACTATAGAACAACCTAATTATGACATTATGATCTTTGATAAGTATGAATGAATAAGCATGACACCTAACGTTGAAGAACTCGGTGTTACCTGTACTCAGAATCAATTGTTCAGGCAGCGAATCGAGAAGCTAAAGGAAGAGGTATTGTTTGTTACTTCGATGACTGAATGCATTTCTTTCCTTAATTATTTTAGATTTCTTATTAGAATTGACATGTTCTTTTGGCGGCCGACTTCAGGAAAAGTTCCTACTAGAAGAAAATAAACGCTTACGCCAGCAGGTTATTATCTTGCTTCATTCTTTACATTCCTATGGTGCACCTCCTTTATTTGTCGTATTAAGTATCAAATACAAATCATCTCATGAACTCTTATCATAATATGCTGCTATAACCTAACTAATTAAAAGGTTAACACTTTTTTTTCCATCTTGATTCGAAGTTTTTTTTATCATCTTGATTCACGGATAATTTCCGACATCATTTCATTATTATAGTGTCAGATTGAACGACAGCGTTCTTTCAGTATTCAAGATGTGGAACTCGTAACAGAAAAGAGGGGAGAAGAGGTGGAGACGGAGTTATTCATAGGTCGACCTGAGAGACGAATGCCGTAAGAGTTGAAACCTTCAACACATTGTGCTCATAAATAAATACCATAATCTATAGTTTCAAAGTTAATAAAGTCCCCACATGAATGCTCACTCGTTTCTCTTAGGTCGTTCATGTCTGACTAAGATATATGTTGTACCTCACAAATTACAACGGTTTTGAGTCATACTTAAATAATTTATGTTATAGTCATATTCCAAAGCTGTTTGCTAGAGTACTATTTCAGTTTTGAACTTTTGATTTGGCCAAAAGGTGGTGTTAACCTCCGCATTGTCGAAATGGACTAAAACAATGGGAAACAAATAGTTAGGAAGTGTTCGGCAGTTGATTGAACACAAATTAATTTACTTGAAGACCCAAATACTGAAAACCTTTGAAAATGGTCCCCTTCCTTGGTACCAACAATTGCTTTACTTTAGTTGTAGCTAACACTGGAAATCTTGATCCTTTCTAACAATTTCACTGGTTTGTAATAATAGGATGTCTAGTTTTTCAAAATGAAATTCGTTCTTTATCTAGGAACAATACTTCAACCAATGCTTATGCTAGCAAAGTAGTTTAGCTGTTATTTAAGTAATATAATGATTTCTCTTTGGTCGTGTCTTGTGGATGAACGTTAGTGTAGAGTGTCCAACAATATGGAATTGGGTGTATAAGAGCTTACCAGACTTACAGCTTTTTCTTTACACTCACTATTATTTGATTTACAGCAAAATGCACATACATGAAAACTTATATTTGCCTAATTATCAGGGAGTTATGTTATGCATATATAAAAACAAAAGGACAAAAGCCATATTAGCGTGTCCAAAGCCAATTCATTTGATGTTATGAATAGTATTGTTCGAAAACTAATGCATATTAATGTCATAAAATACTAATTTAGTCTTGGGAAACGTACCACACTAAATCTATTATTATTTATTAGTGGTGTGATATTTTTAAACATGATACGTCACTTCACTTGTGATTTTAAAATAATTATTGATATGATATAAGTAAATGTACATCATATTATTACAAAGTATTAAAAAGGACAATTTTTAAATTAAAATTAAATTGTCATATTTATAATATATATATATATATATATATATTATATTCAAGTAAATACAAATAATAAAGGTGAGATACTTAATATAAAAAATAATTATGACACAATAAAAATTGAATAATATTAAATATATTCATATTTAAGAATAAGAATTTAAATTTAATATATAATTTTATATTCCGAAATCTGTGATGGATAAACTTTAAATAAAAGTAAAATAATTTTATAATAGATTAAAAATTGTTGTTCCTCATTGATAGCTTAACCATTAAGCTAAAGAGAGCTAGGGAGTAGGTTCATATTTTGTGTCATATGCAAAAGCCGTACTATTGTTTTCCACTTCCTCTCGTTCGGACTAAAAAACGAGTATTCTTTGTATGAAAAAAAAAATTATAGCATCACATTTTATATTTGCCTTTTTCATTTAATTATTAATTTTTTAAAAATAAATTACTAAATATATTTTTTTTAAACTAATTTTCTGTTCAAATTAAGGTGAATCTGACCACGTGATGAAAATTTCACTAATATTTTTAACAAAATTTATTATTATTATTATTATTATTAAATAAGTATTGTCGTAAATAAGGCAAAATTATAAGATTGTTTCAACTTTCAAGTGTCAAATAGGTATAATTTTTGCAAAAAAATTAAAATAGTAGACAAAGTTTTGCTATTAGCACGGAAAACATTCAGGGTGAAGATACGTGGAATGATTTGGCAAGTTTTGTCGTTAAAAGTGCAAAACTTAATAACAATTGGCTATGTTTCACCATAGGAAATGTGATTCGTAACGTGTATAGTCAAAACTGTGGCCAAACTTTTGCAATTTCTCTTTTACTCTCTGGTTATTTAATGTAAGTATATCCTTTTTATCATTTGAAAATTTTGGAAGAAGAATTTTTGAAATACTACAACAAGGTTAATTAATTATTGTTAGTTCAATTTAAATTAAATATGTAAATAATATATTTATTTAGGAAATAAATAGATTTTTGTTGGAATTTAAATTAAAAATTTGTTGAATTAATGCTTTTTATTTGTAAAAATATATTATAAGTAGAATTGTTATTATTGTATATTATAAGGATAGAATTTATATAAAAATAAAAAATTAGTTTCAAAGAAAATTACAAAATGATTAAGATAAAGTGAGTATTAAATTTTAAAATATTAAAAAATTATTTAAAACTTAATTTTATATTTTTTAATTAATGAAAATATTAAACATTACACAACTTTAAAGATATAAAAAATAAAAATATTAATTGTACTAAAGTGCATATCAATAACAAACTAATAGAACTGTTATTAAGTTATATAAAAAAATTATTTGATATTAAAATAAATTACAAAAATTTATATATACATACAAATTATTATTACATCTTAGTTAAAAAAATTAAATTTTTAACATAATAATTAATACAAATATCAACTTACTTAAAATAATTTTTATATTTACATAAATTACATACAAATTATTATTGAATTTTTTAACATAATTATTATACAAATATCAACTTAGGTTGTGATAATTTATATATTTACTTATCTTACATATAAATAAATTCTTTTATTATTAACAAAAAATAAATAAATTATTTCATTACAATTAATTATATCAAATATTCTCGACATACAAATAAATTTATCATATAAATTTATATTTTTAAGTTAAAAATTATATCTCCTACTTTTTTTGTTTAAAAAATATATTTAATGAATATTTTATTTGATATTAAAATTAATAAAACAAATGATGTATACATACATTACGTACAAATAATTATCTAATTTAAAAATATTTATTTTTAACATCATATTAATACAAATATCAGTCTACATACTTTACATACAAAAAAATACTACATCATCTTAATTAAAAAATAAAATTATTAACAAATCTATTAATATAAATTATTCTTAAATAATAACATTTAAAATTTACATACGATGCATAATAAATTATAAATTTCTGTCAATAGAAATTAATACAATTAAACTAAATATAATTAATTGTTGTTATACAATTTTTTTAACCCCCTATAATTTTACTATTAAGTAATTTTTAACACTATACTAATAAAATTATGCAATATGTATATATATCAATAAATTCTAATTTTTCTAACAACCTTTTACAACATTATACAAATTACATATTAATAAACTATATTACAACCTATTTTTTAATTTAATAAATTTCTTAAATATAAATACAATCTAAATTAAATTTTAAAAATTTAAATTTGTTAATAATCTTTGCTATAATACACTTTCTAACATTGACATTCACAAAAAAAAAAGTCACGTAATTATTAACATACGATAGTTAACAAATTATAAAATTAGATTTTTATTTTTTTAAATTAAAATAATAAACAAAAATAACATCTAAAAGTATATATATAAAATGATTAATAATTTAAATAAATTCTTAAAAATTGACAAAAATTATCATAAATCAGCTCTGTGCTTCACAAATCTTAAAAATAAATAAATAAATAAAGAGAAAAATAACATTGAATATCAGGATGATGAAAAAGAGAGAGGAGGGAAAGAGGAGAGAAAAAAGGACGCAGAAGGTTACTGTTTACTTAGGTATGTATCATCAAACCAACAAAGTTTGTTACTGTTGTAACGAAACAGTTGTGTGATACACGAACTATGTTGTCATGTGTTCAAAAGCTTCTCAGCTGATTATTTTAATTTTATTTTATTTTTTCAAATTTTGTTGACTATTGCACTTCCTATGGTGATACTTTTGCAACATTGGTACGTATTATCTTTCTGTATATTTTGTTTTACTCATGACAAAACTTTGATTTAGTTTTACCAATTTTATGGCAAATTATTTCACAGTTTTGGTGGCATTTCTTATTTAAAAAACAATAATAATCTTTTGTTATTAATGAAACTTTTATCACGCGGCGATATTCATTCAGACAAAAAATTAGTTTTAAAAAAATTAATTTTATAATTTATCTTAAAAAAAGTATTAATTAAATTTTAAAAAAAAATCCTTTATATTTTAAAAAGGACAAAGCGGTTGGTGATTTGGTGCACATGGGAGGCATGCAAATTGTGTGTATTTGCTTGCACCTACGGCGACGAGGAGACCACAAGACCTTCTCCTTACAATTTGCAAAATAAATTTCAGGGATACTCATCGAATGGACCACACCAAGGGATATCTAAAACATTAAAATGATATTATTCGAAACAAGTATTAAATAAAGTATATTCATATATTATCTGAAAAATATAAAATATCTTTAATATTATTTTATTTAATAATTCGGAGAATTTATATAAAAAGATAAAATTATTAAGATATTTATAAAAGCTAGAACAAATAAGCTTATCGATCCGTTACCATTAGTGAACAAAAAAATTATAGGAATTATTTTTAAAAGAAACAAACAAAACTATATATTTTTACTTCACCTTTGAGAATATTATGATAAGGAAAATATATTTTTAATTAATTTTAAATATATTATAATCTTAATTTTTAAAATTTTAAAGTGAATAGGTTGAATATTTTTAAATTAAGAATATTAATGGTATATATTTTTTAACACACTCTTTATTATTAACTAAAATTTATTAAATATTATAAAAATAATAAATATTAATTAAAAATGCTTGATTGTATTTTGTTTCTTTCAAATGACGTAATTAAAGAGATACCTAATTTACAGGCAACGAGATTCGGAATCATTGGGGAAAGGTTAAGACACTACTACACGCGTCTATAAAACACTCCAACGTGGCTCTACCATTTTACGCTTTGCAATTGTAGCTGACGCGTGAGACTCTTCTTTGGTGTCTTCAAAGTAGCACCAACAAGCTTAGAGACTCTTCTCTGGTGTCTTCAAAGTAACCATTCCATCTTTGAAGGACCACAGCATATTATTTGGACTTTGGATGATCAAACATGTCTACTCTAACAACTGCTTTCGTTCCCTCTAAGTTTAAGCTTTCACTTTTGGGGCACCATGTCTCTCCTTCTACGCATAGAAAGAAAAACCAAACAGTTGTCCCTGTACGTCATCTTTTCCTCCCGTTTTAATTAGAAATGAAGTACATTAGGGAGAGACTAGAGAATGTGCTGTGAATGAACAATGGTTAATGTTGTTTTTGTTTTTGTCACCTACGTGGGTGTGGTTGGATCAGGTTGCAAGGTTGTTCGGGCCAGCTATCTTTGAAGCATCAAAGTTGAAGGTTTTATTCTTAGGAGTGAGCGAAATGAAACACCCTGCAGATCTTCCAAGGACTTACACGCTAACCCATTGTGATATCACCTCTAAAATCACTCTTGCCATCTCCCACACCATAAACAACTCTCAGGTATATATTCTATGATTTTTCAATGTTTGTCCATAAAATATATATATATATATAAAATAAACTACTTTTAAATCACTTTTATTTTGTACTTTTACACAAACTAAGCCTCCTTAAATTTGTAAATCATACACAAATTTTTTCTATTTTATAAATATGATAAACTCAAATTCATTTTTTGAAATTGACAAAAATACCCTTTTCATATTTTGGTTTAATACATAAAGTTCTTTTTTATTTCTAAAAATTATACAAACTCGTTTCTATTTTCATACACTGCAATTGAATACATTTTGGATAGTAAAAAAGTGGGAATATTCACTTTTAGACGATTAAAATTTTAAGATAATATTACAATAATAGAAGAAAATAAACAATAAAAATATTATTAATAAATAATTACCAATAACTAGGATTTTTTTTTTGTAATAAATAATTCAATAACAATTTGATCATCTGAAATATTAATAAGTAAATCAATAAAACATAATTGTATTTTTTACTATTTAATTATTAATAAATATTTTTAAAAGAATCAGTATCGTTCCATCTTATTAATAATTCATATTTTTATTACAAAAAGTTAGAAAACATATTTATGTTATGAATATGAAATTATAATTTATTTTATTATTTATTCATTTGCATTATTCTTGTGATATTCTAAACAAATTTCATTTAAAATTTTAATTATTTCAAACTTTTACAATATTAGAGAACTTAATTGTAATGTATTTTTAAAATAGAAGAGAAAAATAGTAAATATGATGATTGATGTGATATAAAAAAAAATTTGAAAAATAAAATATAGAGCTGTCAAAATAAATTTCTTGACCTAATTTGGGCTTTAAATTTTATCATGTTGGATAAAACAAGTTTACTTTTATTTCAGCAGAAAAGTAGAAGCTCATTGTTTTAATAGTTGATTCTGTTATTTCTAATAAAAAATGTCCAATGAGTGATTATATTATTAGAGTATAAAAGGATTGTTCCTTGCCATTTCAGTCAGCCTTTTCCTTTGCAACTATATTTTCATCTTTGCGGAAAAATGAAAGGAAAAATGTGTCTCCATGTTCACTGCCATATCAGTGGAGGTCATCTTCTGCAAGGAACTTCCAGTGGTAAGCAACTTGGAATTGAAAATGAATGATTGAAACTAAATCACCAATTCATGTACAGGTGTTGAAGGCCTTCTTCATTCAAGGCGATGAAAATCTCTTCGAAGAATGTTGGGGCCCACTGAAGGATGCGTGTTCATCCTCAACATGAGGATGCGTATTCTAAAGCATTGATTAGATATTATATAAAATTAATTATGCTTTAAAATTAAAATATTAATAATGAAATAATATATTTTGTCAACACTGATTAAAATTGTTATCTTTTTATCAAACTAAAGTTAATTTATAGATTCTTTCTCCACTTAGATTCAGCAGGGTTAATTGAAGAGATGGTTTCAATTTCCACTAATTCAAAGATTATAACTAAAATGCAGTCTGTTCATCCTGACTCTTAATTACATGCCTGCAGAATAATTTTTCATTGCTGCAAAAAATCAAATTATCTCATTTGGTAAGTTTCACAAGAAGATGCAGCATTGTATTGGTTTTATCACCATGTTTCGTACTTATCGATTCGATTAAAAATAACTAAATAGAAGTAATATTTTTAGAGTTAAACGTAATAATTCTGAGTGTAATAATTTTTATATTATTAATTAAAGAGTTTTGTTAACCTCCACTTTTAAGCTTTTTTAAGTCTCTATAAAGAACTTTTTTTAATAAAAAAAACATTTATTGTATTGAATTATTAAAGTATAAAATGTTTTTTTAATAAATTTTTACTATTATTAATTATTTATCTTCACTTTTAGGGTAAGGTTAACAATTTTTAAATTAATTATAAAATTAATATAATTTTTAAATTACTTATCATAAAATTAATAATATTTAATAATATTACAGTATATTTCAATTAAATCCATATTTGTATATATGATTGGACAAACAATTACAGTTGGGCTCTTATACTGTTGTAATTTTGTCAAAAGTTCAAGAATGATAATACGGCTAGCTCTTTTTTCTTTTTTATATGAAAAATTTTTAAATACTAAAGAATATAACAAAATTTCAAAAATTACCGATGATAATTTTCAAACAAATATTATTAACGGTAATTTTTGGTATTTTAGAAAAATATTTGTTTATATTGCAAATGACAATTTTTAATAATTTTAAAAAAAATTATCGATGGAGAATTTTAGTATTTTAAATATTTATATATTTTTTAGTTGTTTAATATTTTTACTGCATTAATTTTAAATTTTCATATTTCTATAATTTTATTTAAAAATTTATATTTTGGTATATATTACTTTTAAATATTATATAAAGATAAAAAAAAACCTGATAATGCATATGTAACGCTTACCAATATCAAAATTATGTACTGAAAAGTTTTTCATAAAAATATTTTAATTGAATAATGTATATTAAAATTTTATTTTTAATTATTATTATTATATTAATTGGTAAAAATAATAATATCAATAATACAATAAAAAGCAATCTTAAAATTCATTTTGTTGAATTTTATATATATATATATATATACTAAAAGCTTGGAGTTCGATCACAAAGAATTGATGAATATTAATAACATCGAAGAAACATACAGAAATGCGAAGTGCAAACCACTCATGATTACGATGACTACCGATGATCAACGACACGTCGTATCAAATTTGGGACAACAAAGCGAACCTTTTGAAAAATCCCAACAGATTGTACGAATGCCACCGACAATAATTATAAGTAAATTCTAAATAATAAGAAACGATTTTCACAATGCATCAGTGATTTCGGCTTATTTTTTTTTTTTAAATAATACTTTTTAAAAATATATCTTTGTGTCTATAGTTTTTTTATTATGTAAACACCTGTTTTATCTGCCGGTATAGATTAAATCTATTTATTTTTTTAATTTTTTAATTAAATTTTATCTTTAACATAAACAAAATTATATTATTGTGTCATGTATTATTATCTGATAAAATTTATAAGATTCGTAGCATGTTATACTAGTTCGACCTATTAATATTATACTTATAAGATAATTATTAATAATTACTTTTGTATTTAACATTTTTAAAGTAACTTATTTTCAGCATAATACGTGGGATAATTTTATAATTTTTTTATATATCATATAAAAATTAGTAAATAAATAACATGTATTACAATTATGAAATTTTGTTTTTATTAAAAACAAAAAAATCAATTTTATTTGTACAGTAGATAAAATAAGTACTCATGTGACAGTAAAAAAAATTTTAATTTTTTTTTAAAAATTTATTTTTTAAAAAATATTAAAAAATAAATAAGCCTGTAATTTCTATCAAATATTTAGTTTGTTTTTAAATTTTGAACTAAAGTATTATTAATTAACATAAAGCCACGTACGTTTCATCAGGTTTTGAGCAAAAAATTTTTACTAACAAACAAAGCTCATATCTAATTTTTATTTTATTTATATGATATATATTTTTCTTTTTTATGAATTTACTATTTTTTAGTAATGATGTCATTAATTTAAAAATTATTATATACACCTTCTAATCTCAAATATAAGTAAAAATAATTAAATTATGTTAATTATAAAATTAATTATTATTTAATACTTTTAATTATATAAAAAATAAATTCTTTAAAATTTGCTTCAAAATTACTTTAAAATAATTTAATATTTTTATTAATATTAAATATCTTTTGGTGAAAATGATAAGATGAGAAATTATATGATAAATAAATTAATTAATAAAATATAATAAAACAATAATAAAATTTTATCCTATCTTATATTTGATGTTTATCATAATAATAAAATAGATAATATTATATTATTTTTTAATTATTAAGATAATAATAATAATATAATAATATATAGATTATATTTAAATGAAAACATTACTCTTTCATCAAAGTTGATATAATTTTTTAATATATTTTAAATTTTTTAAATATATATTAAAAATTAAAAAATATTTTTACATACATGTAATATTAAAATTTGACATTATATATTCTGTAATTTATCTTTATATTTTTTGTTACTCTTTACCAAAAATAATATTATAATTTGATATAAAATTTCTATAATTTTATTCAATTCTTTATAATTAAAATTTTTAAATAATAAAGTATAATTAGAACATAAAATTATAAAAATTTATTTTATAGAATGATTAAATATTTTTATAATTTTTTAAATATACCTTCTCAAAAGTTAAAATAATATTTTTAAAATGTTTTTTATTAAAAAATGTTCATATAATTTTTTAACAAAATACTTAAAATAAAGGGCATAAAATGTGAATAATGTAATAAAAATCTATGCTGATATTCTCTAAACCATCTCTCTCTTTAGGATAAAAATTAAAACTACAATGATAGGATATTATAACTCAGTTAAATAAATTTTTTATCTTGTAAATCAATAAACATACAAAAATAAGATAGAATAGAATAAACTATCGTATAATTGTATAGCAATAGCTTACCTTGTTTATTCATCAAAAGTTCTTTTAAATGTCAAAGTCAAACTATAAAAATTAAGAAGTCATTTAGTATTTTAATGAAAAATAAATGAATTTTGGTCACTAATTTGAAGGAGATTTCTCTTTTTATTTTAAAAATTGAATGGACTTACTAACTCATATACCAAAAATAAAAAGTTATTAGAAATAAAATTTAAATAAAGATAATTTAGATATAACTTCATTAAATATCAAATCAATTAAGATTTATTTATATTTTATAACTGTTCTTAAATTACCGATTTAAGTAGTTTATTTGTTTAAAATAACTAATTAAGAGATAAATTAAATTAAATTATATCAATATAAGTTATACTCTTATATTGTTTAATAACTTTTGATTAAATAATTTAATTTTAAAATCATGTTAAATTAAAAGTTCTAATAATATAAATTATATTTTATACCATCGCACCTTAGCTTAGATTTTTTATATTTGAAATTAATGTATTAATTTTCAATTATACCACACATCACTAAAGATAAAAAAAAATGTTATATTATATCTATTAAACAAATGACTTTTAGTATTTGTATTATTCTTTTTTATTTTTTAAAATTTAGTGTTTACAAATATTTTGAATATAAAATTGATCCAAAAGTAAGAAAGAATAATTAAACTACAAGTTTAAATAGGCTACTTATTTACTGTTTTAGGTTATTTATAATCAATATCTTCTTTTTTAATTTATCCTTTGATTTGTTGGTAACTTATTATTGTGAGACTTTATGTTACCTTGATATCATCCCTCAAGTTTAAGTAGTTTTTTTTCCTAGTTGTGTCTTGTATTCATAATCTTCTTTTTAGTCTGTGCTTCAAGTGTAGACTTCTATTCCAAGTTTTATTATTCCTTTTGTTTCCTTTCTTTTAATGTCATATATTATTATTGTTCAACTTCTCTTTCTTCTTTCTTCTATCCAAATTTCTCTTCAAGCCCACTTAGAATAAGAGGGAAGGAGAATACATTGCATAGAACAAATTGTTCCAGCCAAAAGTAGTGTAGATGTTTGGAAACTTCTTCGTTGCTTAGTACATATCTCCAAAATGCAATTTTATTATTTTTTTGGGTAGTTCTCTGCTCAGGATCGACATTGCCATTGGCAATATCTCCATTCTCCATGTAATAAGTGGCAGGATTCAAGACGTGATTGGTGAAAAGGTTTCATTTGTTATTATAGTTTCAAAAATCCTAGCATGGCTAAAATGCAACCTCAGAATTTCTACCTCTTGGCGCAATTAAGCTATGGATATTAAAGATTTGGAAGAACAACACCGTTTAATTCAAGAAAAAGCAGACTTCACTAATCACTTCAAAGAAAATATCCAACATACACAGGGCTTAACAGACTTGAACAATAATTTACATGGTAATATTCCACCCAAACTTGGAATTCAGAAAATGATGTGAGCAACGAACAAAAACAACTACCTAACAGACAAATACTACCTACATTCTCCAATTTGAACCAATGTGTTTGGCTATCTTTTATGTAACAAATTATTATGGGTTTTTTTTTTTTTTTTAGAGAAAATTGTGATTGAAAGGGTGTGTAGAGAAGTTAAAAAAGAAATATATTTTTTTGCAAATATAATTTTTTAAATAATAAAATTATTATGGACTTTTTTTTGTAAATATAAATTTTAAATAATAAAATTTTTAAAAATAATAATGACCCACTAATAATGTAAGTTGGATATCCATTATCTATGATTACTTAATAAAAAGGAATTGATAACAAAATCAAAAGTTTAATATTTTAAATAAGTTAGTGACCGAATTCTAACAAAAAATTTTAAAAACTTATTTCAAAAGTAACACTTTTATAAAGACAAAATATATAATTATTTTTTTAATATATGAATCATGTAAAATGAAACGATTTTTAACTTATACATAAATTGTTTTATTTTTAAATGAATTACATTGATATATTTAAATTGATCATGTGCTTGAATATAAGTTGTCATAAGTTAAAGTAATTTAAGTTATATATAAATGATTGATAAGTTATATAAATTCATTAAAAAATAAAATTATTTTTGTTAAATCTTATACTTAATTATTATAATAAAACTTTATTTTATTATAATTTTATATTGTATTTTGTATTTTTAACATAATATACTGTAAATTTTTATTATGATTAAAAAGAAAGAATGATATTTTTAAGTAAGTCATAGTTAGAAAAAAAACCATACCAAAGTAATTTATTTAAAATATTATTGGAAAATAATGATTCTAAGATTGCTTACATATTATCCAGGATACTAAAAAATATATATTTAATCAATAAATAATAATTATAATTATTAAAATATATAATATTTATTAAATATAACATTTAATATCAAATTGCAGTCAATTTTTTTATTAAGATATGATAGACATGGAAAAAATAAAGTTAGTATAACAGAAAATATAAAAGCAGTACCGTTGAATAAAAAATGTTAATATAAAAAATATAAAATTATATTACATTTAATTTTGTTAGTTCAAAATATTTTTATAAATAACAAAATTTAAAAATAGAATCATGAATATATAATAAAAATAAAAATAAATAATAATAATTTACATAAAGAAAAACAAATAAAAATAGAAAATAAATTATAATTTTATTATTCAATTTATATGAAATATATAATTAAGTATTTTAATTTATAGTGTAGTTAAGAATTTATTTGACGCTATATAAATGTTATAATGTAGTTAAATTTACATATATTTGTTAGTTTTATTTTTTAAATTAAAATAATTATAAATATATATTTAAAATTATAATAAGTTATATAAATTAGCAAATAAAAGTATCAATTTAAATTAAATTATCATTTTATTTATCAATTTATATGTACTATATAATTATGTATTTCAATTTTCACTTTAATTAATATATTATTTGATACTATATTAATGTTATAGTGTCATATAGTTGTTGGTTGAAAATAATTGTCATAAATTTTTTTAAAAATTGTAAACGTATATTTAAAATTATAATAATTGACAAATATTTAGATAAATCAACAAATAAAAGTAAAATTTAAAAATTAAATCATCAATTTATGTATTAATTTATATATACTATATAAATATTTGTTGGTATAAAATTAACAAAATGGCTTATAAAACATCCTATCAAAAACTTTACGTTTTTTAAAAAATTAAATAAAATTTTCTATTATTAAACTAATAAATATTTTTCTTTATATTAAATATTTTCTTTTATTTCTTAGTCAATAACATAAAACCACCAGTTAGCATCTACCTTTAGGTAATTAAAAAGATTAATGAACTAATATATTCAAAACAGTCATTAAGGAGAATTATAATTTTTACCAAATCGTCATACTAAATACTAGATAAGTAGAGTAACTTAAAAATAAATAAATCAATTATCATCAATAGAAATGGCCAACATGATGTCCAATCGCCATTTTAGGTTCAATTCCCTTATTTAAATCATTAAAAAATTAATCCGGTATGTAACCATATATTATTATTTTCATTTCTTATTTATTTTATATAAATACACATAAAAATACACTTCAGTTTTTAGACACTTTAAAATGTCCCCACTAGTGTTTTAAAAGTTATTTTAGTTTAGGTTCATAATGGGTAGAAAGCTCCCCCAAGAATGATTCGGTCCAAACAAAAATGTAAATTAATACTTGTGGTTCAATTTGTACATACTCTTGCATGAGTAGTAGACCATAAGTTTAGAGGATAGAATCGACACCTGTTCAAGAAAAACTTCATGAAATAATCAGAACTAATAAAGACATGGTAAAATGGGAAGAACGCATCAACCCTCCTAAGAAAAGAATAATTATATACAACGGCTGTTACAAGCTAGCTAAGGATGTTTTTTTTTTTTTCTGAGGACCCATCTTTAAATATATGACGCAGGAGAGCGCTATTGAAAAGAACCAAAAAGGAGAGGGAGAGGGAGAGGGGAAAAAAACTTGGCTACAACATTAACACATATAAATCTAAGAGGGATAATAACATGACCCTTTCTTCAAAATGAAATGAGACTCGAAATGAATCGCATGAACATGTATCATTGGCAGCCATATTATAACTTCTATAGTTTTCTGCAATGCTCTCTAACTGGTAAAGCGTGCCGTTGTGATGGTAATTTTCACATGCTAAGTTTTCCCACCGTGGTGTTCTGTGTTCTGAAATTTCTTTCTGCACAGCCACGCAAACTTTGAAATAGGCAATATGATTGAATCAAAAGACCAGGAGCAATCACCTAATAATAGTTCTTCCAAGCGATGATGCTCCAATTTCACTGTCAGTATTCTGCAGCAATGGTCGCATCCAGTTTGTCAATCATTATCATATAAACATGAAACAAACCAAAAGATCATTTGTTACTTATATATACACTATCTTTACACACGAAATGGTGTTATCTGCACATACATTTCGGGAAACCAACTATCAAACCGATTTAATCACTTTACTGAGGTTGGTAGGGGTTACTAGTTGATTATTGATTAACCATCTAACAAACATAACTAACCAAAATATATAACTGGGGAATAACAAGGGATTGGCATAAAAATTGTCATTTGAATTTGCAGTTATCTGCTCGTGTAATATTGGTTAAATCAGTTTAAATAATAAAAGGCTTTGGACAGCACAGATTTTTTCTCCATCTCTCGTGAAAAATTTACCTGTGATTTAGGGGAAGGGAATACATTCCAGAACCTTAGGGTTTCGTCTCCAGCTCCAGTAACAATAGTCTGAAACAGTAGAAGCCATCATAACCAGCACATAGCATGGATGATAAAAAAATATATAATATTCTTAATCATAGACACTGAGTAATATAGAAAGAGGAAGAGTTGAAAGAAGGACTGAAATACCTGACCATCTGGAGAAATGGCAAGATAAAGAACTCTATATGTATGGCCAGTAAGAGTGGCCAACTGCATCAAATGACAAAAAAATGATGGTAAATCAATGTTCAAATTAAGAAAAAATAAAATAGATACTCCTTATCACGGTAGACATTGGGTACCTTTGACATGGTGGGGTATCTCCAAACAATTATCTGATTCTGGGAGTAGCCATGTGTGCTTACCACTTCATTGACATTTTTTGACCATACAAGATTGCAAACCTGTCGTATATAAAGGTTGAACATCATTTTATTTGTTAAGAAATAGAAAAGGCATAGCAGGAAGACCATTTTTATCCTTCTCTCAATATTGACGAGGCAAAAGCCACAGATACTAAATCTAAAGTGGAAAGGAAAATTTGGGGATGTTAAACTGGCCATAACCAATATGCAGAAACTGATTAAATGTCTCACGGTAAAATCCAGATTACTCAATTGCCACACCTCCCCCCCTCCCTTCAAAAAAAAAAAAAAAAGTGGAAAGGAAAAATGTTTTGTGAATAAGCATCCACTCTTATTTTTCAACAATAACTATGATGATTGCACAGAGAGGACAGGACCATCTTGAGGTCCAATGTTGCTGTACCATGCCCTTTTCTAATCGTTTCTTGAACCGCTCTATCATTTTCCAATTCATTTCGAATTATTTTTCAAGTTCTTTTGCATAATTTTCATTTTCCATTTTGTAGATTGGTTCAGCAGCTTGTTGTTCTGCATGCTTTAAATGTTTACTGAAATTACCCTTCAGCAAAACGAACACACTCCTTTTAGCAACTAGTCAACAACTGTGTTGAACCAACTAACAACTGTGTAAAAGCAAATATCAAAATGTAGTGAATTTGATGTAAGGGTGCCAACATGATAAGGAAGTTACTTTACCTGACTTCCAGTGTCTATACAGCTTAAGTGTGAGTTTGTGGTTGTATTCCAGAAACGTATACATCGATCTGCAGTTCCTCCCCCAGATGCAAGAAGTCCATGAAGATGAGGAGACCATGCAATAGCTTTAACAGCTGCTGTATGCTCATAGTACTTCAGAAGAGGCTGAGTTGAATGTTGATTCCAAACAAACAACTGCAAACACATGAAATAAATTATTACATAAGCAGAAGAAGTAAAGGATAACAGAGCAGTTGGATATAGTTCAGAACAATGTTCAAGTTTGCAGTTGCATACTCTGTTGTCATTTCCTCCAGATGCCAACTCACGATTATCATATGACCACTTCAGTCCACAAACCTTTGAAAAACCAGAAAGGAAAATAAAAAATCAAAATCTTGCTGAATACCATGTACAGTAGATTGAAGCAAGCTTGACAGTTTACCAATAAAATAAAGATAAAGCTGGAGGAAATAAAAGCAAGCCTGACCTCTGATTTGTGCCCTGATAGTTTACTAACAAAATCTTCTTGCGCACGTATATCTCGTTGATAAATATTCTTATCCCTGCCACCAGAAGACAAAAGAGATGAACTCCAGGCCAAGGCCCCAACACGTAAACGATGACCCTCCATTGATCTTATCTTCTTGCATCGAGATGCATCCCAAATCTACATGGATAATAATTAGGGCCAAATGTGGGTTAATTTGTCATATAGTATCAGAGGACACAAAGGTTCATGAAAGAAAGAATAAAGTGATCTTAGCAAGTTCCAGGGATTCAATGGGAAGAAAAAGACATCTTGGTCATGGAAAACAGAGAAGCAGAGATCAACTTGACACCCTGTTTTCTTGGGGAAGTCAGTCTCGAGGACAATGATTAAGGTAGAAATGATGCACTATCTAACTTAAAAGGAAAACTGAGTAGCCTATATATACCCAGAACCAATTTTGCTCAGGAACAAGTTCTTGCCATCTACTTTTTCGCACACTTGAGGGCAAACAGCTATGGATTATGGAACCAAAGTAAAATTCAATTAAGCAAGCAAATTAATTTTCTATATTAAAAGTAACATGACATGCTTATGGACTATATCAATACATAACTATCAAACCAAAGGAATTCAAAACACTGTCATTCTTAGGTTATGTTTCCTAGATCTAGCAGAACCCCAGAAAGGCAGTGTTAAGAAGACTAGAAATACAAATACACAAACTGACAAAGTTTTTCAGCATAAATATGATAGAACCAAAAACTTAATCAATCCATTTAGTACATCACTTGCTGACACAAGCATGACCTTCATTAGCTAGCTGTGACACAACTCCCATTCCTAGTAGAGGAGCCTCTCCCCTCTTATCGCCTGGCTCCTAGGGAGTGTTCTAGTCCACATCAATTAGCATCAAAGTACCGAGTGCTCTTTCTAAACTGATGGGGTTGACATAGATGAGTCCCATATCAATCAGGTACTCACTTTTATAGTGAACGGTCTTCCCCTCTATCAACTTTACTTTTCCGAGTGGTTTAACTATATTTTTTTTACTTTTGTTGCATTTATTGTATTCAGTGAATGATTCATTCAATTATATGAATAGCAGCATCCAATATTTGCACAAGTACATCAATGCCAACTCAGAATGTCAACCACATAACCTAATGTTAGAAAGTAAATCCAATTTAATCAATAGTATTATGGCCTAATCATATGTTGAGCATCAATTCTGTTTAAAACAAATGTAATGGAATCAAATAAAATGAAAATAAGGAGAAGGACCCGTCTGATCCCTTTTTTGAGTGTGGTATAATCAAATCAGTTTTAAAATAGATTCAAGTTCATGGTGAAACCCATACATGGCAACTTATCCATCATCAAGGCATAATTAAAAATTATAAATATGTAAATATTATAAATTCAATGATGGATGAGCTACAAATATAGTGTTCACCATGAACCCAAGTCTAGAATAACATAACTCTTATGATCAAGGAAGGAAAGAATGATATGATGCATATAATAGTCAATAGAACAAGACAAGACATGACACAACACAAGACGACAAGCACTAAGCAACACAAGTACATAACAAGGTCTATAATACAAGGATTTGGCATGGGATAAATATATGTATGTGTGTATATATATATATATATATATATATATATATATATATATATGAAAAACTATATTGATAAACACATTTGCTTGTCCAAACATGAAAACATCAATAAATGTATTAAAATATACCCAACTATGCCTGGTATGTGCTAAAACATTTATAAGGTATCTAAGCATCTATGCTTCATCAAAAAGGAAGCAAAGGGAGTGATCCTTTCCCCAAGAAGCATTTGAACTAAACCTTTTAAGAATGAAAAGAGGGGAAACAAAAACGATATTACTGAAATTTTCTTAACTTCCAATTTAATACATCCTCAATAAAAGAAATTAAAACAATTTTTAAAATGGAAATTGTACAGAAAATCTTTAATTTTTATCCAAACTAAAGCCAAACAAGCATATCTATACTCATTATTTTTCTAAGAAGAACCATCAAATCAAGGAAAAAATAATCAAAATATTTTCAATTATTTTTCATTCATTAATGACTGTTAAAATATTTTTCATTCCATCCTGTATAATCAAGACGGATAAACAGTTAGTAATGGCAAGCGATTTGATACTTGTCCCCTTCTTAAACCTAAGAATCTACCCAGGAAGCTCTCTGTTCCCCAGAAAGGCTTGGATCACCAACAAGATGTCTAAACTAATTGACCACCATTTGCAGCTATCTTCAATCGCTTCCCATCTACTCTAGCAAGTTCTTATTAACTACATGCTATTCTTTTTTCTCTCCAACCTAAATGAAGGGCAGCATCGTCATCTTTACACTTTACCCCAATGCTCCCTCCTTTTTGCTACTTTTCTTTCTTAGATTTTGCAGACAGTATGCTTAGTGCTTGCCAAATAAATCCAGGTTTCAGGATCAACAAAAGTTGCTGATCTACGATACTACAATGCTGAATGGTTATATCTCTGGTCTAGGGCGATGGCTTTTTTCACATGTTATTGCATTCCCACGCACGCCAATATTTATGAGTACCCATCAAATACACCCCACGATATGAACCAGTAAACGTGCCTGAGATGTGATCAGCATGTACACTCTTACCTGAACTTTACCATTGCTAGTTCCAACAGCAAGGTGTGTACCACGCTGAGCCCAACCAACTGAACAAACGCAGTCATCAATCCCCAAGTCACATAATTTAGTAACCTGCACGCAGCACATCAAGATGGAAGGGAATCACATAAGAAGAATCTTCAATTTGCATAACCGAACACCACACCGGTTACCTCACATCACAACCACAGAGAAATCTAAGTTCCGAAATCAAACACATGCATTTCTTTTCCCCAAATCAAATCCAAACAAAAAGAAAGAAACAAAACTCACCTTGCTGCTACAAGCATTCCAGAGATAAACACAGTTACCAAGACCAACAGCCAACACATTATTCGAAGACCAATCCACCAGATTCAGATAGAAATCATCTTGCAGCGCAGGTGCATCCAGAACCTACCACACACAACACAATCTCCATAAACAGAAAAAATTAAATTAACTTAAAATTAAACTAAATTCAATTCAATTCACCTTAAAAGGCGACCTTGGAACCTTCCTCGGAGCCTTGACCGGGCTGTGATTAACGCCAAGAACCACATCGTCGCTCATAAACGGCGAAAGCGAGTCCATGGACTGGCGAGTCTCGGTCTTGTACCGGAAAATATTCCAGCTAGGAAGCATCATTGCCGGCAAAGGCGTTTTCTCCGGCGTGAGGGGCGGCGCGACGCCGGCGACGTCGGCTCCGAACAAGGCGGTGCGCAAGAGCGTGGTGTAGGCGCTGGAGGTGTCGTCACGGCCCTCAGGAGGCGCGGAAATGTCGAAGAGAGCAAATTTGGAGGCAGATCTGCTAGGAATGAACCGGTCGGAGTAGATTGTTCTAGAAGGTGAGGTGTAATGGTTGGAGTTGATCATGCGGTCTACGTGTCGGAGAGACGCCGCCACGTTTCCCGACGCGGCGGCGGGAGGAAGATTCAGGTGACCGGATGAGTCGTTCATGATTCCGGTAACACGATCTGAGAAACTGTGGCGGAGGCTGTTAATTTTCCCGGGAAAATCCAGTAAAAGTTGCAGCTATTTTATGTTTGTTTTTTTATTTTTAAGCGGTTTTAGCTGCCTCGGCTTTCGTGCTCACTCGCTCACTCTGGATCGTGGACCCCTCTATCCTCCCTCTTGGCTCCACCACCGGTCGTTGTGTTCTTCCTTCCTCCTCTTCTTATACACTTTTGCAGGCAAGAAGGGATATCATACTCACTCAATTTCCTGGATTCTTTTTTTATTATTAAAGATGTATTAATTTACCAGTGTCACTCCTCGCTTCACCTAAAATTAATAGCTTAATGTTGTATAATTTGCATGTTTTTGTACAAGATTATGCTTAATTACTTTTTAGCATGTCAAGATCTACATTTTGCTAAAGATAAATTTTAATTTTCATTTAATATAAAGTGCTTAAGGATCACAGTGGATAGGACACCAGGATATCTAGGATCGCATCGCGTTAATAAAAAGACTTGGGCTCATTAAAAAAGAGTTATACGAGTTTACGAATGAAGAAAAATCATATAATCTTTTGTTTAAGCTACTTAAAATATAATAATTTAAATATATTCTAAAAAGTTGCTTTGTTATCCAATCGTATACGATTACAAATTATAAAAATAAAATTGGCATGCCTCATAAGTATCTTCTATTTAGATATGTTTATAAAGATCCTTTAATACTTTTTATGAATGTAAATACAAAAATATTTATATTTAAATAATAGCTATTAATTATTAAAAATCTAGAAAATCTTCTAATATATTTAATCATGGCCAACAGCTATTACTTTGGCATCCATCTTTTTGTTTTTCTTGGCGTTGAAATGGTATTGAGTTTTCAGGCGCACATCTTTTTGTTTTTCATGCTGTTGTTATCGAAATGAGTTTTTATGCGCTTTATTAGCTGCTGGCTGCTGCTTATAAATAACTCCATGGCCGGTCAGAGAGGGTAAAAGGTTATAATGATTTTAGACTCCCCATTTTATTAAGCTTAAAATATTATTTATTAATAATATTTGCATTCATTATTTTTTTTAAAATTATCAATTAATTAGATAATTAAGCATAAATAGTTTTCTCATAAAAAAAATAGGGCTCACCTTACAACGATGCACTCTTAATTAATCATCATCTTACTAATTGTTCTTCTTTCTATCATATTAATTCTTATTAAAATACATTTCATCTAATTAATTAGTTTATAATTAAAAATTAGAATAAATCAAAGTCATAAAATATGCTATTATAAAATGTTAATTACTTATACAATAATTTAATAAACAAGCTTATATATATATATATATATATATATATAATGCACTTTAAATAATATAATAATAATTTTAATTATTTTTAAAAAACTTATCTTTACTCTTTAATTAAAAAGCATCTCATCTGAAAATTCACTTTAAAACTAAATATACATTAAGAAGACCGTAATAACTCCTCCAATGAACTACATCACTTCAGATGTCCACATCCCTTCCTTTGTGCTTATACTTATGTAACAATTTTTTTTTTTAAAAGACACTTAATTAAGTAATAACGTGAAATTGAAAAAAAAATAAAATACATCATTTAACGTAATTCTTCCCGATCTTTTCATAGTGGTTAAACAACGTTGTTTACATGAGTTAGAAGGAGCTCCATCATGCCTATTTGTCTTCATGGTTAAAAGAATGAAGTATTTCCATGCGAAAATAAGAGCTGGAATTTCTCACTAACAGAATTTCAGAGCAAGTTAATTTGAGGTTATTAAGAATGAATTTTTTAACCATGTCCAAAGAAAAAATGAAAATTTATGTATGATAATTTTTTATTACAAAATACATAATATTTATCGAATTTAATATATTAATAAAATCAACTATTATAATTTTTAATAAAAACTATTATTAATTATTTTCTTATCATGTTAGAAATGTCGCTGAAAAAAAAATTATCTAGATTAATTTATAAAAATAAAAACTTACACCATATTTAAAGTACCTTTTAAAAATATAAAAATAGTAATTTAAAAATATGTTTTATGTTTTATGTTTAACTAGATAGATCCTTAAATCTTAATTCTCTAATTATCTACTTCACTTTTTTTTGTTTAGTTTATAAGGTTTACCGGTTCTCTCCGTGCGCGTTGACATAAAACCTTTATGTAGAAATGCTCAGTTTCTTAGACCAAATAAAAAAATATATGCTCAGTTTTAGGTTCATAAAAATGCTAAATTTAAATGCAGTCAATCGTTTTTATTAGGAGTATGGGTTAAGTTGAATTTACTTGAAGTTAAATTTAGTAAGTTGAGTTAAATTAGATCTGTCAAGAAAATTTAATTAACTTAATTCAAATTAATCCAACCGAATTTAAGTTAAATCAAATCTGGTAATCGGGATATTATATGTTTTGGTTTTATGAAGATAATATTTTAAAAATAAAATAAATCCACATCACGCATATATGTATTAAAAATTTCAAATAATATTAATAAGAAACCAAAATAAAATAAAACGAATAGAAAGAAGAGGAAAAAATGTAAAGCAATAATTTATTTGTTCGTCAAATTTAATAATGTGCAATCCAATAGCCTGATCCAATCATGAGTAGGTTATACTCTTTATAATGCGATTAACTTCATGCTTGTTGAGTTGAACTGAGTCGAATCAATCGAGTTTATGTGAACGAGATTAGATCTACGATACCCCCCAAGTTTTGATATGGCAATGATGTTTGGTTTCCGTCATTTAATTTATAATATTAAAAAGAAAATCAATCATTAGAAATAATAAACTATGTTTAATAACAAAACATCATAGTAATAAAAAAAATGCAAGAAAAAAAAAAGAGAATTTAAAGTAGTGAATAATAATAATAATAATAATAATAATAGATGTTAATTTAAAGAAAAGTGATTCAAGCCAAGTGAAGTAAAGACAACATTTTACACGTTTGAATCTTTACTTTTCTCTTTAAAGTGAAATAGATATAAATTTTTTTATTATTTTTAGTCTAATAAATTGCTCTGCTTTAAAATAGGAAATCATTTTTCAGAAAATTTAGTTAACCAAAAATAAATTATTAAATAAGTAATTCGAAATTTTATTTTAAAATATATGGGTGTGAAAAAATAATTTAAGAAAGATTATAACTTTTTAATGTATAACTGTACCTAAGATGTTAATATTTCACATATCAAATGCGATGATGTTATTAATAGAAACAAAATGGTGTGGAAGTGATATTGTTAAAAATAGTTCATACTCAACAATCATGGCACGTTTATGTAAAGAAGTGGTCATTGATACTTGTTCACAACCGATCCAGTATACTCAAAACGTATAAAGAATATTAAAGTTTGTCCTCACATTACATCTCTCACATGGGATTTTTCAAAGTTTGCTAAATTTATTGAAGATGTTCTGTTATTTAAAGCGTAATATAACAAAATAAGAAATTGATAGATATAAAATATGATGCGAAATGTGCAATGATGAAAAAATGCAATGAACATCAGTGTGGCATCTTCATGTGATATTTGGTACATATCGTAAGTATTTTATTTTTTGTTCTTTTATTAAGTCGGAGGTAAGTGATTGTTATAGTATTTCTTCTTTATCTAGTATCTTCTTCTTCTTTTATGCTCGTAGGAAAGCATTCTAAAGGCAAAAATAAAAATAAGTTAAATTGACGGTTATGCCATACTATTAATGGTTTTTGAATAGATATATTCAATTACCCTTGTAGTACAAAGATTATACTATTATTTATGTAAATGAAAAATAATATCTTTAATTTACGAGTATTATTGAGATTGAAAATATATAGTTTATTAATATTTTTAATTGTTTATATTAAGTTTTTCACTTGAAGTCTTGTATTTTGATTAACCAAAAATATAATAAAAGTTAATTTAAATAATTAAAATTATATAAAAACTAAAAATAGAAATAAGTAAAATATAAAATATAGCACAATAAATGGTGTCATGGTTTGGAGCAGACAGGTAGCAGTGAAGTCCAGCCCAATCTGCCAACTGCGTGGTAAGAAAACAACAAGGTCCAGCTTACGTTCCAAGATTCGAAATAGGTATTCTCTATTTTGTATTTACATACTCCAAAACTAAACCAGATTTGGATTTTTTTGCCCCCTCTTTTCAAGGCCAGATTTAGATCTTTTCAGTAACATGGTAGCAATAAATTTCCATATACATTACAAAGCCAAATTATTTTGTATTCTTTTTATCATTTTTAAATTTAAAAAAAGACCAAATTTAGTATGCCTCCTAGTTAATGATATCTTTCATTATTAGCAATTTTATTCTGTCACAAGAAAATTAGTAGACTGAATTTTATTTTCATTCAATCTTCATCAGTATAACTTTTTTCCACTATTATTTAATAATGTATCAATACATTATTATAAAATGTTAGATTTTTTTTGGAAAATAACTATGATTGTCAAATTTTTAAATATTTTGATAATGCATTATCAAATAATAAATGTAAAAAAATACTATGTTTAAATTAAATTCTTATAATTTTATAATATATAAAGGTCGAGTTTGGATAATTTTCTTAATTAGTACTTATAATAATAAAAAAATTAAGTGCTAAGATAAATTTTAATTTATAATTTCTTCTATTTTGGTAAAAACTTTCTTATTTAACTTTTTAAAGACTTCAAAAATATAAATTGTTTTTAATTCATAAAAAAAGTTTTATTTATTTTTTTATATTAATTTTTTCCTTTAAATACTTATCTAAAAATTTACCAGGATAGGATTAGTAGTGAGTGACTTGGATAGCGTGCGTGCATGAGATTAAAACCGTTGTACTAAAGAAAGGAATTCAGGTAAAATTAATGTTTTGTTTATTTGATACAAAGTAATCTGTTGAGTAAGTTTTAACTTGAATTTGAATTTGGAATATGAATCTTTTACTTGTTTATCATATATGAACGTGTAACAATAATTTATTTATTGTTTCAAATAAATATTGATAAATCACGCCTATTCAATACCCATAAAGAAAGAGATAAATACAATATTTTTACATTATAAAATATGTGAAAATTTAACATGATAAAAAATCATGTAAAATATTAATATCAAAGTATCTATTTTCTATAAGTTTAGTTAGTTAGATTTTTCAATTGAAAACAAACTAATTGATTATCAATATAAGAAAATAAAGTATTTGTTTGATTTTACATTAAAAAATTCATAAATATGAATTCAACATAAAAACTAATGTAAATTAATGACTAGTAAGTCAAAATCAAACACGCACTAATTGATTTCACCTGTATAACCTTTTTATCAAAATGCAAATCAAACAACAGAAAACAATATTGCAAAGAATCAATTTGATCTTTTTAAGACAAATTTTAGACATCACGCTTTAAGTATGTTTGTGATAATTTTTTTATTATAAATTCAGAATTCACACTTTAATATATATATATATATATATATATATATATATTGATAAAGTAAAATTTCAATTTTAATAAAAATATTACAAATATCTAATATATAAAACTTAAGATTTATCCTTGATTTAATCTTGACTTTCAATACGAGAAAACTAATTGGTTTTACCATACCAATAACCTTTTTATCAAAATGAAATCAAACGAAGAGTAAGACGTGAGAGCCAATAAATAGAGATTTGCTAGTTTTATACAGCTACCGCACATGTTTATGAGTAAATCAAATTAATTATTTTAAATTTTGAATGATTCTAAATAGAATATATATTTAACCAATACTGGAAAGGTTGAGTGACAAATTCCCATTGTTCCAACATGTGTAAAATTGAAGTTCAGTAGGAAGTCTCTTGACAATGGCCATTTGCATCGCTTGTGGAAAATTGATCACAAAAGATTAAAAATAACAAGTAAATGAAAAGGAGAGGCATGAGAGTGAGAAGTTATGTAGTGCTTTTAACTGAAGTTGATATCGGTGGAATAAGTTAGTCCAACGCCCCAGTTGGCAGGAGCAACATTCCATGCTATTATAGTTTCTTTGGTTGTGTAGGAAGTAACCTTGAAAGAGAGAGCTTGGCCATTCAATGTAGCAAATACTTGGTAAGAAGCACCCCAATTGTGGCTCATGCTAATCCAATCTGTTCCACTTCCTTTCACCCACATGTTGGCAATATCTCCTCCACCTCCCACATTCATCACATACACCAATAGCCAATACCCATTTCCTTGGAAAGAGAATCGAAGCCCTCCACTCCTTACACAAGGCACTCTGAGAAATAATCATTTAACAAATCACATTGTCAGAGATCATTAGAGATACACATACTAACATGATTATTTAGAATAAGGGGAATTTGATATCTACACGCCACTTTTGTAAATACATGAATCCAATTCTTAAAGTAACCAATCTCTATAAAACAATTGTGCAAGAAAGATTTGATGTTATTATATTCTTTATATGGTAAATAAACTTTTTCTTAAATCACCTGCGGTACATAACAGGAACAATGCCAGCTTCCCAGTGTGCAATTTTCATGAATGCGGGCTTGGACATGTCAAAATGTGCACGCGGGGGGTTGCACCAACCTCCATCATTAGAGGCCTCAGCCCAATTAGGAGGGCAAAGATTGGTGGCAGTCACAGTGGCGTAAGGCACGTTGGAGTAGCATGCACTCGACTGGACACATTGTATCTGATAACAAGCCCCACATGCATACCCATTGTTGAACAATGTTGAGCTCAAAGCCGCTGTATCTGTCCCGTACCCGTTCAGGAACAAATTTCCATACCCACATGCTCCTCCTTTGATTAGGTCCATCCAATTTTTTAATCACGATATAAAAAAAAGGCATGTTAATACAAAGTAACATAACATTGATTAGGCTTTTACATCAATTTTTCGGAATGGTTTATTAATAAGGAACTGTGACAACATACCCATGGTGGCTGAAGCAGTCTCATCACCATAAAATGTGGCATGGGCTTGAGTCCATTGACTGGGCTGAAATACACCCGCTACTAATGCTGCCTTTCCAATGATTGTGAACATCCATGTAAATGCAATCAACAAGAAGCTACAAGAATGATGAATTGTAGCCATTGTAAAGATTTTGGATTGCTGCTAGATGCTTATAGACTTGTACATGTATCCTTATATATATGTAAGGTCAGATTCCAATAGCACGTCGGTAATTGAAATTTTTTTGCCTTAGTGATCCGCACGAAGATAACGTCTCTAATCTCTCAAGTCAAAATGATTACCCCTTTTTATTTGTTGCCTCGAAACAATATTGCTACCCAATGATGTAGGAATTGATCGGGATTATATTATCCCGGATTTTCTTAGATCAGTGAAAAACGTGCGAACATGTTTGCTGGGTCTTGTCCTTCATTTCATCCACCTAGCAGCAATTAGTAATTTCGTTCATTCTCATAATAATTATTCCTTCAGCTCAGACCCGGCTCCCAAGGTAATTTAGAAGCGAGATCGTCAAGACCCAAGCTTAAAAGGAGTCCAAAATAATCATGTTTTGCTTTCACATTAAAAAAAAAAATCAGCTCTTAATTACACAGTTAGAAAAAAAATAAAAAAAATAAAAAAACTAATAACTTCTTAGGATTTCACTTGTCATAAATGTATTTCATTCTTTAACTTATTGAGATTCAAAATTTTATTTAATTTTTAAATTTTACTTTTCTTAGTATTAAAATTCATAAATAATTTTAGTTTTCTCTAAAAAATTAACCAGTTCTTTAATTTGTCAAATCTGCATATTATAATTTAAATATTTTGATCGTTTATAAATTTTTTTTTACAATCTCAGTTAAAACTTATCTAAGGTCAATGTTATAAAAACGATTAAATGTTCTTGTAATTTTATCGATTGAGAAAGAATTTTTAAAAATATTAATGTTAATATTATTATTAATGATTTTACATATCAGAATACCAATAGAACCTATTTTTTATTTTTATAGTTGATTATAAAATAAAAATTGTTTAAATGAAAGAATATTTTCTTTTTATAATTTTATTAAAAAATTGTATTCTTTTTAAAAAAATATTATTTTAATAGAATTATTAACATGTATTTTTATTTTATTTTATTATATTCTCTAATTTTTTTTAAAAGCAACCCTAATTTTCTATTCCCCTGGGGCTCAAGAAGGTCAAGAACTGAACTGCTTCAGCTTCAAGGTTGTTAGTAGTTGAATTTTGCATATGCAGAATCAAAGTTACTGCTGGGGTTATCCAGCAAGTCCACACTTTGGACTAAGAGCGCAATGAACAAATGTTTCGGTGTTGGACGATGATTAAGTACATCCGAGGATAGTGGGAACACTTTAAGCCTTAAAACTAGTTATTTGTTACTGAAAAGAATTAATGTATTAGTACTTCAACTTCTAGTGATGGATATCCAATAAGTGCATCCCCTTCAATCTTAACTTATTTGTTATTTTGAAAAATTATTACATACAGAAGGAATTTGGCTTTCCATAAACATCTAATCCTGAATTAATATCAAGATTCGTGTGTAGGGAAAATATATCGTGTCAAGAGTCTTCTCCTTCTTTCTTGATCTTTAGAAACACTGAAATTTCACTATTTTTTATATTCATTTTTAAAATTTAAAATAAGTTGGATTTTTCACAATTAAAAGTGAAATAAAGATAAATAATTCTCAAGCCAAATAGATTCCCAAAATATTGTTAACTACTTAAGGAACGAATAAATAATTTTTAATTAAATTTTTTTAAAAAAATACATTAAGAATTATGTTAAATATTAATAATATTTTAATTTTTTTTTACTTAAGGTTGTTTTTAGATAAGACATTTAAAATTCTAGAAAATATAAAAGTAATAAATAAAGGATGCTTAGAGTAGACTCAGGTATGAAAAGAGTCATGAATGATAAATATAAAAAGTTGAGTATAATAGAGATAAATTTAAATTCTCTCTAAAAAAAAGTTATTTAAATTTTTTTCTATTAGACATAAAAAATATCTAGTTAAAATTTTATAATATTTTAAAATTACTTTTTCTTATTATTTAAATATATAAATTGTTAGAATTTTAAAATTTTCTATCCAAACGCAACGTTAATTTCTTTATTAATATTCTTTTAACATTTGCCAAAGTTTTAAACTCAAGTGGAGTGGCAAAGATTTCAAAGAATTGATTTTCTTTTCAAAATTTTTATAACTGCTGAGCATAATTGCAACAAGTAATATTATTTCTAGGTTTATCAGCTAGATCTTACCCATATTTCTTTAATTTGTAAAACAAAAAGAGAATCTCGTTTTCTCCCTTTTTTCCTCATTCTTTTTTTCTCCCTTCAAAATAATTGAAAAGCGTGTGAATTTTAAATCTAAAAGTATACTATTGACTATTCAACTGCATAACTATCGTTCTTATCAGGTAGGCCTTCAAAACATTGATCGTTTCTGTTCATTTTCTCTAAAGCTGAAGGACTAGAATTGTTAACCACGTCTGAATACAAAGGAATTCATGTTTATTTCAACGCAACTAGTTATAATTCTTGTATTGAATTTCTATTTACAAATCTTTCAACATGTTTTCAAACTCATATTTAGACAGCCTCGTTCAATTTCAAGACTTCCAATTAATTAAATACCCGAAATAATATAGTTAATTAGCATTAATTACTTAAATATTGCCAATTTTCCTTATTGTTCTTGATATTCCTGCGGATGTAAAGGTTCTGGTCACAGTAGTGTGTGACAAATAATCCTTACGCACGTTATTTTAGATTAGACTCATCGATGGTGTTAAACACCCTCTTAGCTCAACTCTTCGAGTAGACAATCCAGTGCATGCTATACAAAGTCCATATTACTTACAAGTATACAAAGCTCATATACTTACAAGTAGGATGGTGGCACATACAGTTAAGATGACACCAATTGTGTGTGACAATGATAACAAGACTTCATGACCATTGCTGGAACAATAAATATGGTTTTCAGGTATACCTGTACGCAGACACAAATATAACATGTGAATTACTATGATTTCATTATAGACTTCCATTTGCACAATGAAAATCATGATGGATTGTGAACAAATCCTGTTTTTACTCCAATTATAATGAAGATTGGCACTCGACTCCTATTGGAGATAGAACAAATTTAATACTAAATGTTGCAAAAACAGTCCAGTTTAGAATAACTCGAGATGAAGATACCTTCAAATTTGGTTGGTGCACAAACATGTCAACACATCGAATTTGGTGGGTTCACAAACATATACGCTATGACAGACTTAGCAGAGAGTTGTAGAGTATACTAGAAATGTACCTCCACTTAGGCATTGCTTCCTTCCGGTAATGTAATCAATCTTGTACTTGAATCATATACCATTGCAGTGCCACAGCTGAGTCACAATGTTATTTCAATAGTTAAATTAATGTTATACCATAAATTAAATCAGTTTGATTTTAAGAAGGTGAATCACACGAAGCCAAAATAGTTAGTGAATCAGTTGAATTTTTATACTTACTTAGAGCATTTGACAGTGTTGCTGGAACCACCACTAGAAATTGACAGTATTGTCCCAAAGAAAGAGGTATTTTCAGTACCGCAATTTGGACAAGGACCCTTTAAAAATTAAATACGTCAGTATATAGCAGTTAATTATAACCTACATGAGATAATGTTAGTAAATTTATACCTTTAAAATCAAAAAGTCTTTTATTATGGCGCTTGTTATTGACTGAGCTATCCACACAATGAGGGGAACGGCAGCAAACCAAGTGAAAATGAAACTAAAAGGCTCTGGCAGCTGCATTCAGCAATTCATTATCTGCTATAAGTGCCTTAATTGTAATAATATAATTAGTAATCATTTACCCCAACAACATCCAGCTTACACGTTGCTATGCATTTCTTGATTTTCTTCATATCTTAGTTAATCTCTTCTTTTTTTGACTAAAGTGCCAGCTTAGAGTAAAGAGCAAGATAGGAACTACTGATGAAATTTCACAAATCTACGGATTGTTAATTTTGTTAACTTGTTGCTTGCATCTTATAAAAAATATAAACCCCTGATCCCCCCTCCCCTCACCATCAAATGGTGATCTACCATGCACTTTGCTCCCAAAAAGTTCACCCTGCATTTTTACATCTCCTTTTCCAACTAGAAGACATAAACAATCCAATAACATAAAGCTAAATTGCTTCATGACATTAAGAAGGAAATGTCCAATAAAGAGAGGAAAAGACCATAAAATCACAATTACTTTCAGAAGCGAGACATTCTGGAACCAAACTACATCCAAGTTTGCAATGCTAGATATAGATGGAAAATTGAGGGGAACATACCTCTAGCAGATATGTGATCTCAAATCCAGTCAGATCATCAAGGAAGAAGAACCTAATGATTACAGGGGGAAAAAAATTTAAAATTAAGACCAATTGCATGCAAACAGTAACTTCCATGTCAACTTGACTCACAGTAAAATCAACTCAAATAACACATTTCAATCTATCTTTTATTTAAGAAGTATAAATAACACGAAGTAAAAAAAGTCGATAATTATAAGAAAATTATAAAACATGTGGGAACAGCCTAATATGAATGCGTGGATGAATGGATACCTAAGAGTCGGCATATATTTACCATTTCTTACATTCCTTTCCGTCCCTTACTACAGCATAGTCATAATGAGTAAAACATGATTTAATCTTTCCAAAAATATATGAAAGAAAAATAGATAAATTTCTTTTATAAAGAGACCAATTGTTGACAGTAGCTGGAACTATAATTTTTCTAATAACTCAAATGAAAAATTAGAGGAAAGCAACTTACAATCCTAATGCAATCACAGTAGCTGGGACATTCAGCAGGAACATCTTTAAATAGTCCACAGATAGGTCACTGTAAACCTATAAATGAATTGTAATTAGTAAAGAATAAAGATTAAACACGGCAGAACCAAATATTCATGAATTCCAAATGCTATGCTAAAATCCTAAAGCTGAATTCTAGTAACTAAATAAGCATTTGACTTGACATGTAAAGATAATCCTATATTTCCTGTCAGTACTTGGTGATATAACTGATCTTAGTAGCTTATATCCGAATTCAAAAACAAATCTCTTAATGATGAAACAAGAAAAATTACTCCAAGAGTCCTATATTTATTATTTAATTGAAAGAATGATTTAATAAAAAACAACTGTACATGAAAAACTACAATTAACAAGTAAAACTGAAATCAGTGAACAGATTACAGATTAACGCGCACCTTTCTACTACGCAGACTGCACCTTGGACCCTCGACCACAATGTCACTCCCTTCCATCTGGAAAACAGCTTTGAGATCAGTAGAAGGAGGGGGATGTGCAGCTAATAAAACAATTCCAATTGTATTCCCAAATTTCAGTGATCAATGTACTAGAAATGATATTTCATAAAAACTTGCCAAATAAAACACGTGTTATAATATTTACCCAAAGTTTCTAACCATTGATTTGGTCTGGATGATATAGTCTTTAACTTAATTTGTTTACCACAATTATCACCGAGATATTGATCAATTCACACCAGTTAATAAAAACACCACGTACTACAAAATGTCTTTTAAATTTTCATTGATGGAAAGAAAATAGCAAACCTTTAGCCTCCGTTTCAATTCATCATACTCTTTGTCACCCATGATTGGATTTCCAGATACATAAGCCATAGAAGCTTCTAGAAATTTTTGTTCATCCGAGCCTGTACAATCAACCAATAAAGGCTAATTAAAAAAAGATAAGGTAACGTGTGTTAACCAACACAAATTCATTGACCAAAACAGCTGCAGCTACTGTGAGTGAAGTTTGCCTCATACTTAGCATGACAACGCTGCTTCCTTCCCACATGAGTTCTTCCTTGAGATTATCAAACTCTTCATTGGACATGATAGCCTTTCCCTCATAATAAAATGCCTATTGAATAAAACAAAACAAAACTCAATAACAAATTCAAATTCACAAACAAAAAATTATTTTTATTTTATGGAATCTGTAGGATCATCACCCAAAATATAAAAAGCAGCAAAATTAAAACTTTTTTTTTTGGGGGGGGGGGGGGGGGGGGGAGGGCATACTTGCAGTGCTTGAAGAAACTCTTGCTCAAGTTCACCAATTGATTTCTTCTCTTTTCCGTCTATGCTACAATATGGGAGGATTTTACTATCAACTGCATCTTCTTCAAATTCTTCAACCTTGCCTGAAAAAAATGACGCACTTGTTAAAAAATGATCAAACAATGATTTTTTTATTATTATTATTATAAAAGAAAGATATATGATGTTATTGTAAAGACCTTCTTTATCTGCAGTGGCCTTAGGGGTCAGTAGAAACAACCTGCGGCGAAGGCATAAGTGGCGGCCATTGAACTGAATGAAGTGAACACCAGAAGAAGAGGACAATGAAGAGATTGGAACCAAGGGTGTTGTCGGGGTAGGTGCAGTGCGTGGACGAGGTGATGTTAATGTGAAGGCTAGTTTGCTAGCCGTGAACATGATGGTGGTTATTGAGAATTGAAGTGGTGATGGTGGTGGCAGTGTAAGTGGGAAATTCAGGCTAGTGGTTGTTTTGTTTTATTTGGAGGGAAAAAAATGAAAGGAAAAGTGGAGAGAAGTAGCTTGAAGATAAGGTAACAAGAACGTGTGGAGGGAAATGCAACGGCTTATTCCCATTTTTTTCTCTTCTTTAGTTGTTTCATTACGTAGACAATCTCATCATATCGCTTGTTACTTTGATTCTTCTCACGTTTGTTTCTTACATGTCTGTGATGATGCGTCCACAAAAAATCTGCCATGGCCTTCGATGTGGGCTACCTGTTCTGTTGCGTTTGCTTTTCGTTCGCCACGGGTTTTCCGTCACGTAGGCAAAATGGACCCACAGAATCATAAAATAATAGAAAAATATGAGGTTACAATTGTTTTTATAATTTTATGCTTTTTTACATATTAATATGTTATCTTCAGTACGCATTACTCAAAGTCAGAAAAATTTAAATTGTATAAAAAATTAATAAATTCGAAAATTTCTTTGCATAATGTTAGAGAAACTGATTTTCATGTTTTTATATTGCTTTTTTGTTCTTTTTGTGAGATTACATTCTTGTGAAGTTAGTTTTTTTTTTTAAATTTAAAAAGATAATTTATTTTTAATATATTAAAAAAAATTATTATTTTTTATAAAGACTTCTTTATAAGTTTACAAAAATTAGCCTTCATTTTTAGTGACTTTATATAAAGAAAAACCTTTTTTTTTACGACTGTAAAAAACATGTTAAGAGTTAGTTATACTTTTTTTTTCTAGAAGCTAATAAAATAGTGAAAATTTTTATTTTTAATAAATATTAAACAAATTAAATCTTGAAAGTGATTTATTAAATAAAAGTGATTTTTTGTTAAAAAAAAGAAGAAGAACTGTGATGGAAAGTAAAGGCAACCAAAAATCTTAAATTGCAAGTAGAAGGCATGCATACTCGATAGATGAGCTCATGAAATCTTTGAGATTGTAGATAGTATTTCAAGAATGTCAATATACTAAATACGATGCAAAGACTAATATTTATAAACTTGCTAATCCACTGCCAAAATTTTAGTTTGCTGCCCCCATCATCCCCTGCCGTAATCTAAGTAACTATCCTCTATATATTTCCGAATTAATCATTGACATGTAATTTCTATTTTTTAAAAAATTTTAAACTTAATTAGGATTTGCATGGGTGGTTTGTATCCTAAGGCTTTCTTTGTATGTTATTTGTTAGGGAGAAAATAAGAAAATATTTGCATGAATCATGTATATAACATACATTTTGCTGTGATATTCATAATAATAGGAATTAGCATATTTATAATTATAGGATTAGAGTAAATTCATAGATTGTAGTTGTGCTTAAATTAGAAAAGTTGTCATATATATATATATATACACTGATTCACAAAGAAGAATAAAATGTGACACCTATCATAAATGTTAAACATTGTGTATACACTAGAATTATTTAGAAAATGATATATTTAATTAGTTAGTTGTTAGTTCTGTTGTGTTGGTTGATTGTTAGTTTTCATTAATTTTGTTAGTTACGTTGGTTTCGATGTATATATGCTTTTGATTTGTATAATTTTAAAAATGTGTAATATTTATTTTTCCAAATGTTCAATATCTAAGGACCTCTTCTCCTCTCATTATTCATGTTTTAACATGGTATCTGGAAGAATTTTCTTTTCTTTCGCATATTTCTTTTTCTTTCTTGATCAGTTTGGCATAATACTCCTTATTTATTTACTTTTTTTGTTTTTGCATCTTCATGGTGCACTATTTACTAGCTGCAGGTCTATATACTCTTTCTTCTTTCGATCATTTAGGATTGATTTTGGTCTCGCAACTTTTAACTGAGAAAAATTATCATTTATGGGGCAGAGCAATGCGCATGGTGCTCAACTCCAAAAAGAAACTAAGATTTGTTGATGGACCTATTTCAAGACTCAGTGACGATGTTGATCCTACTTTCGTTGAGACTTGGTAATGTACGAATTACATTGTAACTTATTGATTGCTCAATTCTATTTCAATAGATTTGACTGAGAGCATTATATATTGCGATAGTATTGCTGCTATGTAGTCAGATCTGAAATCTTTGTTTTCTCCATGGTAATGGACCAAAAATTTTTCAAAGAAATTGTGAAAGACAATTTGACTATTACACAATACTTTTCTAAGATCAAAACACTATGGGCTGAACTGAGTTGTTAGAAGCCTAATTTTGTATGTAATTGTGGTGGTTATAGTCCAATGCATGAATTTTTTCAACGTGAATATGTCATGTTTTCTCATGGATTTAGATAAATCTTTTTATGCTATTCGTGGATAGCTATTGGCTATGGAGCCAATTCCTAAAATCAATAAGATTTTTCACTTGTTGTTCAAGAAGAAAAACAAAGATAAGTGGTTGGATTCCAACTTATTCTTGATACTACTCAAGCTGCATTTGCTGTTAAAAACTTATTACAACTTGCCCATACTGCTAAGGTTAAGACTGGGAATAATGATGGACCATTGTGTTTACATTGTGATATATTAGGCCATATAGTGAATAAATGTTATAAACTTCATAGTTTTCCACCAGGTTATGGAAAAGATAAAGGGAAATCAATTGTTTATCAGGTCTCTAATGATCTTCAAGAGGATGTTATTGCTCCTATTGTTCCTCTAGATGATGCCAAAGCTTCCATAGCTCAGGTCCAGTACCAACATCTTGTTTCTCTGCTAAGTGCTCAACACACTACTAGAAAAGTGCTTAATACAGACGGATTTTATAGACGGATTTTAATCCGTCTGTATTACAGATGACTTTACAGACGGATTTGTGGAATAATTTTTTTTTTATTTTCTGAAAAATCCATCTGTAAATCCGTCGGTAATACAGACGGATTAAAATCCGTCTATAAAATTCGTCTGTAAAATCCATCTGTATTTAGCCCGCCTTTTGGCGCCAAACGTTATAGACAGTAATTACAGACAGATTTTTCTGTCTGTAATTTGAAAATAGGGAGAAATATTATAGCGGGAAATTACAGACGGATTTTTCCGTCTGTAAATATGGCAGTTTTAACTGACCTTTTAGGTGGCACATTACAGACGGATTTTTCCGTTTGTAAATGGGATTGACGCATTTACAGACGAAAAAAATCCATCTGTAATGTGCCACCTGAAACGCACCGTTTCATTAAACCCATTACAGACGGATTTTCCTGTCTGTAATGACTGACACCCATAAAAATTGTGTCTCCTCTTCCCCTCCACCATTATCAGAACCCCCTCTCTCTCTCTCGCTCCCCCCTCTCTCTCTCTCTAGGAGCTCAGTGATTTGGCCATTGCGAGTGATTGGAGCAACCATTTGAAAGTTTTTTTGCATCATTGTATTCTTGGTACGATACTCTAACTTTTAATCGATTTAGTTTTTTAATTTTTTATGTTTTTTAGAGACTTAAAATTTCTATGATAGAGTTGTAGGATTGGAGATTGTATGACTGGGAGGAAGGGCGTAGAGGTCCTTCTCCGAACCTGATTATTGTGTGTTGTGGATTGTTTGTTTTTGTGGAGTTTATAGAATATGCATGTTGTGGAGTTACAAGGGGATGTGCTCTAGAACGGTTTAGGATTGTGATGTGTTTATGTTTGATATATCGAATAATTTATTGTTATATAGTTTATTAGTTGATTTTAGGTGAAATTTTCATTTTTGTAAATTAATGATAAACAAATGTAAGGAAATTAACATGTATTAGGGGAAATTTTGCCAAAATTTATATTAAAAATTTCTGTAATGTATTAGGGGAGATTATGGATGAACTTTCATCGAATGATGATGAAGGTAGTCTTGAACTATCAGAGTAAATGAGGTAAAGTAAGTAAGTTTGTTAATTTACTATATTGCCATGATTATTTAATTTGAGTTATCACCAATATTATTCATATTTTAAACAAATTATAGTATTTGTCTCTAAACATATATATGGTTTGATTCTGATATGGCAGGTAAAGGTAAGAAGGGTGTTACTCAGCAAACTGATCGTGGCAACACTTCTTCACCTACCGCTCTGACTTCGACGTCCACACCAGCAATAGTGCAGACCTCCCAGGTTAGGGGACAGGAGCAATTTATCATGGTGCCCAATCCTGGGTATATTGCTCCTCCCCCTCCAGTACAGCGAGTTTCACACTCTGCACCCCCTACTACACAGGCCACACAGTCACCTGCTACACAGGGCACAGGAGATGGATCCACTGCTATCTCATCTGTAAGCGGGCAGCAGTCATCACAGACCCAGGCATCATCGAGATCGTTAGAAACTTTGAGATGGGATGGGTCCACTTGGTAAGTAATTCAATCAAACATGCCTAACATTGCGTATTTTATGTGAATGTTAGTAGTTATGTTTTATTTTATTGTGTTATCAGTTGGATACCACCATAGAAAGGTCTCCATCAGGTCACAGATACGATTAAGAAGATGTTTGATGCGCCTTACAGAAGTTTTGCAAAGGTGCCAAATGATACAAAGATGGAATGGTTCAAAGATTGGAAGGTAATAATAGTGTATTAATTTTAACTAAGTGTAATTACATATGACTGTTTGTACCTCTTCTAATGAAATTGTGTTTCTGTAGAGCAACTTCTCCATTCCCCCCAGGACGAAAAGATGATTTTCAAGGACTGGAAGAGTCGCACTACAAAGTGACTAAGACAGATGTACACTGAGGCTTGCTAGGACCCTTCTACTGCTGATTGGATCGTACTCGACTTTCTTCATGCCTTGCAGGAGTATTGGGGTACGGATGAGTTTAAAAATCTCTCTGTAAAGAACAAGACAAACATGGCATCTAATAAAGGGGGGTCACTGCATACTGGTGGGTCTACGACTTTGGCTGGCACTAAGGCGAACTTGGTATGTGATTTTAAAATTCAATTTACTCTATTTATAATTTCATATTTGAGATTGTGATTTATTTTCAATTGCAGGAGAAGTCGTTGAAGAGGCCACCTACTACTGGAGAGTTGTTTAAGGAGACACACACTCGCAGGCAGGACAAAAACCTGTGGGTTGATACACGATCTCAAGCCACATATGTAAGTCATAGTTATTGATAATATATGTTATTATTAGCGATTTATTAAATAGTTCTCCAAACTAATATCTAATTATCTGAACTGAACTGTAGGATGACTATATTCAAAGGCTTGAGGAAGCATCTTCTCAGAATTCAGAGTCAGTAGATGAGGATGCTATGTGGTCACAGACAGTGGGTGGCCTTTATAAAGGTCGCATTTATGGCATGGGGGCCGCTTTGCAGACTCTATATCCCCTGCATCTGTCACTGGAGATGCCCCTTCTCTTGCACCTGAGGATGTGGAGGACATGGTCCACACTCAGGTCCATGCCCTCAATGAAGAACTCCAGAAGTAGAATGAGGAGATGTGGAAGAGCAAAGAAAGTGCATGGAAGAAGAAGTGGGCAAAGAAAATGGAGAAGAAGATAGAGAAGAAGGTGGCGTCGAGAATGCAAAGGGAGGTCCAACAGCAGATGACGCAACAACATATGCAAATGCAGCAGATGCATGCTTATTTTGAGCTCATGAGAGCAAGCAGCTCTACACCTCCTCCTCCTCCTCTACCAGCTCCAGCACCACCGGTTTTCACCTCCATGCATCATTCCTCTACTGACTCCTTTTCTACTGATGATGATGCTCCTTCGGATTATGACCATACAGATTATTTCTGATAAAGACTTGTATTTTATTTTTAAATGTATTTATTTAGATGCTTTTTTGTCTTCCTTTGTAATAACATTTAAATTTTATATTTTATAAATCATTTTGGAATGTTTAGATGCCGAATCTATAGTTTCTATTTTGTTTATAAATTGTGATAATCAAGAACAGCAGGAAATAACTATCTATATAAACAAAAAAATATCAATAATAGTAAAATATATCACCGACAGATTACAGACGGACATAAACTGTCTGTAAATCCGTCTGTAAGGGAAAAAACTGTCTGTAATGCTCTAAAAATTCGTTTGTAAATCTGTCTGTATAAACAGACTTTTTAGTAGTGACAGATCAAGCCAATGACAGAGACACAGACAAAGACATATACTTATAATATGGTTTCAAGAGGTATCATTTTTTCTGCTCAGAGGGAGGGCCAAGCTCTGCTTTGGTCCACCATCCCTGAGCAAAAAACTTGTAAAGTGTAATGGGCCGAGCAAATGCAAAAAGAGAAAGTGAACTCACCAAGGCCTAATTCTACAATTGGTCAAGAGAGCAAAGTGAACCTGTCACCAAGGTCTCCTTCTACAACTACAGATGGCACTGCAAATTACGATTCTTATAATAGGGCCAGGGAGAAGTCCTTAGAGGAGACTAGAAAGCTGTCTTTCCAGGATACTAGCAAAGATCAGTACGAAGACTTATATTTAGACATGGGCTTATCCCCTCCTAGCGGAAAGAAATCACAAGCAATGCATGCTCCTTCCGGCACTGCGGAATCTAAATCAGCGACTTTCTCTCCTCAGGTCAATGGTTTTGGTATGAGTACTGCAACTACAACGACTAGTTTTGAGGATGACGAAGACGTATGACTTCATAGGGCCTATCACTCTACCAGTGGCTCCATCTACACTGTATCCAACTAAGCAGAATAAGAGGAAGAGAAGAATCAAAAGAGGAAGTCAGGCTAGCTCGAGATTTTGTTGGGGGATGATGCAGTCTCGACTACTCCAGATTGACTGCTAGAGGTTGGAGTAAGGGTCACTGATTATGATCTTACGGATATTACGTTTCAACCTTCGCTTCGAGACCCTCAGTAGACCTTACTACCGATGTCGATTCAGCTTATGATTCTGTTAATGATTGTGTGCCATTAACTCAGAGGGGAAATCAAACGAGACCCCACCCTGTTAGTTAGTAGCGCCGAGCGAGAAACGTCTGTTGACCTGAGGCTAGCAAGGTTTAAGTCGGAGAATCTTCTGCTTTGGTCACATTAGATCCAATTTTGAGTCATACACTTGGATTATTAATAGTGGAACAACATCTCATATTGCATCAACTCTTTCAATTTTTCATTCTCATATACATGTCCATAATTTTTTTGTCACTTTACCATATCATAATAGAATTCATGCACTATCTACTGATTCAGTTCATATTAATCCTAATCTAATTTTACATAATGTGCTTTATGTCCCTAGCTTTAGAGTTAATTTACTCTCAATACCTACTTTATTAACCTAATTTTCCAATGTTGTCATATTTACTAATAAGTCTTGTTTCTTTCAAAACAACCTCTCTTCAAAGGTGATTGACAAGGGTGATTTGCTTAAAGGGCTTTATGTCTTATAACAAATTTTTCCTATACAACATAGTTCTAATGTTAAATAAACTTGTTGACACTTTGTCTTTATCGCAAAATATTTCTCATGTTTGTGATATTTATCCTTTGGCTAAACTTAGATGTCTTTCATTTCCTTCTAATAACAACATGTGTACTGCTTCATTCGATTTAATTCATTATGATATTTGGGATCCATATCATATTCCCACTTATAATGGCAATAAGTTTTTCTTAACTATAGTATATGATTACAATAGATTCATTTGGACATATTTGTTGCAACATAAATCCGAAGCTACTGCATTACTTGTTAGATTTTCTCCACTAATTTAAAATCAATTTGGTAAAACAAGTAAACAATTATGATCTGACAATGCCAAAGAATTGGCTCTTACCTCATTTTTGCAAGAGGAAGGCGTTATCCATCAATTTTCTTGTGTTCAATGTCCTCAACAAAATACAGTAGTTGAAAGAAAATATCAACATCTTCTTAACATAGCTCGTGCTCTATATTTTTAGTGAAATGGAAGAATGCATTGCTACTAGTCACTTTCTTGGTCAACAGTGTTCTTAGTTCCATTATTGAAGTTTTCCACCTTCTTGATCAATAGCTCAAAATTTTACCTTATTTTGAGTAAAAAAGAATAAAATTGATTAAGTCTCTAAATCGTCTTTAATTTGAATATAATTATTTTTAATTTTACCTCTAAATTCAATAATTATTATATACTTTTCTTAAATATTTTACACAATGCAAAGTAAATATATTTTAGTATCAATGAATATTAAATTCAGAGTAATATAATTAGATAATTATTTAAAAAATATTATAATTTTAATATGTAATATAATATAAAGCATTATTAAATTTAAAGTTATAAAAGTGTAAGTTATAATTAATATTAAAATAATATTAATTAAGAGATTGAGCTATTATAATATTTTGTATTTTTTCACTTATATTTTCATTGTTGTTATAATTATCTTTTCCTATAGATTTGAGTGATGATGTTGTATTATTTTGAAATTTATCCTTCCATTCTTTCATTTTCTAACATTTTCTCTTCAACAATTTTTGTTGTTAAAGTTTATTAATAAGAGCTAAACTGTAGATTTTAAGTGAATAACCTCCTCTAACGACACACCATCTATGGGGATGAAAGATAACATTGAAGAAAATTCCACAACTTTAATAGCTTTTTATCACAATTTATAAGTATGGCCTATCTTATTGATGTATTTAATAACTTCTGAATAAATGCTATTATAAGATTGTTAGGTGTTGATACCTTCTACTTCGACTCAGCAATCTGATTAGGGTGCTTTTCTTTATTTTTATAATTTAGCAATAAGAACGGTAATGTGGGAAAGGATTGCGAAAGGGGAGCAGAACCTGAACCATGATGTAGAGTGTGCCAAAGAGGCTGGAAGCAAGCAGAAAAATCTAGAAATCAATTGTGGAATATTATTACTTGCGGCAATGCAGCTAAAACTTATTGGACGCCATGCGTGTAACAATTTATTGCTGAGATCAGCTTATTTAAGAAAAGTTAATATTCAAAAATATTTATCAACAGTATTATCCACTACAACTACATAGCTCGTGGTTGTCTAAAACTAGCTAGCATGTATTCCCGTAACCCATTATTGCTAATTACAACTTTCTATTCTTGCTATACCCATTATCTCCAAAAACCTTGAAGAGGAAGACGAAATAGCCATAACCATAAGCCATCCATCATTGGTGTGGATATACACGTACACTTTTTATCAACCTTCAGTTTCCATACAAATCATGACAAAAATCTAGCTAAGCTTAAGCTTGTTAGCTTTTGTTGTAGCTCAGAATGGTCCATTTTCCTTCCATCATTGCTCACCTGAATGAAAACTGGAATTAGAAGGCATTACCCAGCCAGAAGAGTGGTAGAACTAGTGGATACCTTATAACCCTAAATTTATATAGTTCCTGAAAAGGAGCAAGACTGTTACCTCCGATTCAATGGTATGAATTAACCTTCCTTTCACTTTAGTTGAATTGCAATTGACAATTCTGAGTCCTTCTCTGACTAGAGCTTGGAGCACTCTAGAAAGAGGAAGCCCTTCTTCATGTTCAGTGTTTATGACAACCTCGACTCCTATCCAACACTGTCTAACTGTCACCACATCCTGTTTTGCTGCTTCGGAATTTTCCACCGTTTTTTCCATGTGGTAAGAGCTAGGGTTGCACAATTTTTTATGCCCATCTCTCTTGTTACTTAGCTCCTCGATCTTTTTTTGAAGATGTTTGATATAATTCATCGCCTGGTGCATGTGATCTGATATTGAACGCGTTCCCTAAAACCTTCACAACAGTACTGTTATATAATATTCCTTCAAAATATTTTTAGTAAAAAATATTATTTTTATATGCTTATTTATTTAATATATAAGTTATTAATTTAACTATTTAATATTATAAATATTTTTAAATATAGTATAAATTTATAACATATATATTACTATTTTGTTATAGTTAATAAATTTTCATTATTTAATTTTTATAAAAAGAGATCAGAAGGAGTATTCAAGTGAAGGAGGATTCAAGTTGCAAGCTAACTAAAACTTTGACAAAAAAGTATATTCGGAGTTCGAACATGCTGATCTATGTATCTATTGCAACATTGTGTGTGTGTGTGTGTGTGTGAGAGAGAGAGAGAGAGAGAGAAAGGAGGGACAAAATGAAAAGGGAAAATAAGAGTGACCTTGAGGTATTCTACAGGGAGTAATGACCGTAGAGAAGCGTGAAGAGTGGCCATTTCTTGCCTTCTTTGTCTTTCAACATCTCTGTGCATAATCTTCCTCTTTTTGACTTCACCAGGTTTACGATCAAGTTCATCGAAAGATAATAATGGTGATGATTCATGACGCCAATTTCCAAAGCTCAACAGCAGGTGGGAGGGGAGATTGGGGCTGATGATCTTCTTTTGGGGACAAGAAGGTAGGGGGAAAACGTTGGAACAATGGTTTGTTTGGTCAAATTGGAACACGTAGTCGTCCATGTCCTGGAAGTCTATTAATTCTCTTATCTCTATGACAAAATGTTCGGCCATGTATATTTAAGGGCCTAATTAAGCTATTATATTTTCCGCTGATCACAGTCAAGATGATATAAGAAGTGACCTCAATGAAGCTGCTACAACCTTATATTTTAGCGCTGTTTATTTGGGGGCTTGGCATCATTGTTTAACAACATAAACATGTCACAGAAACAATTGATATTTAATTATATATGAGAATGAAACTGTACGCGTTGTTTTGTTCTCATAAGTTTCAACTATCCAAATATTCAATTATTTTAAGTATACCTACGTTCGTTTTTATTTCAATCACGTTACTCTAATGTCTTTCCTCTCAGCGTAGGGCTTTAATTTATGCTTGCAATAATGAATTAAATAGTCACGCTGATCTAATCATTTTTGGCACGTATAAATATCCCCATCTCATATTACTTCTCTTCAAATTCAAAATTTACACTCTATTTTGAGAATAAATTATATGTATTACACATTCTAGTATATTTTAATGTAAATAATTATGAGTAATTCTCAATTATTTTCCCTCATTGTTGGAATTTTCAACATCACAAACATTTAGTTTTAAGCTTTTATTAATTATCAGTTTTTGACTTTAGAAAATAAAATAAAAAATATAGATGGAATTTTAAAGCAGATGATAAGGATGTTTAAAACTTTATTTTAGATTCTAAAATGACGATCTTAATAATTAAAGTGTTCAAATTAACTGTTTATATGTGACATCGTCAGTTATAATTATGCCAAGAAATTAATTAAAGTGTTCAAACTTTATATGTACTTATTCATCTTATTTACGAAAGAAGTTTGAGTATAATATTTAAAATTACAAGTATAATTTATCAAATATTATAATGGTGAATTCTATCTTTCGTTAATTAATTGACCAAATATAGTTTCAATGTTCTGAGAATAATAATAAATATTTATATATAACCGTTTAAAGGAAGTGTAATCTTCCGTCAAAAAGAAGAAAAAAGAAACAAGAAGGATGGGTAATCTTACCTAAGCTCCAAATGCTTTTTTTTTTTTTTTTTTTGTATATTAGTCAAATTGGCATGCTAAGAAATGCAGTTTTTTTCTAAAGGTCATGTGTAGTTTTAAAAATGTTATCATAAAACTAGTGAACGAGATTAATGGTAGTTGAGAGAGTAATATTAGGATTTTGAATCAGGATTCAAGAGTTTAGGAGAGAGTGGTATCACAAAAATAGTGCACGAGGTTGATAGTAATAAGATTTTGATATTAATATTTTAAATATGAGTTCAATTCAAAAGTTTAGAAGAGAGTGATTGGACTCTAAATTTAAGGGATAACTTTTTTATTTATATACCTTCAAATTTGTTACCAGTTTAATTAACCCAATTATAATTTTCTTTTCTTTTTTACTTGAATTAGTTTGTTAATGTCATAGACCTTTTTTTTTCCCCAACACTCTTTGTTTTTAATTTCGAGTCTTTTTTTTTTAATTTGAAATCTAATACTATAGAATTTTGAATATAAACTCAATTTGAAAAAAGGTGTTAGACTTTAATTTGAATATTGTTTGATTTGTTATTGATCGACCAACATGAGACTTTATTATTGTAATAGATAGTGTATTTATAAAGACAATTCAATACTTAAATTAATATTTATACTAATAAGATAACAACAGCAACAGCAAAAATACATTACATGCTTTATGATAGAATATGCAACTTGTTCTATAGTGTCAAAATAGGGTGATGCACAATATTATAACACAAGAGTGAACTCATGTGGTATGCTAGCATAACATCATAATTAAAGATTAGGAATGCCCTTGTAATAACAGGAGTAAGTCATGACTGTGATATCCTAAATATAGTAAAATAAAATCTATAGGGATTTTCTGTAACTATTAAGAAACTTACCCTTATAAGTTATATGTAGCAATGTGAATTTTCAATTTTATTCTGATTCTGGTGAGTAGTATAAACGTAGATCAGCGAGTGACGATTTTTCTTCAATTTATTACTTGGCAACCACGGAACCTAGATACGCAAATGATTTTATAACATTTATTAGTGATACAATTATTGAAACAAAATAGGATAAGTATTGACCAACTGATCTAATTGGGTCCCGCATCTTTAAATTATAGGAGGCCGATTTTTATTTTTATTTTTGAAATTTAAATCAGTTTTTTTTTTTTCATTTCAAGTAATTAAAAGGAACAAAGTTTTGATTATTTATTCATAGTATTTAATAAATATTTTAATGCTTTGACATATATATTTTTTAATGTTTTTAGAGTATTCAATTGCCTTAATTACTAGATGAGCAATTAATCCTCGAAAATATGTCGAACGTAAAAAAATCTCGTATATATATAAGCAATTTTTTTTTGTTCCCTTTTTTATTTGCATACATAAATATGTAAGTATATACACGTACATTACTTATTACTTTTAATTATTATTGTGGAAAATTAATTATAACTTTGTATATACACAAAAATAAACATTTTTTCACTTGAAAAGATACAATAATTTCACAGTTACCTCCTTTTTGCATGAAATACACACACACAAACTGAATGATCCTAGACAAAAAGGAAAAACAAAAAATGCAATGATCGCCAAAAGGTTAGTTGTATATTGAATTTTTCATTACTTTCCATACTAGTTAATGATAACTTATTTGATTTTTTAACAAGGTTTATAGATTAATTATTGAACCAATTATAATATGTTCTTAATAAAATCTAGTGTGCATATTAAAAAAAAAAAAAACTGACACTTGACCTTGACCCTACGGTTGGCTCGTGCTTAGTAAATTTGAAGAAACGCGTGCATGCGGTGAAGTGGTGTATCCTTGGGAATAATATATATTCGCCGGCTTGTTCATATGATTAATCAAAATTATAAATTATTTCAATGCATGTTAATTGTTTTATTAATTATATTTTGTTCGGGTGTCTTAAATTAACATTCTTCGGTCATACGAACAACTTTTCCCGTAAGTGTTGTTATCATCGATGCATACACATGACTTAGATTAATCAGGTATATATTTTCAGACGAAGTTTATAATAATATCACCACGTGTCAAGTTGTCTTTGATTCCAACAAATTAATGTTCGCATTTGGTGATATTAAAATAAGCACGCGGTTTGATTCGTGAATCTTAATATAATTACTAAAAAATTGTCTACTATCAAATAAAAAATGTGGAGCGTCACAACTTATTTTAATATATTTTTTACTTAATAAAAATTAAGTTATTAATATATAAGTTTATATTAATGATAATAACAAATTATTTTTGAAGACTTATTTAAAAAAAAAGGAACTAATTAAAAAAATTTCATTTTTTTAAAATTAAAACCTTATTTTACGACAGCATAATCCGCAGTTTGGAATTAGATATTTGGTTTGCTAGACCTCTCCTGTCCCCAATGTTGATGAAAGGGAGAAGTGGAAGCTCAATCTCTGCAACTATATCATTATTGAATTTATTAATATCTCATCAGTTTTTATTTTATTTTTTTCGTACACTTTTTGGATTAGAATTATCAATATAGATTTGGCCTTTAAATCAATGACTCACAAGTTGCTTGAGTTTGTAAAAAAAATAAATAATAAGTTTATAAAAATTGTGAATTATCATATTTTAGCATATTCAACTCGTTATTTTATTTTTAAAAATATTTTATTATTAAATTTACTACTTAATAATTTATTAAAATTTATTGTTTAATGGTACTAATTATTAAAGTTTAACAGCAAAATTATATGATTTTTTAATTATATATATATATATTTATTTATATGTTTCAATTTTTTTATATATTTTGCTATATTTTAATTTTTTATTTTATAAACTAACTCTAAAGCTAATCCACAGAGTTGACAGATTTTAATTTAGATTATTTTTTTAAAAATTAAGTTGTCTCATCTAAAATGTTACTTCGAGTTCTGAAAATTTTTCTTAAAAGAAAAACTTCGATTAAAGATGGCCATGCTCTATCATTATAACAATAAATGAATATCTCCTGATAGTGGTTGTTGATCACACAGACAATATATGATATTATGTGATGTTCAATTCATGTCCAATTGAGGCTTGTTAAACAAATTGTACAAAATCAAGGTTAACATAATGCCCTTTGTGTATCAATTTATATACTACTTTTAAAAGATTGTCAGCAAAGATGCATAATGTATATATATATAACTCATGTTTAAATAAAAAAATTTAATTTTATATTTTTTTATTTATATACCTTTTAACATTGATTTTATAAATTTGAAGACTGCACAGATTAATTTTAATTTATTTCAAATTATGTGATGACACTCCATTTAAAGAGTATGTAACGACAAATAATTGAAAATTTTTTCTAATAATATGACGCATAGATGATGGAATGATGATGTAATACTCGCATAGGATTAAAACTAAAATTTTATTTATATTTTTAAAATTATTGTTAACTTACCATTTTTTTTATAAATATGTTTTGATTTTATAAATTTAAAGATCGTACTGAGTTTATTTTTAGTTTATTTCAAATTAAACGATGACGCATCGGTAAAAAGAGTATATAGTGACAAATCATTGAGAAATCAAATTCCAGTAATAATATGACGCGCGGATGATCGGATAATGATGTAATACTAATCAGAACTAAATGCTTAGTCTGAATATTTTACATACTAGTTAATAATTTAATTCGGATGGCGTGCGCGTCACTCATTTCTTCCCTCTTCTGTATTAAAGGCAAGTCATTTAGATCACTTTTCTTGCCGATGAATTTTAAGTAATTAACATAACAAACTTGCTAATCAATGTTCGTTTTTATGAAATTATATTAAAATATATTAAAACATGAAAATAAGTCTATTTTATATTTTTAATAAATATGTTTATCTCTTAATTAGTGTTCTAAAAATATTAATTAGTATCTTTTAATATAATTAGATTTAAATTATTTCCTTTACTTGATGTACTTAATTTTTGTAGTATAAAGAAAATGAATAAGAAAGAAACTAGAAATTGTGTGAAAACAAAGTTTTCATGTTTCAAGTGTCTAAGATAGTCTATATTTGTCAATGACATGTTTTTTTATTTTTTTAGTTAAAATAAATTTAGAGTTTTCACTATAATTGCAAGTCATATAGCTATTGTCAAATATATTACGTTGGATACAAAAAATTATTTTAAAGTAAGAAGACAAAGAAATATAATTTATAAAAAAGTTCGTTGTTTAATACAATATTTTTAACAAAAATTATTAAACAATTCATTATTCTTTCATACATATTAGATAAATACAAATGAACAAATAACAAATATATTTTAGGTTGAACAAAAAATGGTATTAGATTAAACATATTTTGATGAAGCGATTTTTTTAATACTAAATATTGTATTGATCAATAAGTTAATTATTATCGTGATGTTGTGATCTTTGATACAATTTTACTTTATGATGAAACAACAACAAAAATTAAATGATTTTAAGACATTCTTAGAAGCACATCATAAAAAAAAATTACCAACTAAAAATTAAATGATTTTAAGACATTCTTAGAAGCACACCATAAAAAAAATTACTAACTATATTTATTGATCAAGATTAAATAATGGCTAAGGCCCTAGTTGAAGTTATACTTGAGACACATTATACTTTGAACATATGGGACTAGATGTAAAATAGAACAAAACACTTTGATAATTTGATGAAGGGTAGAAGATATTTTTTAAGAGATTCTAAGAGATGGACTTTGATACATTAATTGACTTCGTGCAAACTTGAATTAAAAGGTTGAGGATTACAATGTTTCTAACAAGAATTGGATCAAATCAATATAAGCTATTAAGAAAAAATGGACATTTTGTTACAAGAAAGAAATATTTACACTTAAGATGCAAAATATTCAATTAAGTGAAAGTTTAAATTTTAATTTCAAAGCTTGTATAAAACTTAGAATTGACATAAAATAATTCTTTGCATAGTTTAAAAATATTGTTGAAGACAAATGTTACAAATAGTTAATTTGTGAGTATAAATCTCGTCATAACCTAACAATATTGAGATATGATATATCTTTCATACTAATACAAATGGATAAAAATTACACAATATTGTATTTATTCTTGGCATGTTGCTTATAAAAAATGATTGAATCTCCTCATTTGTTTGAATATGTCATTACTATAGTTTTCCAAGAGAGATCATAGAGAATATCACTTAATCATGCCTCAAAGTCTATATATTGCAATTGTAAAAAAATTAAAACATTTAACAAACTTTATTCTCATGCATTGAAGGTTTTTTAAGCGAACAATATCAAAGTTGTGCTTGAAAAATACATCAATAAGAGTTAGATAAGAGAAGGTTGCTCTGATAGTGTACAAAATGTAAAGGAATAAATGTTGACAAAGATCCTACACTTACTGTTATACAACGATATCGACAACTAACTTTTAAAATGATTAAACTTGTGTATGAGGTATCTACTTCCAAATAATACTCCCACTTTGTAGATTAAAGTGTAAACGTTAATTATCGTCAAATTACACACCGTCAATTACAATAACAAAATATTAAGAGTCACAATAATGATGTTATTACAGTAGTCATCAATGACTGTACATAACCAAAGAATTTTAAGTAACAATCAAGTATAAAGAAAAATAGGTATAAGCGATTCAAAAGTTGAGTTGAGATAAAAGGAAAAAATAATGTTCTAATTAGAAGTTAATCACAAAGTCAATATTTATAGATACATATGTCAATGCATATAATAATAAATAAGTCAATTTATTTTTTTCTTATTATAACAATGTGTTATTTATTTTGTCAATATTTTAAAAATATTAATTCATTCTTTCTGAACCCTATGACATACATTGTTTGATACTTTCATCTTATCATTTTCTGCACACTTTCAACAATGCACACTTTCAACAATCAAGTTAGTTTTACTATATTATTAATAGTAAGATCATTAAACTTAAAAATACAAAGTTTTATTTTCTTACTTCATTGTATGATTTTTAGTATTTTGTCTTTTTTTTTTTTTGCAGGAACCTTTTGATAATACAACTCATTCAATTTTTTATTAACTTTAATTTTATTTTGTACCTTATTTACTTCATTCAATGTTAGTTGTATTTCTCTAATCATATAAACATTATAAATGTATATTTTAACATTATTTGATGTATTTATTTTGTGATAAATTTCGTTTAGTTGTTTGATGTGTTTGAATTTTAATTTTTTATAATCTATAAACAATTTTTTGCATTATTCACTTAAGTTAAACATAATTTGTTGAAACAAATATTTCACTTAAACTATTTAGTCTTCGCTTAAGTGAAAACTAAATATTCTTGCAACATTTTTCTTTATTCAATTTTCATTTAAGTCAACTATGTTTTGCTTATAGAGAGACACATCACCTATGCAATCTAAGCTTCGCTTAAACAAGTTTAAATATTTAAGATAGTATGCTTTTTATTCAATTTTGGTTAAAGAATTTATATTTTATTTAAAGAGACATATTATTGCTTAAGCCAAAATCAATTTTCTTGTTTAGTAGTCTCTGTTAAATTTTTATTCTAAATTATTAATATTCGTTTAAGTAAATATTTTGCTTAAAAAGTTTGTGACTCACTTAATCGTATTATAATTTACTCGCTTATAAATTTGCTTAAACTAAATTTTATCTTGTTTAAACATGAATTTTAAATTTTGCTTAAGTAAATTTAAATGTGCTTAAACAAAAATAAAATTAAACATTTTATTCTTATACAAATTGAAAAGAATCTAAATTCTTAATAGAGATATAGTTAAAATGTACTTAAAAGATTAGAAATTAATTAAAAAATTTGTTAAATAATTAATTATTTTCTTTATATAAATCATTATATACTTATGATGACTATCCAAATCATGCTTCTCAATTCTTTTTGAGTTTTCTATTGACACCTATGATAATTCTTATAAATTTAATTTTTCATATATTATAAGTTTTAATGTAAATATGTAAACTTTACGATTATAATTAATTTAAATAATTATTACAGTGATATTTAATAATTTGAAACTAATTAAATTAAAATCTAAAATAAATATTTAATCACCACAATTATTCATTTATTAGAGAATATTATTACAGATAAATAGTTCACAAGGTGGAAAAATTTATTGGTCCATTAACAAGAAATACATTATAATAAAATTATTTTTAAAAAATATTTTAATTTAATTTATAACTATAAATTTTATTTCTAAAATTTAGAACAAAGTGAAAACATTATAATATATAAAATACAATATAACTCACGTAATATCTTCAGATAAATTTAATTTTAAAAAATAAATACCACATAGTAGTAAAGTAGTCCAAGAGAATAATATAAAATCTTAAGCTCTTATTAAGTAGAATTTTTAAGAGCATTAATTAGAAATTAATGAATATTTTTTTCTTAAACATTATGCTAAAAATTCATTAATAATAAATTTTAATAACTAATGGCATATCAGTTAAGAATTATCTAAAGTTTCATATCAAGCGTAGGTTGATATTTATCTGCCGGGTTAGACAGAAGAAAGAGGAATATGGGGAGCGTAGTTTGTGTGTGTTGCGAGGAGGGAATGTGAGTGAGTGATGGGAAGCAGGGAAGAATCAGAAGTAGTGGTTGGCAAGGAAGAGGTTATCGCAAAACTGAAGGACGATGGCGACTTTGACAGGCTTCGTCTTAAGATCGTTCGTAAGCTCAAGGATAACGTAAGCTTTCTTCTAATTCTCTATTCCTTAATTTCTATTCATCTCGTTTTAGGGTTTCTATCATATTCTGAATTTGTGCCTCTTATCATGGAATGTAAAACAAAAAGAAAAATTGCTGAAGCTTGCTTTACAGTTACATAACTGGACATTACATTCAACACAATATCGAATTATTCAGATTAATTATAATTTGTATTTGTCAGTAGCAGTATGACGAGTTTTTAGAGCTTCGTATAATGGGCCATTATGATTTTAATTTTTCTAATTTAACGGTTGACTGTATGATTGCGTGTAAGTAATACTGAATCCAACAATTTATGACAGGGAGAGTTACGACAACATATTACCTCAATTGTGAAGCAGTCAGTGGCGCTAAATCGTGCTGGAGCGGAAAATATGAAACCTAGACAACTTTCCGATGCCATATATGAAGAAGTTGGGTATGTTACCCCATATTTAGCTATTGTGTAATTATAAATTGCATTTTTTTTGCAGTCATACTATGTCTCTGTATACTCATTTTAGAAGTTTTATTTTGCATTTTTTTTTTTTAACTAGTGACAAGGTGATGAGCCAGATATCTGATAGTTTATGGCAAATAATTCGATCAAGTGACGGCATGAAAAGTGAAATAATGGAAACAGTGCAGTCTGTCTATGACAAACTGGCAAACCCGAAAGGGAAAGATGAGGTTCCCACATCTGATATGAAGCCAATTCTGAGACAAGGTGAAACGGCTTCAAATACTGAGGTTGATGATAATTTGCACGAAAATGAGCCAACAGAGCCACCGGGTTTCACTCTCTTACCTAATCATCTGAATAACAACAATCATGAGGACCAGGATAAAGGGAAGGTGCAGGTTCAGAAACAAGGATTGACTGCAGAGGGGAATGAAGATTCCCATCCATCGCAGGATACACTTGAAGATGATATTAATAGCAATGCGCCCCCTGGATTTTCAATGAATGTGGAGCCCAATCCGTCTTCGTATTGTAGTGATGAAGACCCTGATGTGCCTCCTGGTTTCGGTTGATGAATTAGGTGTTTCAATTTTTCTTCTGTTCTGCAACCCTTGCTGTCGTTGGATGTCACACATCGAATTTTCTGTTTTTGATATTGACTGAGCCATAGAAAAACATGCGACGGTCTAGAGGTCTCTTGACATCCTGATCTAATATTGGATGCATTATTTATTCTAATTAGCAGAAGGTCAACTATTACATGTAATTTTTGTGGGAACTAATCCCAAAATTTTCTGAAATGAATGCTAGATCTTCACAATGAATTTTGTTAAGAGCTATTGATCAATAGAAGCCCTCTTCACAAGAGCTTGGAGTTTCTGTATATGTTTCATTACTTAGTTGTTTCTGTACAAATTTGGTGAAATAAAACTAGTTTAAGTCGTAAGAGTATCTGTTTCAGCACTTGTTTTGGAGTTCCGTAAGACATAAATAATGTGTTTCTGTGAGTGGTTTCTATTTATTTTCCCCCATTCCCATGCTCTTCTTATTTTGTTGTGTTCTAATCAGTACCTAGTACATTTGCTAAATCTTTCTGTTTATTCAGCTGATTGAGATTTTCCTAAGTACATAGTTATCAATTGTAGCAATTAGCAAATACCACCATTTATAGCACTGAGATGGAGTGTTATGGCTGCTGGAAACTCATAGTGTTGCTTTGCCCAAATAGTGGCAGCAATTGCTGCTGAATAGCATCCAAATTGCAGAGGATAGCACCGGTGTACCATAAAGTGCCAACCCTCTTCACACCTCAGCCCCTCCATTTTCTAGTCTAACCCTGATAGCCCACAGATATATCAGCCAAGCTCACCATATTTTTGCCTTATCCACCCTTTTTGCCTCCAGCCCCATTCATTTTCTGGCCAAGCTCTCCTCTTTGCTGCCTTTCTTTCTGTCTTTTATTTTGTTTTTCCTTTGCTTTTTGTCATCCTGTCTTCTTCCTTCTGGTTCTAATACAAGTGTATGCACAGCCAAATTTTGTTCTGTCATTCTTATCTTTTTTCCCTTTTCAACTTCTGTATTTTTTTTATTTTTCAATCTAATATGAAAAGACATTGCTGGCCCCCTTTTTTTTGAGATTTCACTTCATTATCTCTTTACACCTCAAACCCCAGTTTTGCAGTTCAAAAAACAGAGGACTGACAACAGGGCGAAGGTTAAATGCTGATCTGTTGCAACTTAACTAAGACATATATGAGATATCTTTGTTTTCTTATGTCAATTATCGCGTAGTGTGTTCTTCACATTCCTCTAATTATTTTGTTGCATCTCTGTTTCTCTGTAAAATTCAATATCTTCCATTTTTTTTACTTCCTATGTTCTCATTGCTTTCATTGTTAATTGTAGCTTAAATTAATGGTGAATATATGTTAGACTATGAGTTTTGATTGTTAATTATGAACTTATCTTTAATTTTTGCTATCATTATTTAAAGCATTTATTTGTATAGTATAAATTATAAATCACTTGTATTTAAAATATTTGGTTTAGTGGCCATCCTGCTAGTGGTCTTGGGGTTGACCAATTTGTGCTGCTACCTAGGATTGATAGCCAAGTCTATGTACTTAACATGAGATTATAAACATCTTCAAATTTATGGTTTACACATCAATTAGTTAGTCTTGCATATTGGATGCTTCGAAAGTTTTTATTGAAAGAAATATCTGGCATCTATCCGCATTTGCTGTGAACCATGGTTATTGGGTATAACACTAACACCCTTGTAATTTTTATTTTGGTTTATGTTGTATCTTCCTTTCCATAGTCCACTATTATTCCATCTCATATTTTGAAAAATAAGCTTTCATTGTTTTGTTAGCTGACAAATTTTATCTATTAAGAGAATTTGTTTTTTCCATTTCTTTTTTTCACGATCATGACAACTTGAAAAGTAAGAGTTCAAAACCTTCTGGTTATCTAGTTTAACTTTTGCTTTTGCATTGATGGAATGAAAATAGAAAAGAAAATGCTGCCAAGGTACGATTGAGATTTGTCACTTAACACTTGTTGTAGCTAGCAAGGCAATTATCTGACCATTACGGTGGTTCTCTTGTAGCACTGGTTGCTGGTTGCAAACGTTATTGTCTTAAACAAATTTGACCGAAATAGGGCTCCTTACAGTGTGTTTAGCAGAGACCCACTGTAAAAACCCTTGAGCATATTGCCCCATCTCATAACCCGATCCTACACGGCTGAATGTCACTGAATACGTCTCTTTCTGGTTCACCTTTGAAAAGTCAAGTTTATCTGGTTGGACCTTCACATCAACCCCTTCTGGTACCGTAACCATGACAACGTAAGATGAATAGGCCTCACCCACGTTTGTTACAGTCCTTGTGAATGTCTGCGAGGAAGCAAGCACAACCGAAAATGAGGGATAGTTGAGCTCTCCTTCGGGAATGCTTGAAGTCTCAGAGCACTTAATCGTTTTATGTGCAATGAGCCCAACTTGTGTATCACTATAGCCTAAACCACACAGATAAGGTATATAATCATCAGGTTGGATATCATAAACTAATCCAGGGTCGTTTGCATTTGATGGATTCACCTGGCCGGAACCTGTGGCAAAGATATCTGCTGGATGAAGTGTTTCATCAACAATTAGTTTGTGTTCTAAATTTATTATGTCTGCAGAAGTCATTATGGCAGATTTTATAGCAGCTGGTGACCATTGAGGATGAGAACTTTTGAGCAAAGCAGCAACGCCACTAAGATGGGGGCATGACATTGATGTGCCAGACATAATGTTGAAAGTGAGTTTCGAATTGGTGGTGTTATCCAGGGGGAATGGCCAGGAAGCTAGGATGTTCACGCCTGGTCCTACGATGTCTGGTTTCAAAATACCAGGACTTGGCAAGTTGGGACCTCTTGAAGAGAAGGATGCAATGGCAGGAGATAGGGACTTTCTAATTATAGTTCCCTTGAATAAAATGGTTGCTGTAGGGGTTGCAGTTGAATTTATATATACTTTAATCTTAAGTCCAGCATCATAACTTACATGTGTTGCAGGTAGGACATGTACATCAGCTGCGAGACTGAAGCCATTGGTTTCATCATTCATTAGAATCATGGCTGCACCTCCTACTCTTTTTACTTCCCCTCCTTTGGCAATTCTTGCTATACCCCCTCCTCTCTCGCACAAAACAACCTTGCCTCTGAAATCAACGTCATGCAAGGACCCATTAGCACAGAATGCAGAGTTTTGATTGCCATTCTTTCCAGCATACACTAAGGGTAGCAGTGTTGGAGAAAAATTGGAAGGCTGGAAAACAGATTCACCATCAAATTCATGCCCATCTCCTAGTTTTGCTGTTGCTACAATGCTTCTGTCGATGGTGCTTGCTCCAACTGTGAGGATCCATGGGGCTCCGTTAATTAAGGATCCATTGAAAGGGCCAAAGTTTCCTGCTGCACAACTTACAATGATTCCCCTCTGAGTAGCTGCAAATGCACCTACTGCAGTGCTATCATTGAAAAAAGGAAGGGGCTCACTTAGACCAAGAGATATTGATAGTACATCTACGCCATCCTCCACAGCTGCTTCTATTGCAGCCAGTATATCGCTCTCAGGGCAGTCTTCTCCAAAGCATACTTTATAAATCGCAAGGTGAGAGTGAGGGGCTATCCCTGCTGCTGTGCCTTTGGCATTTCCTAGTACTTCAGCATAATCAACAAAAGCACCAGCAACTGTGCTTGCTGTGTGAGTCCCATGTCCATCCTCATCAATCGGGGCCTCTGCTTTCTCTCCTTTCATTGCCATAGCTGCGAGGTTGAATGACCTTGCTCCAATTAGTTTGTTGTTACAAGCTGTCACATTAAGTTCACACCTCCCTTTCCATTTGGATGGTGGTGGCGGCATTCCTACATCACTGAATGAAGGATGACCAGGAGTGATTCCAGAATCCAGCACCCCAATAATAACTCCCTTTCCAAAGTTTGATTCCTTCCATAATCCCATTTGTGGCTGCAACCCCAAGAATTTTGGGCTATGTGTGGTTTGAAGATGTAGTATCCTTTCAGGATGAGCTGAAATAAAACCATTCTTCTTTTCCACAGCTCTCAGCTCTTCTTGAGTGAGTCTTGCAGCAAAACCACTCATCACATTCCTGAATGAATATATCACTCGTGGCTGTTCCTTAGTGCTCATAATAGTAGGTGGTGGCATGAATGAATGATACCAACTCTCTAAATCCTCTAATTCAGTAAATGTCTTGCTCTCTGGTCCCTTCACATGAATAATGTACGTTTTTGAACTGCTTGTAGCAGTGGTCTCAGTGGTAGGGGTCAGTTCACTTCCTTGATCAAAATGAATAAGGAAGCACAACGCCAAAGTGAGAGCAATTAAACGGAAAGAATCCATGTTCAGCAGAAACTTTACTTTCTCTGCTTGATGGAAGGATGAAAGGCAGAGGTTTAGCTGAGTGTGCTTTAAACGTACGCACAATATCAATATATATTTAGGAACTAGATCTTGTACGATCCTAATAGAGAATAGAACAAGGCCGGCATATTTTTCAGTATCATTAATGTGTTACTGATGGAATGTAATGAGCTTGGCCGGCATGGATATATATGTCGTGAACTTACTATAAATTTGTGGCGCCCACTACCTTTTGGTTCTCAAAAGACAAATAAAATAAAATAAAAAGTGGCGCAAACCGTTTCTAATAGAGAAATTGCCAGACCCTACAAGTAAGACTTGGCTTTTCTTTTTATGAAGTAACAGTAAAACTTTGCTTGAGGCCTCCAAAATTACGCAAAATTGAAATCAAAGTCATCCATATACTGATTGTTAACTTGTTATAAATGTTAATTACCAATTACGCATATAATATTCATGAAATATTATCAATAATTCCTAATATTTCAAAGTGAATTAGTTTTTCAAATTAAAGCTAATAGAATATTACTAAGATTAGTAATATCTCAATAAAGAATAAAAAAATTGACTTTGTTAACAAATGAATGAAAGTGATTACAATAATTTAGTTAGTGATTTTTTTCTTAAAAGTATGAAATATAAACTTTAAATATAATAATAGTACAACAGCAATCAAGTCTTACCCCAATTAGGTTGGCCTTGAGAAATTGCATTTTGAATACCATGAATAGAATTTGCACAAGAAGCCAAATGCGAAGAGGATAAAAGTGTAATGAAATGAGTGATGTAATAGAAATACATAAAATAATAATAATAATAATAATAAAAAAAAAAAAAAAAAAAAAAAAAAAAAAAAACATCATGCAAAAGTGTTGTATCAATAATGTAACACTTTGTAATTTATAAGTAGCCATGGACAGCATATATAGTTCACAATATCAAAAACAAATGCTATATTTTTTTCTAACAATCTCTCAAGATTTTCTTTTTGTTCAAAACTCATTTGGTTGGTCCTAGTTTAATCATTCATTTATCATTGTCTAGTTTAATATCATTTTAATTTTAAGCAAAATGGCAAGTCATTGTAGTTTTACTCTCTATTTAATAGGACTTACAATAAACTCACTCATAATAAAGATCGATAAGAGTATATGAGAGTATTTTTCAAATATTTTTTATTGATAAAAAAAATATTTTGTATATAGAAATTATTGATATGCAGGGTCATTAGAAGCAACGTACCTTTACAAACCTAAAAGAAGGACAAGGAAATAATTTTTTATTGATTATACAGATTTGTGCCTCTTAGTTAAATCAATTGTATACGTTACTAGAGTGATGACTTGTGCTATAAACAAACTAAACATTTGACACCAAAGTTCTACAAGGACATTGATAACTAAATGATACTTTGATTTATTTTTTTTAAAATATTACGCTAAAACTCCATAACAAGAATTATGGCTATTCCAATTTCCAAATCAAATAACTCTTTACATATAAATTTAAAATTTATGAAAATAATTGTATTAAATTTGCATAATTGTTCAATAATTATGTGATATTTCAACATTTCAACATCTGAGGGGTCACATATTCAAGCATGTTTAATAATTATGTAATATTATCGAAGTGTCTTTATGAGTATGGCAATACTTATTATATGGTTTTATTCAGTAGATGCTCCGGGGCAGTCCGTATTATAGTTGTACACTGCATGCACCATTAATTTTACAAATTAGGTTCATACATCTTGCATATGTTTGATTAGGATAATAATTACATTCGACTTGCAATTAGCGTATTTAGCTTTTAATATGAAAATGGATTATTATTATCATCATCATCCTTACCAGCCAACATTGTTGAGTTAAAAAAAAATGCATAACATCATCCACAGCTTCACAGTCAAGTCGATTATAAAAGAAAAAGAGTCACTTGTATGATAACTTGTACCCCAATTTAATGAAGAGAGAGTCTAGGAGATATATTAGTTTAGAGTGGTTGTTAAAAGGAAAGATATATCGTATATAGGATTAATTGGGAGAATTCTATCGGTTGAACAATCTTAGAAGTCAGTTGTAAAGAGGTAGAAAACCAAACCAAACCCACAGTTCTCTATATTTATTCTCTTATATGTTTACAGCTATATTTTCTATCTATTGTTTTATCCCATCACTAACACAACCAGTGACATCTCATTATTTTTTTATGCGCACAAAAATTGATAATTATAAAAAAAAAATGTATGGTTTTTAAGTCATGGAATGGCCTAGATTTCCTTAACTTGTTACTTATTTGCTAGCTTCCCCAAAAGAAATTGTGCTCTTAATGTTATTTAATAGTAGTTTTGGGTCATTTTAATCACTTTACAAACACATGTAGGGGAATAATATAGTAATATTAAAGTAATAAATTTTGTCAATACAATAATACATAAAAAGAGTAAAAGTTATTTGATGATTAGATACTCATTTAAAAAACTCATATACTTTTATTTTTATTTTAACTATTTAAATAAGATCTAATATTTGATATTTATCTTTTTCAATTCTCTTTATAACAAATTGTTCTCATTTGAATACGCAGTATCTTTTGTTAGCACTTCAATCCTATTTTCTTATTTTAATTGTCAAATGATAACACTTCGATGTTACAAAAGATTGTGCTTACACATTATCTCTCTCCACTGTTAAAAGAACAGGCAAAGTAGGGCATTGTTTGAGCTATATTTTTCTGAGTGAAAATGACATTTCTGCAAAACAAGAGTTATCTTCAATATTCCATTTTATAGTTGTCCTAGGGTCATTTTTTTACTGTCCAGTATGAATGCTAAGGGCAACTTAGGATGGAGATCACGCTTGGGTGGAGGCTTGTTGGTTAGGGGCCTCCTTAACTTAGACAACTTAGAATGGAGGTTACATCTTGGTAAAGATGTGCTTAGGAGCTTCCTTAACTCATACACAAAGTGTTCACCACTTAAACGAGTATCACTCATAATGGCCTTGACACACACAAAATTCCTCCTAAATCATTAAGAGAGAAACATCTAGTCTACACCACCTAAATAAAAAATTAACAAGTTTTGGTTGATTTTTCTCAAGGCCTTCTTAAAAAAAAAAGAAAAACTTTTCAAGGCCTTCTTATCCAACCTATAAGTAATAACTGTAGTAGTGGGCTTGTTGATAATACACGCCTTGTTCAAACTAGATATGACTTCTTCATCCTTGTTTGCCTACCTCTATATCTTATGGTTACAATAGTTTTCTCCGTGGGGTGACCAAAAACGGCTTTGTTGCTTCCGACATCTTGGTCAACACCATAAATAATATTTCTTTGATTGTGGCCTTATACTTGCCCCAGTATTTTGCCAAATAAGGTTTGTTACCAAGATCCATGACAACCTTAAAAAACCTCAACTTCATGCATTCTAAACTAATGAGTAGGAGAAGCTCTAACCATTTCATGTAAAAAATTAGTGTTCCATGGATTCATTACTTAGCTTATTGTCATATCTCTGATAATTAGTGAAAGCAACTTGGGAGAGGGCAACTTGATTGTCTTGCCCATTCAAAAGGATTAGTATAATTTGCAATGACATTATCGTTATAGAGGATCTTAACCATTAAAATAAATTATTTTTATTTAAAAATAATAAATATTATAATGAATGAATAGAATTAAAATTGGAAGAGATACGGTAAAAAATTATCTACAAAAGATCTCAATCTCATTTAAAATGTTCTCAATTCAAAATGGCTTGTTTTGTCATCCATTATTAACATTGCAAAGTTTCTTTTAGTATGTCTAAGTTTCAAATTCCCGCATAACAAAAATAATGTTTTAGAATTAGGTACTTGTTAATTGCATAGTTAAATAATAAGCTAGTGAATTATTAGAGTCACTTTAGTCGTGCCTGTTTGATGTACGAAATTAAGTATGAAATAAGATATTAGAATTAGAATTAAATTTCAGAATTTAAATTATTATGTTTAGATGTCTATTTAAAATTGGGATTATAATTTCATAGATTAATTCCATGATAACTAAATTTGACCTACTTTAATTTTTAATCTGCACTTTAAGAATTTGAATTCTTAATAACATAATTCACAATGCACTTCTTTCACTTATTGTGCCTCTTCTTGGTCTCGTCTCTATAATTTCTCGTCTTTGTAATTCTTATTCTTTCCAAATACTTTTTTCCTCTCTCTTCCTTTGTTCTCTCTTTTTTTTTTTGTGCAACTTTCTTCTTTCTCCTATTTTTATGTATTCTCTTCTTCTCTTAATTCTACTTTTATATTGATTATTAATATTACTTCTTTTTCTATGTTCTATTATTTTTTTCTATTCCTTTCTTCCTCGTTTTACATTGATTATTAATAAAAGTAGTTTTTTTTCTAGTCCTCTTTCTCTTGTTCTTCCTATTATTCTTTTACATCTTGTTCTTTCTTTCTTCTTTTTTATATTTGTTACATGGTTATTATGTTTATGTTCTTGTATTGTATTACTATCATGTACTTACTGTAAATTATATTATATTGTTATTCTGCACTGTCAACACTTATGGCAAATTATATTGTTTATATTATTTGTATAATAAATTGTTTAATACTTTTCTTGAATTGTTAAATGTAAGAAGAAACAGAATGATAAAGACATAATAAAGAGAATATACTTTTGAGGCGATTATATCACGGAACTAATAAAAATTGCTATAATCAATTACATCTTACTAAATAAGTTTTTTTGAGCTTTGCAATATTTTACGAGAGAGAGGAGGACTACACATGATATACTTATCATGTAAACATAAAAGAATCCATTGTAATGTTTCTACTTATTTTAACTTATAATTTCAAAATGAGAGTTCTCATAAGCACTTGTCTTCAATTTATATTTTAATTTCAAGAATTAAACTATATTTGTGAATATTTTTATGTTTTTATTTAATTTATGAGAAAGATGATTCATGACAATATTATATTTTAATAATAAATTAAACATAAAAAATGAATTACTATGTTATAATTTTTGAAAAAGAAATATTTAATT